GAGCAACCGGAAAAGAGACCTTAGAAAGCACCTCCCCCCAGCAACCTGCTTCCTTTAACTAGACTATACCTCTTCATCGCCCATTCTGCCATAAATGACTCCTCTGTAAATTCGTCTCTGAATTGCTCCACTGATGAGATACGGCATTTAAAATTAATTGTCACCTTGGTTGGCTCAGAAGCTGATTGAGGGATTACTAAAGCGTACCACTTGGGCGCATTTGGGTGGTTTGTGGAGGCATGATTTTGGGGTCTGTGTCTGGTCTTGGGCTTCTTACTGTCTGGCACTGTTCCTCTGCTCTGCTTCCTGCCACCATACAGTAAGCAGCTCCGCTCCAGCACCTCCTATTCTCATGATGTTTATTCCTTGGAGCCCGCCTACCAAGGAGGGAAGCCTCTGAAACTGATCCGGTTAAACCTCTCCTCATTTAACTTTTGTCAAGTGCTTTGTTTTAGCAACAAAAATGACTAATATAGAAAAGTGGTGCCAAGAGGTGGGGTCATTGGTGTGATTGTATCACCCCATGTGGTTCAGAATCCTGTTGAATGGTTTGCAGCTGGAATCTGAACAGGTTTGACAGTGGGGCAGAGAGCCCGTAGACTACAGTAAGCCCGGGCTAATGAGGAATTCTGCTCAGAGCTCAAATGACCAGAATCCTTACTGTAATGCAGACAGTAAAGACCAGGCTCATGAGATTCCAGTTGGGAATGAAGACTGTATTGGAAAGTGGACTAGAAGCTAGACATGTTATACTCTGGCCAAAAAGAAAAAAGTAAGTGTCTATATCATGTCTATAATCTTGAGACGACGGGACATTAAAGGTTGACTAATTGATCTGACAGAGGAAATTTCAAGGCAGCTCAGCATTCAGGGCATGGCATGGGTACTGCTGGCTGCTTTTAGCCAGATCTATTGTGAAAATTGGGAGGAAAATATTGGGAGCAGAAATATTTGAAAACTTGAATTTTAGCCCAGAAGAGACCACATGAGGGGCCAGTGGAAATGTGATTCCTGAAGTGCCATTGGAAGGAAACTGAGCTTGTTAAACAAGGGCAAGCAGAAAGATGCTTCAGTAGCATCTCAGGAATCAGCGAGAACTCACCTAGTGTATGCTCAAGGATATAAAAGAGTACACCTTTCATCTGTGATGAGAACTCCTGGGCCCTGTGCTCCAGAATGGCTTTTTGGCGAGTTGGTTCCTCTAGATTCATTTCAGCATGCTCAGCCATCCAGGTACTCTGTCAGAGGCTGCTGTAGTCATGGTCCAAGGGGGCCTGGCTACTGTTCAAGGTGGTGATAGACCTTGGCATTATCCACATGATGCTACTGAGGCATGCAGAATGCGAAAATTGTAGGATTAGGGAGGCTTCTGCCCAGTTTGCAAATGAAGACCTGGGAAACCAGGCAGGGAGCTCCTGAGTGGGAAATGCTTAAAGCTGTGGCAGTGAAGTGAAAGGTGCAGTGTAGATCCCAGAAAGTTAAAGATGCCAGGAATGTGGCTGATCTACTGAGGAAAACCACGAGCAGTGAGGGTCCTCACACCCCCTGGAGCTCACATCGTACCACCCTGTGCCCCAGATGCTGGACGTGGAGCTGTAGGAAGTAATATTTGCCATAATGGGTTTGGTCTTGTTTTGGTTCAGTTTTTATCTTTCTGTTCCTCCCTTTTGGAATGGGAATGTGTATCTTGTTTCTTGGGATTATATCACTTGTTACTTACTTTTATAGAAGTTCACAGCTAAGTGTTTTGACTCTTGAGAGGAGACTTGGACTTTCAAGAAATATTGGAGCTGTTGATTCTTTGGGGAAAGGAATACTACGCATGTTAGTTGTATCATGTTAGGCAGAATTATGAACTTGAATTATTTAGGGGTTAAGTATGATTTAAGGAGTTGTTTGCACATTGACAAGGAGTGGAATGTGGCTCAGGAGCTGCCTGGGGTAGTAAAGTTGATCTTCTGGGTGGGTTATGGAGACATGACCTGTCTGTGTTGTGGTCCCTGGCACTTTTCCTCTGCTTCCATGCCACCTAAAACAGGCAACTTTGTGCCACCATGTCCTTCTGCCTTGGTGTTCCTGACTTGAGGCTTGCCTCATGTGGACTGAACCTGTGAGACTGTGAACCAATTAAGACTCTCCTTCGCACTGTATGTGGCAAGCACTTTATCCGAGCAGTGAGGAGGTGGTGTGCTATATGAGGTTAGCGCCCCGTGACTCAGCTGCCTTCCCAAAGCCCTTCCTGCGACTTTAGAGGGACATCTTTGATCTGAATTATAACACGGAGTTAAACTTGTAATTTCTATGAACATAATGAATACTAGCCCTTGGCCATACGTTATACATATGCAGAAGTCAGTGGGGTTAGTTGGAGGCTGGCACCATCACTTTCTGTAAGTACATTCCCAGAAATTTCACCACTGCCTTTTGTTTGTTTTCTCTTTTTCTTCTGAAGTAATTTTTATTACTTTTTACCTTAATTGTATTATTGATTCCTTTTGACTCTGACATAAACCATAGCTTACATATTTTTATTATTTAAAACATTGCTTGCTGTATGTGTGCACCTTGCCCTCTCTGTAGTTCTTTCAAGTATGTAGCTGTTGCTTCTTGATTTTTTTGTTCTGTTCTGTTTTGTTCCTGTTTTTGTTTTCACAAGTAAACAGATTTCTTAATTAAATTCAAACTACTATGACAGAATCCCATTTGGTCTTGCATGAAATCGTTTCAAAATAAGTAAAGGAATACTTTGTAGCGATAGTAATAAACCTCTGAAATTTTTAACCCTATAAGTGGTATTTTTCAAAATTAGTTGCTGGCATTTTAGAAAATCATATCCAGAAAAATAGTCCAAAGCCTTTAGTAATTTTGCCTTTTACATTTACGAACAATTGTGGTTTGTGAATGTAAGTTCGTGAGAATCTTTGATGAAACAGTCTAGTACATGGAGTCCTACTCTCACCCGTTCTGATGTCGGAGTTATCTCTAACGGGCAGTGGGCGTGTAAGTCACTTTCTTGTGACCTGTGTAAAAGGCCCCTGATGGACATAACGGACAAGAGCTTTGTTTTGGCTCATAGTTCCTGGTGGTCCCGGTCATGGCCGGCTGGTGCCGGGGCAGACAGGGCCCGGTGGAGGGGCCTGTTGGAAGTATGTTGTTCAACCCATGCAGCCAGAAAGCAGAAAGAGAGGGAAAAACCAGAGCAGAAGATACATGCTCCAAAAGCGCACCTCCAGACCCACTTCCCCCAGACTGGGCCCCTACCTCAAAACAGTGCGTTCACCCGTGAGCTCATCAGTGCGCTGATTCACAGTATGTAGTGCCGCCATGACCCAGTGTCTTCCCAAACCCCCTCACTGAACACACGGGACTTTTGGAGGCATCTTGGATTTAAAGCATAGTAATGGGCCAACTTCAGTACATGAAAGCTTTGGAATTAGCCTGTTTTCCAGTGATGATAGTTTTTAGCTTTTGATGGGCCTGTCATAGCTATTGACTTTAGGTAAATTGTTGTAGCATGCTGTATCAGAAACAGGCATTAGTGAAGGAGATGGAGCTTTTTTTTTCATGTATTTATTGCTTGTTCTTTGCACATTCTTCTGTTGTAAAATTGTTCTAATTTCTAAGAATTAGAATTTAGTGTCATCTGTTTTACGTGTTTCTGCTACTTGATTATGTTTCTGTACCTATTTACCTTATTTTAGATTCTGGTTGGTTATGTTCTAAAACTGAGGTAAAATATAATCCATTATTGAGGTGGTATCTAAATTTGGTTAGCCTGTATCTTTATGTTGTCTGTTAACACGATTAAGGAAACATTACAGAATACTTCTTTTTTATTATTGTTTTTAAGAAGATTAGTAGTCTAAAAATAGTTGAGCAGCTTTTATTTTTATTACTTAAAAAACATACAACTTCTTGGTATGAAATAAACTGGCTGTAAGTTTAGGCATACCTCATTTAGTGATGCCCTCTTGGTAGCCCTCAAAGACACCACTAGGATTGAGCAGCTACTGTAGCACATATAATGGGCTCCGTGTCTTAAATCTGAGTGACACTAGTAAAGCGTTTATTTTTATTTTTCTAGAACTTACCTTATTTTTGTAGGACTTACTTTATTCTTTGGCCATAAGTATCTGATTTGCCTAGTCTTTCGATTAACAGCAAGTAGTTTGAATTTTATACAGAATAAGCTAACCTGATTATTTTAAGGATTTAAATACTAGCCAGGTACAAATTAAATCCATTTTTAAAACTGAAGAAATAGAGATGATAAACATATAAATCAATAAATCTTTTCTTGTTTAAAAAACTACACATTATTAGTGTTCAACAGGTTTCTCCAGAGGAACTTTGGTCTACTGGCCCAAATAGAACTGTACACCCAGTAACACATCCCCAGTGATTAAGAGGCCTGCATTGTTAGAAAGTGCAGGGAAGAACTACTTAGGCTTTATCAATTCCACATAGTTGGCTATGATATTCAGATACTAAATTATTATGGCAAATTAAACGTTTGGGAAATTCCAAAGGCATTTTTAAGTTCTAGAACAAAAGATGTTATTTAGTTGCTACTGTAATAACAATTCATATGGTAACAATTGTTAGAGGATAAATGTAGCACTTTGGGAAAGATTAAGGGATTGTTGTCCCTTTCTCAGATTTTTATTTATTAGTTTTCAGCTCATGGGAGTTTTCCCGAATGAAGCAGTACTTGATTATGGCATTTGGGTTTGAAAACATTTATTTTTCTAAAGTGTATGAAATAGGAGCCACTAGTGTTAGATCATGTAATGTTTGCTGCTAATTAAGAATTCTCCACAGTCTTAAATTATTCATTCATCCTTATCCTTTATAGACCTTTCCAGGGGAACAAACACATTGTTTGTTGTTATTCAGTGTGTTTGTATATTTGGATGGATGAGGCGAGAATATAAATGTTTTCTAAAAATATTTTTCTCTGCTGAACTAGACGTGCCTCTCTCTTTGTGTTTCCCTTGCAGGTCAGATGTACCAGCAGTACCAGCAGCAGGCTGGCTATGGTGCACAGCAGCCTCAGGCTCCGCCCCAGCAGCCTCAGCAGTACGGTATTCAGTATTCAGGTGAGCAGGTGTGGAAAGGGACGAGGCTACGGCTTTAGTTCTGTCTCTGTATTTTCTGAATGTTAAGCTCTTCCCTTTAAGTACCTGACTCTTAATTTGCCACATTTATCAGGGGAGACGGTTGTTTTATTTAAAATTTATATGTAAATGTTTTATTGGAAAGATAAACATTTCTGTTTTCTTGTGGGCAATAAAGACTTACAGTAGATGAATCTATAGTAACTGGAAGTGTAAAAAATTTTTAATACAAAGCTGTCTCTTACTAACATGATCAGCTTATCTGTAGATGGCTTAGAACTGCAAAAAAATGCAAAATTCCACCCTGTTTATATGTAACACACAGTTCCAGTATACTTGAGTACCTCAGAAATATTAACAGTTCTCTCAAACAGAAAGGTGATCTTATTAAGTAAAAACTAAATCAAGCTACTTAGGTATTTACATCTCCTAAAAACATGTAGGACACCAAAACTTGGCTGTAAAAATAATTTTAAATGTAACTCAGGCCACTAAGAACATTAAGTTTAGTTTTTTTAAATAAGCATCTGGCGTTTTTTTGTTTTTGTTATACCTCTGTCTATTGAAGATTATCTGTATTTAAGTGTGATAAATATCTTTAATGTAGCTTTGATTATACTTTAGGTAATTTTATATTTATGCCAGAGAATTCGATTCCAAGTCTTGGTTTACAGCCAGAAATTTAAGAATAAAACTTTCAACTCTAATTAAAAATAATTTATGAGCTGGGCGTAGTGACAAGTGCCTGTAATAGCAGCTGCTTGAGAAATGGAAACAAGAAGACTGAAGTCAGAGGCCGTCGTGACTAATCAATTTAGTGAGACCCTGTCTGAACATAATACTAACGAAGGGCTGGGGTTCGTGGTAGAGTGCTTGCCTAGCGTGCTGAAGCCCTGGGTGGTGCAGTCCCCAGTACTGTCAGAAAGAAGATATAAATGAATTTTGTTTAAATTATATTTTATAGTTTTATATTATCAAATGGAGCAGCGATGAGCAAGCTTGCTTTTTTTGTGAATAAAATTTTAATATGACATTTCTAGCCCTGTTTATTTCTGTATTTTTGTTTTTTTGTTTTTGGTTTTGTTTTTGGTTTTTCTCCGGTACCGGGAACCAAACTCACGACCTTGCGCTTGCCAGGCAGGCGCTTCGCCGCTGAGCTAAGTCCCCGCCCCTGATTTCTGTAGTTTTGGTTGCTAATTTGGCACGGTAATGGCAGAATCGAGTAGTTGAAGCAGATACAATGTGGTGCACAAAGCCTAAACTATTTACTGTCTGCTTGAGTATCTGGATGAGGTAGAGGTTGTAAGTAAGACTTAAAAATACTTCTCCGTGTTAAATTTAACCTGCCTCTTTTCCTTGTGAAAAGTACCCTTCATTGTGTAAATTTGCTTACCCCGACCTAGACCAAAAATTGTGTCATAAATTGGAGTTTATACATTTTAACACTGATAACAGTTTTACTTGGATTGTATTTGCTCTAGCATGATTTATCCTGTGCCTCTTTTGTTTTTTTGGTTTTTTTTATTGTATGAAACAGATGGAATGGGCTTAAGATCTAGTCATCATCTAAACTAGGGCATTTTAGCCCATGCCGTGCTTCCCAATCACAGAGGAGCTTCTTGATGCCCGGCCCCTATTCTCCCAAGTTTTGTTTGATATTTGGTTGGGGGTGGGACTTAGGCTTTGATACAGTATTTTAAAAGCATCATAGTTCATCTGCAGCCAGGGCTGGGGACCAATCATCTTGTCCCATTCACTGACTTTATAAATGAGGAAAATAGGGTCAAAGAGTTCATTACATGCCATAGGACATGAAACTATTCAGTGGGAGAGCTGAATTTTATAGTTTCCTGTACCATTCTGTGTTGTCCAACCTGGACCAAGAGTCAGAGTTTTTCCATAGAAGTCCAGGTAATATTTTAGTCTTTGTGGGGTATATGATCCTTCTTTTATTCATCGATTTAAAGAAATATCAGATATTCTGTACCAAAAGTTACTCATTTTTTTGCAGGGGCAGGAATGGAAGTGAAAGACTAACACAAATAATAACAAGCATTGCCACTTTATAATCAAAAGATTAGGAAGTTGCTAAGGAAATGCTTCTTGAGCTCTTAGGGTTAGTCCCCCTCTGAATAGTAATTAAGGATCCGGTTGCTTCCTGACTCATGTTAGATTTTATTTGCCAGAATGAAAAGGCAGCTTTGTAAATTCTTCCCTCAGTCTTCAATGAAGTAGACATTTTCAGAATGAAGTCTAATTCTTGTGTTTTGCTAAAAATTAGCAATAAAAAATGAAGTTCAAAACTTCTTTGAAGTGGGTAGGAGAAATTGTATGGCATTCAAGATTTTATCATGCATTTATTTTAGTTAAGTATTTAGATACTGCCACGAATAACATGCTTTAACTATTTGATTCTATTAACAGCTAAGCTTGCTATTAATAATTTTAGGGTGTTCACTCGGTAAAATTCAGTTCTTTTGAAATTATCTTTGTATTTCTGATCTGAGTAGTCCTGGTGATTTGAATTTGATCGAGAGTTATGGAAATAAATTGGAGCATTTTACACTGTTGGTTTGCCAGTTTCCCTCTGACCTTTTGCAGTTTTGTTCATGGACTGTATCATAAAGGTTTATTTCATGAGTAAATTTTGAACCCAGGTTCAAGGTGAGTTCAGAATATACTCAAATTCATTCAATCCTTTTTTTTTTTAATGCAGGGTTGTACATATTTTAATAATTTTCTTATGTATCTGGTATTTAATGCTGACAGGATTCCAGTCATTGGAGAGGTTTCATTGCACGTAGCTGCAGGTGTGTTTCATGGTAGAGCTAAAAAGTTTTCAGTGAAGCAGACTTTGTTTTAAGAAAAATTACGTCCTCGTATAATGAATGTAGATGTTGATTTTGTCGGGCAATACGATATGCTTTTTGTATGTTACGCTGTACTGTTAAGTTAAAGTTTCAGTTGTACAAAGAATCAGGGACCAAATATGAAAGAAATGAAAAATTGTAAGGATTGTAGAAATGGTACATGGTACTTGCTCTTAAATGCCGTGATAACTGAGTAAAGCTTAAAGCGTCTCAGTGTAATAAGGTATATTTGTAGTATTGTTTCATTTAAAAATACTCATTCTCTGCAGTGTTTTTCTTTAGTATTTTTGTAAATAGGCCTCCCATCCAAACTATACAGTTGTTAACTATTTAGCTTTTGTGTTTTTGGCCTTCCTAGAAAGTGTGAATTCCTTCTTTTATTATTCAAGCATCTTTACACTAGAAATTATATTGGAACAGAAGTTTGCTCTCAGGCTGTAAAGTCTCAAAGCGGTTATAACAAATACATATATACTGGGTTCATGTTAACATTAGGGGGTTTAAAAGTTGCCTAGAAAATGTCCCTTTAATAAGGTCTTGAAATATAATATTTTATATAGGAATCTACCACTCATTACATAAATTTTTGTAAGTTTATTGAACTTTTAATCATTTTTGGTCCATAACAGTAAGACTAATTCTCTGGAAACCTTTCATCAGAAGCGAAACGAGGTATATATGCTGTTTGTTTTGCTTTTTTCAGCTAGCTATAGTCAGCAGACTGGACCTCAACAACCTCAGCAGTTCCAGGGATACGGCCAGCAAGCAACTTCCCAGGCACCAGCTCCTGCCTTTTCTGGTCAGCCTCAACAACTGTCTGCTCAACCACCACAGCAGTACCAGGCGAGCAGTTATCAACAAACTTACACCACCCAAACTTCTCAGTCTGCTAACTACACTGTACCCCCTGCCTCTCAGCCTGGAATGGCTCCAAGCCAACCCGGGGCTTATCAGCCAAGACCAGGTTTTACTCCACCTCCAGGAAGTACCATAGCCCCTCCTCCAAGCGGGCCTAACCCTTACGCACGCAATCGTCCTGCCTTTAGTCAGGGCTATACCCAGCCTGGACCTGGTTATCGATAAGGAGGTTCAGCTATCCTGATGAAAGTAGCTGTTTGCCTCCCAAGACTCCAATACTATTTTATTTTAATTTGTATTGAAGTTCAGAAATTTAAACAGCACAGCATTTTTTTTATGGTATCATTGATGCTGTTAATTGAAAGTATAATTTGCTGGAGCACAAAAAAAAAGACCAAAATGAAAGTTTTTTTCCTCTCCTGCTTAAAAATGTAGCAGCTTTCTAGTTATCTTGGAACACTACTCTTACATGTGTGTAAAGTGATTGGCTTTCTAGCTTCTCTTGTCCAGAGGATATTAAAATGCTAGGTTGAGGTTTAGTCATCTTACTTGGCTTTTTACTGTTAACATGATGTACTACTAAAGTAGAACCCTTTGAGAAGATGACTAGATACTATATATAAAAAATGTAACATTGATAGGTTAATAAAGGTGATTGAATCCATTTATGGTCTTGTAATTAACTTAATCATAAACATTATATATATATGTGAAATAAGTTGTATTTTACAGAAATCCTTGTTAGTATTTGTTCTTAAAGTGAAGTGACTTACAGATTTGCATTCAGAGAAACAGTGCTATTTGGTTTTTGATTTTGAAAGAGATGCATTTAACCGCCACTGGCTTAAACAAACCTTAAAATAGACTTCTCCTTAATTGAGACTATTAGCACAGTAGATACACTGTGAAAAAGATGTGAGGGGGTGTAGTAGATCCTAACTTTGTGATTTTGTTTCTTATGTAGTAAAGATACGTTTACATATAGATAAACCATTCAGAAAAAAAACCTCTCAGTCTTAAAAAACTACATTTGTTTATTGAAGAATTTATAGCTACTTAAAGAATACAAAGTGTAGCATTGGTAGAATTGAAGCATGTTGAAAGATAAACATAGGGAAATGACCTTCCATGAGGGTAATAATGTAGCATTTCCATCTCCCTTCCAGCACAAATGAAAACAGTACATTTTAATGAAAATGAGTCATAGATTTTTATTACATCTTGAGTTAAAAAGAATTACAGAGACACCCTGATTCATTCATAGACGTCTGATGTATAAATACATAGCAAATCGTCATTAGTAAAATGGTAGGAATCTCATCATGCGTTACCTTTTTCTGCTCAAACTTCACATTCAGTCTGCATACAGTTTGATTAGAATCATGAAAACAGCGTAAAGACAATTGGTTAAAGGGCTGGTTTGATAAAGTAGATTCAGATACTAGTATACTTCTTTGAAAACTGAGTATATCAGATTTTGAGCTCCATTTTTAGTGGAAATGAAATTACTGATTCAAAATATCTTCAGTAATTGCTGATATTTCATGGAAATTTACATTAGTATGAACATACAAACGCCTCAGAACATTTTTAGCTGTTGCCAAAAAAATTGAAGTTTAAATAAACATGAAGACCTGCTTTCCTCCAGATACTTATACGGAAGATAATGTGATCTAATAAGTTAAACTAAGTAGAGATTTACAGAGCTAACTCACCAGTAGGAAGCATACACATCAATAGAAGTAAATATTTTAAAAAGTACATTGTTTTTGATGTTAATTTGTTATAAAAGTATCTCAAAACATCATTACAACAGTGTGATAAATAATATACAAATGCTCTCTTAAAATACCATGAATAGGGAGCCAGCTTCCCTAAAAAATGTTACTCTGTTAATGTCAATATCTTGCTTTGTTAAAATGATTTTGTAAAAACTGATAAATATTCTCAGCAATCTTTTTTTCTAAACACCTAATATTGCTATTAGATTGCAGGCTTTAATACATAGTAAACAAAATTGCTTTAAATGGATGAGAAAACACCATAGTGGGTTTTTTTTTCTGGTTTTGGGGTGGGGTTTTTGTTCGTTTGTTTTCGGGGGGGGTTTGGCCATATAAACCAGAAGTAGTTTGCAGCAAGATCGCAGCATCTACCACTTTCCGGGAATTGTAGTCCCGCACTCGTACCACTGGACGTAGTTGATTTGGGTGTGACCACCTATTTCTCCAAATTGGACAGGTTCCTGGCGAACTGCTCTGAAATAGCCTAAGAGAGAAAATAGTTGAGTTTTAATAACTACCGTGTTACATTTAACCCTTGCTGTTCATAGACTGAAGGATGTTATTGAATGGCTGGAGCAGTTAAGAAAACAAGATGCCTTTTGTCAGGTATGGAACTCCCCAGATTCTTGATGTTTGGTTTAGCAAGTTAGGACGGGACCACCGATAGTACCTGAGAACAGTTTCAGCTGCCCATGGACAGGTTCAGCAGTCTTAAATCTGGTTAATACTTTTAAGTGCCAGTGGGGAGGGGATGTGTTACTGAAAAGTCTAACCAAATAACTGACAATATTTAAAGAATTGCTTGGTATTTCTTGACCCCTTCTTCACTGCTTAGACAAGGATTAATTTTGTCTTTTTCAATCTTCATTACACAGTTGGGTGCTAGTGTGTATTTAGCACATTACAGAAGTTGTTCCTCAGCGAAATTGTCACATTTTAATTATAGTTATTTGTAAGACTCTCTTCCATGTGTTAAGAAATAACATTTTAAAGTTTTTAAGAAAGTAGAAGGTACTGCAGGTATACTCAGTATGACAAAAAGCGTAACTTCTCATACATGAATGATTTTAGTTTGGGAAACACTGATCTTTTATAGCTGTTCTTGCAAATACAGAATTGCTTAAAAGTAGAGTACATTTATTATGTCTGTAACTGACCTTGTCTGTAAGTGTCTGAGTTGAGAAACTTTTTCTTCATTTTTTTTCTAGCCAAATACTTAGAACAGTAGTTCGGTAGAATTATTTTTAACTTGATTACTTTTCTTGACATAGTTCTGAGTTAATCTATAAAGCACTCTTGCTTACGAGGACCATCAGAAAACATACCTTCTTTGGTGGGTAACTGATCAGGAGACAGATGCTGTCCTGTGCGGCCATCTAAAAATGAGTCCACGAACTGACAGTGATCCTCTCCGTGGCCCCTCTGGTCGCCTATGTTATAAAATTGCCCTGGAGAAGCAGAGAGTTGGTACATGACAGCTCTGAAGTAAATTGTTTCTAAGAGTAACCTTTCCTGTTCTTGCACGTTTTCCCTCCCTCCACTAGCCACCAGCGGCTCTGGACTGAGCTACAGAGTCAGTCTTCTAACGGGTGCCTCCGAGTTCTTTCTTCTGTATTATTTCTCTCTTCCTCTGTTTACAAATTAGTGATTTGTTAAAAGAGTTCAATTAAGGTAATGCTTTCCCCCACCTTTCGGGTAATTTTCTCTGGCAGCCCCCATTATACTAAGAATAAAACTTTATTTCAAAGCTCTATGAATTTAGCCTACGGAGCTGGCCAGGGTGTTTTCTGCCTCAGGTCTTCGGACTTTACATCTCTATATCTTTATTCTTAAGCCTTTGGTTGGTTCTTAAATTTTCTACTTAGTAGAAGTGATACCTTTATAGAGAGACCTTCGCTAAAACTATTCTAACTAAAGGAGTTTCTAATCCCTCTTAAGCCATTCTCTTACCCTTCTTAGAAAGGGACTTGCCTGAGAGTGCTCCTTAGGTATTTGTCCGTCTCCCTACATAGAGGAGGAGAGAGGTGTGCTACATGAAAGTGTCTTGTTTGCTACAACAGTGCCTGGCACAAAATAGGTAACACCATAAGTATTTTTAAAATGACCGGACATCTCATCTCCTAATGTTGGGGCCCGCCTTATATATTTGTCAAAATTTTTTATTGTGTGAATCTGGGATGAAAGTTACAGACTTTAGGGTATTGAGCAAAGAGTCAGAGCCCTTGTGGTATCTTAAAGATGCTATATTTCTTCCACAGTGATTGTTACGTACAGTCATTTTACGATCAGTAGACTTTTTACCCTTGGATGGCTGTGACAAAGTGGAACTTGAATGCACTAGTGCCTGTACATGGTCAGTGTGCCATGACCGCACTGTCAACTTGCTTCTTCACTACTTTCTAATAGCAAGGCTAAGTCCTTGTCTTCTGGGATGAGACTCTGTTTCAGTAACAGTTTGCTTAGAGGAAACCTTGAGTAGGGTACCCAATCACCCGTTAGTGCCTGGAACCTCACAGAAAAGGCCAAGGCGGAGAGTACAGTAAACGTTCTCTGAAGGGAAAGGTTCCAAACAGGGCTACTAGCCCTACTTACCTGTAAGGGAGTCGCTTAGATAAATCTTGTACCTAAGAGAGTTGCACAGCTGCACGCCTACAAATTTTTTATACCACGTCCTTTTGACATATTGTTTGCCTTTGCATTCTGAGTAAGAGTCTGAGTTAAAGGGCCTTTCGGTCCAGATGGCGTCTCTTCCTGCTGCAGTAGGAGAAGACATGGTTTGAGTTTATTGTCCGACTCCAGGCACTCAGGAGCTGTGCTCAAGAGTTTATAAAGCTGTCTGCAGAGTTCATCACGCACTTGCTGACACTGACATTTTTCCCAGCGCTAAATATGGAAAGCAGAACTAGTGCGAAACTTCAGAACAGACTCAGGTTCCTGTCGATAGTTACGTACATCTCAAAGCAGTATGTTTAGGTGCTAGATGTAGACTTTTCTTTAGGGACAAACTTAGGTTTATTTTTTGCAGCATGTTATAAGATTCAAACAGAAGTTTCAGTATGACACTGTTAAATTTACTTATCTGCCTGGTACACGTGGAAAAGTAAGTTTCAGAGGGTCTGTCTTGCCCCTGCACCCTGCAGTGTCCTCCCTTCTCAGTGTCCAGCAGCTTATTCACACCTGAATGATTTCTGAGAAAGCTAATGGTAAAAAAAATCCTAACCCAAGCTCTACCATGTCTCTAGTGCAGTCAGTTTAGAAATCGTGCTTGTTCCCCTGAGACGAATACTTACCGGAAACTGGCTCGCTCACTCTTGGGTCAGCTGAGGAGAGACAGCAGGCACAGAAGTCAGCCCTTAGTACAGTAAAGTTCTTAAGTCCTAAAGTTCCAGTGGCATGATGAAGGAGGTTTAAGTCTTAACTGCAAAAATGGTACATTCTTGCTAAAGACTGAATTCGGAAGTTTTCTTTGGAAAGGTCCTTGACTGAATAATTTGCCAGGTATTCAAAACCGTCCTTTTTATGTGAGGAGTAATGAGGAGCCTTTGTTAGTGTTCTAGCCTTCAATTTCAAGTTTCCTTTTTTATACAGAAAGTATTCACGGTAGAGTCACCAAGATACCATGAAGTGTAGTTGCCATAAAATCATGTAAATAATGCCGTACGTACAGATGTGTGTTTTAAGGCGTTGGAGCTTGGAATGTGTACTTAGAAAGTGTAGCAAATGCCCTTTCATGATGTGCTCACTGATACTTCGATCCTAGGCATACTACGGAGCATTCGTTCACCACATTTTTAGTGTAATTTATGCTTTTCTGAAGTGATGTATCTTTTTTTTTGACATAGAAAGAAATGAGGAAAAGCGTAAGTGGTGTTGTCATGAGGCTGCCTTCATCAGTTAGCTCTTCCCAAGAGACAGTTTTTTAGGAATTCCTGACACGAGTGTATAGAGTTTAGCTGTGCTTAAAACAGCCTCCCTCTGCGAAACATTTCTCCCATTGGATGCCTTTACATTCTTGTTGGGGATTAATACCCACGTGGTTACCTGACTCCGTACTGAATGCCACTGTGTTACTAGCTGGGCCTTCACCGAGTGGGTTTTTGGGCTTCACCTGGAATTCGTAGCTGTGTAGGGAGAAATAAAAATAATGGTAGTATATTATTGAAGAGTAGGAAAGCAACACTTCCTTGTTACACTGACGTCCCTCCTGGTTCTGTTTGAAATGATGATGACAGCGTGGGTTCTAGAAGGGATTGTGGGAAGCAAAATGCTTCCTTAATTTTACTTTCTAAATACATCCTCTTGTCTGATGTTTTATACAGCAAACATTTCTTCAGAAAGCCAAACCAGAAAGAACTGGGCAGGCTGGTAATAAGACAGAAGTACGTGGTGGGCCCAAGCTAATTCCGTCCGGGAGGCGCCTTCACTTTCCTTCAATGTCCCTATTTCCTCTGGCAAGGGAGGAGAAGTACCTTGAACTTAGCTAGTGAATTTAGGTAGTCAAGTAGTATTTCTCATTTGAACTGCCTGTGTCAGAACCAGGGTAGGGTGGCAGTGGGAAAGTTTGCTTAAAGTATGAATTGCTTGCCCGACCCCTGCTACTTGAAGTTTCTTTGCAAGGCTTTTGTGTCTCCTGGGACTCAGGTCTGCTGTGGACAACAGGGAGCCCCCATGTGGAGCAAAGGGGCTTGATAGTGTTACTTCACCCAGAGCCCAAGAGCAAGCGGACTGCCTTGGTGAACCAGAGGCACGCTGGCCAGGTCCTTCCCCTTTATGTAAAAACAAAACACAGATCCCTTGGAATCGTAGGTCCTTTTGATTCTGACCTTAAAGTTACTCACTGAGTCGTGCAGTATTTGACAGGTTTTCTTCATAGGATAATGTAAGCTGAAAGTTCTAAGAAACTCAAAACAGTGAAGCAGTTTCCCTTTGCCTCAAACTTGGCAGCAAAATAACTAGATTTAAAATCATCTTGAGTCACCTGATAATATTGTGAGCTAGATTTGTACAAAGTTTTTATAAACTCATTTACATCTTTGAATTAAATAAGAATGCAGAACACAAAAGGTAGATATTTTATAAGCAAGTGACAAAAAAAAAGGATGACAACTCTGGTACAGATGGTACCAACTGAACAGTAAAGGAATTTTCTGGGGTCCAGGGAGTCACTTTCTCGATGACTCTGGCACTGCACTGTAGCACTGCTAGAATTTAGTGTGAGAAGATAGGCCCTGGTATTATAGTGGGGCAGCTAGTTCTGAAGCACTTACTGTGTGCTGGATACATACACAGTGTACATATTCTACATATCCAGTATAAAGTAATCCAGCACAAATCCCGTGGGATAAACACTATTATCAGTTGGAGAAAATGCATATTTTATTCATGTATATATGTGTGAAATATATATATGCAGTGTTCTCACATGGGATATTTTCCAGATGCAGTTCTTCCTAAGAGTCCTAAGGGCTTCAGAACAAAATAAAACCATTAACAAAAAAGAAAAATGAAAAAAATCTCACAAAACAGGTGAACTGAGAATGGAAGGAAAAAAGTCACAGGCACCTGGAGATGGAGTCAAGGAGGAACGCGTTTCGCGTGCGTTCCGAACCGTTGCCAGCAGCCCTGGGCCTTGGCCGAATCTGACTGCTGGAGTCGTATCCATGGCTTTTTATTTCACAGTTATTTATATTTAAGCTGTATTTGTATTATGGCCACAAATATTTATAAGCTACTTTCTTGACAGTATTTTATGATACTTGGCAAATTTTAAAATAATTTAAAACAGTTTAACAATGAGGACATTTTTATGTGATTAAACCCTAAACAAAAAGTGTTTTTGTAGCAAAATCTTTCCCCAAAAGTATACTTTTTTTTAAGAAGAATGATACCATAAGTCTCTAATGTCTAAAGAGGAAATATTAATTGTACACAGAAAATAAGCACAGGATAAAGTTTTTAGCAAAGTTCTTTGAAATAAAAAATATAAGTAAAATTAGAATTTACAAATTTGAAAATATTCTAGAAATAGAGATACAAAATGAAAGTATGTAAGGAAATTGGGAAGATTATTTCAGGGAATACATTACTTCACTAGTAAGAATTGTAGACGAGGGCCAGGGATATAGCTCAGCAGCACAAGCACCAGCCTGGCAAGCACAAGGTCCTGAGTTTGATTTCTGATATCAAAAAAAAAGAATTATAGAAGAGAAAATAGGAGGAAAGTATGGTAGAAAATTGTTCCAGAAGTTGTAGAGTATAAGAAATTTCCCCAAACTAAAAGATACTTTTCTAGTTGAAAAGGCCTACTTTGTACTTGGGGGGTGGATTAAAGGACTAAAGTATTATAGGAGTTGAAAAATTTCAGAAGAGAAGAGGATAAAATCAAAACTCTAAAGACAGAACCAAAGGGTCCTGTTCAAAGGATCCAGAGTCAGAACGATGTTTGTTTGACCGTAACGGCAACAGCGTAAGTGAGGGGACATGCTCAAAAAGGAGCAAATGCTGCCTTTAAAAGTCTTTATTTTTTGTGATTTTATCCTGAAGTCTGTTTTCAGCTGAGCAGTAGTATCAAATTAAAGATGGGCTTTTAAAGCGTGTAGAGACTAAAAAACACTGTCTCCATAACTTTCTCAAAGTATGTTTCCCTGGAAGCTACAAAGTAAGTAACAGGGAAGACACGGGTGTGGGAGTTAGTGGATTTCACATAGGCACATGATGGTGGTGAGGGGCTCCAGAAGCGATGCTACTGTGAGCAAACAAATACAGAGGGCAGAAAAAGACGACTTGAATGTTTGACTGTTTTGAGACATGTTCAGTCTAGAACTACAGATTTAGTTAACTGAAAAAATAGCTAAATTAATAAAAAATGTTTGCCTCAGGAAACGAGTAGAAAGGAACTCCTTTTGTTGTGTTTGAGTTTTAACTTTTATTTTAAACTGGCAGCTTGATCCAGTGGTTAAGTCTGGTTTCTGTCATTATTACAAAATATCTGAGGCAGGCTTCTTTAAAAAGAAAGAGGTTCATGGTTTTGAAGGTACAAGGTCTAGGGCCCACATCTGATGCTGACATTCGGCTAACACAGTCCTGAGGTAGAAGAAGGTATCACGTGACAAGAGACAGGGTATGTGCCTGTTGGTGTTCTCTTCCTACATGGAAAGCAACTGGGATTCAGTCATGGGACCTCACCCTACAGATTTACCTAATCCTGAGCACTTTCCAGAGGTCCCACCTCTATAAAAACAGGGCTGTTAATTTTCCATCCTTTCAGTTCCTCGTCCCTAGGGATTAAACTCTAGGCTATGTTCAGGGGTACAAGAGCCATCTTCATAGAAAACAAGACAAAACATTTATTTCTGGAAAGAAATGAAAATTCAAAAGCCACTTACAAGACCAAGACTCACTCTATAAAAGTGAATGTCTAAATGGAGTACAATCCAGATGAAATCTGGGCCCCATCTAGGACCCGTCGGGTAAAATCTAACACCCCCCCTCCCGCCCCAATGCATTGCATAGTTCTTCCTGTGTAGGTGTGAATCTCACACAACCTTCCCCTACATACCTGGCAGGAGGTAGTGTGACCCAGTGGTCAAATACATGGTCTCTGTAGACAGAAAGACGGGTTTCTAGCCACTAATATGTGATTCTGAGCCGTGGTTTCTCTTCATACATAAAATGAAGCTAGTAACACTATTTGTGAGCACACTGTTGTCATTATAACTTCACAAAAACACAAACTTCTGAGGTTTGCATGAGGATTAAATGAGGTAACACAAGTAAAAGTAAGGGGCCTGACACAGTGATTATAAACACTAGTATTGTACCCTGTAGGATTTTTTTTGAGAGACGTTTTTATTGAGGACCTTGACAACACTACCATATACCTCTCAGTGTAGAATTCCTTGCTGTCACCTACTTGCGTTTTACTTGGTTAGAATAAGGCCAGAGCCAGTGAGTTACCAGAAAGATTGAAATTTTATTGGGTAAATCTTTCTGCCTGTACCTCCTTAGACTAAGAAAATAAAGTTAGAATGCATTGAGAAGTCTAGGAAGTTCTATAGCATTATCCTGAAAGGGAAAAGAATAAAGCATAGAGTTTGAGACCAAGTTTGAAAGCAGCTATAAAAATCAGCATCATCATAATACATGAGTTCACGTAAAAGTGAAAGTCCAGGGTTTCGGAAGGTGCAGCCCATGGTGCCTGAGGTAACTGTCAGAGCTGGGTGAGCCCTGCTGGGCAGGGTCTGCCTCAGACTAACCTCTTCAAGGTGAGGCGGAGGTGGGGGCACACGGGGCGCCCTCAGGTCAGTGGAGAAGGCCACTCTTTCTGTCATCTCTTCCCCCTCGTGTTCCTCCTTACAACTTTTTCCCTGGGTGTTTTCCCAGAATGCAGAGTGCTGAATGATATTTTTCATTGTTTGATGAGATTTTTCTGTTACATAGTCTCTAATGGTTTAGAAAATTGGCTTAACAAAAGTCTTACTAACCTCAAGCAACCTGCCACCCTGTAGCTGCTGTTTGGTTTGACTTTTTTGACTTGGTGATTTTACTTCTCCTGTGGTCTTTAAATGTCTGAGCCCCATTCAGATGACGTTTCCATCAGATGAAAAGAAAAGTGGAATAGGAAAAAAAAAGTAAGGGCCGCTCAAAAGGTCTGGGGACATGTAGTCAGTCGTTTGTGAAAGTGCGTCTCCAAGGACACTCCAAGACTATAGGAAGCATTTGTGGATACCTGGGACGTGCACAGTCATTGTGTAGATTTCAGAACGCAACTAAGGAGCAAGAGGACAGAGCTGAGCAAAAGGCGCACCGAACAAGCCTGCAGTGGTCGAGCTGGAGGAGCGGCACGCACCTGCAATCCCAGTTACTTGGGATGGGACGCCGATACGAGCAGTACCGCAAAACCCTCATCTCATAAGCAGAGCTGGGGTCAGAAGGAAGAACAGGGCTTAGCTGTCATGAGAAGTTATAAACTAGCTGCGGTTACGCCCCAAGGGATGTTCGTTGGGTCCCCCGTTTCTGTGGGGGGCGAGCAGTTCAGAGTTGAGCTGCACTTCACTTCTGCAGTGCTGCCGTGGCCTGCCCCCGCCCTTCCGTGGACTAAGGAGGCCAAAGGAAGTGTGAGGAGCACACGGCGACACGAAAGGAGGCCGATCTTTGTGGACCAGCAGGGTTCTGTGCTCCTAGTCCACTGCTTTTTTTTTTTTGGTTTTTCCCGGTACCGGGAACCGAACTCATGACCTTGCGCTTGCCAGGCAGGCGCTTTTGCCGCTGAGCTACATCCCCAGCCCCTCCACTGCTCTTTGCGTAGTGAAAAGTTGCTAAACTGAGCTATCAACTCAGGTTCTTCCTTCTTTAAAAAGGAAGGAGTTGCTCTTCTGCTCCCCACACCTACCATAAAACTAAAACTAAATAAATGCCTGATACTTTGGCAGCTTATTTGACTTTCTACAAAGCACGTGAGATGACAAGAGACATTGAAAAGTTAATGCAGAATTTCCAGAGGCCAGAATTTCACAGAAACACTATGAAAAGGATATAATGGCTATTCCACATGCCTGGTTCCTTCAGCCAGATTTACAGTTTATGAAAAGTTGCTGCCTCTATTCCAGCCGATCTTCAGAGTGCCAACATTTTATTCAATCAAACAACATAAACAAAGAGTCCTAAACAACCTTGGTGCCGCTGCGGCAGGCTTTAGTCTTACAGGAAGCACTGTTCTCCAAAATCCCCCCAAGCCAACAGAGGTCAGTAAAAATACTTGGGCAGATTAAGTGAATTTGATTTGTCTTAATTATCAGACAGAGGACATTTTCCATAGGAGATTGTCAGACCACAGAAAGGCTGGCACACACAATGGATTCTTCAGTTTTTCAGTGAAGTGAGGAAAGAAAGTGGGCTTATTGAAACCAAAGTGCAGGTTTAAAAGGCCTTTTCAGGACGGGGTGTGGCTCAGTGATAGAGCTCTTGCCTTGCATGCGGACGGCCTGGGTTCGATCCGCAGCACCGCACACACTAAATAAATAAGTCGCCTTCTTAGTGTCAGTGATTGCTGTGTCCAGCTCATCAGGAGGAACACAGCCCATGAATGCATTATCAAAATGTGTGCTCAAACAGTTCATCTGAAAACAGACTGCAGACAGCAAACGGTCGAGAGAAACTAGTTTCCTGGGAAAAGTTGTTACGCGGCTGGCCGAAGTTCCAGTTCCATCACTGACCTGGTGCACGGCTTAAACTACCATAAATTATGAGCTAGAAGAGACTGAGAGACCAGCACACCGCCTGTCCCTGTATGCACTCGTGTGAGATTTATGATTTGTTATACTTTATCAGTTCCTCTATTCACAGAAATAAAAATCATCAGCGATCTTGCAGACTCGGTGGGTTGCTCCATATTGGGAAAGCCCTCCATAAGGTTTTTCTTTTAGTTGCACAAGAGCCCAAGGACAGAGAGGATTGGTGTTCCTAGGTGAGTATAGGACAGGAGTGGAGAAAATAAATGGAAAGTAATTATCACAAGTAGGCACTGGTGGATTTGAATAACAGCACTTCCATGTGTCCTTAAGGGTGAGAAGTGAGAGACGGACGCTGTAACATTTCTCTGCCCTCACTTGACTGAAAGTTACGGCTTCCCTTCCCTGTGCAGTGCGTAACCACAGCCCACTACAGCTGCAGGCAGCCGCGGGCCTGGCCCTGGGCATTCTGCTGCCCTTCTAGGTGCCCCCAGGAGTTGCAGAGTCGTCATAAGGCCCTGTCTCTATACGCAGGGAAACCCAGTGCCTGATGTGGAGCCAGACTCTCATTTTGGCAAAATTCCGCTGAGTAGCCCTTTCCTGTGGGCTACTTTTTGAGCTTCTGTAGAGGAGATAAAAACCTGGCTAAGTCTAAAAACGTGTAGAAGTCTGGCTTTCTCTGTGAGAAGGAAAAAGGAGCACGATCTCTCGTCATTTGTTTTTGGAATAATACGTGATCATTTAGGATTTCTGACCAAAACAAGACTACAGATCTTTAATCTCCACCTTGAGTCTTCCGGTTTAAATGTTCCAACTCCAGGCTCCACTCCACCTATGTCAGTGTGTAAACATTAGCCACTTTTTTCCCCATCAGTCCAATTGGTGGAAAAAGTGTTACCAAGACAAATGGTTGACATCTCTGTCCTGGTAGTGGAACGTCACTCTAGTAATTCCTTCAGAAGTTTATTATCCTCCAGTTCGTCAGGTAGGAAAGGCCAGAAGCTCAGCAGCTATAATTCAAGACGTGAGTCTGTGCGCTAACACACACTTGCTCACACTCGCCTGCCACACTCACCCAGCCGGCTGCTTTCTACTACAAGTCTCGGTCTAGATGCCACCTTTTCCAGGACAGTTGTCCTACCTGTGGTGGACATTCCCCCTGGGCTGCTCTGCAGTTTCTGGCCTACTTCCACCGGTCTTCCACCGCTTCAGGTAGGACACTCGGTCATTAGATGCTTCTTGCTCGCCTTGCTGCCTCGTGTACTCAGGGGTATGGCCAGAACACGGGCACACAGCCGAACACAGCCTTGACGCTGGATACACATTAGCTGACTGGAAATGCAGACCTCTTACAAACAGATGGGCCCTAAAATTTCACCCGAAAGACTGTGTTCTACATTTTTACTGTGAGCTAATGGCTGCGCTGGGAGACGTTCCGAGAACAGCCTGATTCAGAAAAGGGGAACAGAGTGCACATTTAGAAACTGGACAGCTTTCATTAGAAATCGTATTCCACAGGCCACTTTTTATTAAGTGGAATGAAAAAGCAGGAAACTAAAACGAAAAACCAGGTTTTGTGAGCACACATGTACCTATTAATAAGACAAAATTGAATTTTTTTCTTTCTTTTTCCTAAAAATGTATCCTAGTAAAATTGGGCTCTGTCTTTCAGTTGTGGTAAGGAAACAGAATCGGGACCATCAAGTAGGTCTTTTACTAAAATATGTGCTTATTTTGGCCAAGTTAAATCTTTTGAAGAAAATGAACAGTTAACAAAATTTTCCGTGTTACAGTTCAAACAAAAAAATGCTGAGAAACCACATTTGTAGGAGAAATCATTTTTGCAGCATAAGACTAAAGTTTATGCACAGTAAACCATCTCTAATGAATGAGATGCTTCTTTTTCCTCAAACGTTTAGAAGAATCCCTCTACCACCAGAGCTGAAATAGGGGTTGGAAGAGTGAAACAATGAAAAAAAAAGCTCTTATTTTTTCTCTCCGTAGTAAACTGATAAAATATTGTGTGTTTTAGATTTACAAAGGAATCAAGAACTGTGCAGTGTTGTGAATAACCTGGTATCAGGGTGTAATAAGGGATATCTAAAAAAGTTGTTTATTATAGAACAGTGTTAAAAATACGCAACTCAGCTAGGCGTGGCGGTGCAGGCCTGTAGTCAGAGCACTTGGCGGAGCTGAGACAGGAGGACTGCAAGTTTGAGCTCAGTCTGGGCAGCTTAGAAGCTGAGCAAGACCTTGACTCTAAAGAATATATAACAGTGCAAAGACCCTGGGTTCCATCCCAAGTATCACCCCCCCAAAAATATGCTGCTCCATTGTCAAGACAGTAGTCTCAATTTCTTAATGATAAAATGTCCCTAAAGCAAGTAATTTCTGTATCTGGAACTGGGATGTTATTATTTAAAGTATTCCTTAGTACTAAAACTACCTACAGCTTGTCACATGGCTTCCATTTTTTTTTGGACTTTTCTGGCCTGAAAGCCAAACTCTTCAGAGTCTCAAATCCAGTTTGCATCATCCCCGTTCCGGTCAGCTCCTGCCCAGAGTGTCTTAGTTGTGGTATTCAATATCAGGGTTTGATATCAATGGCCGTTTTTAATGTTGCTGGTACCTTACAAGACCATTTTCTTTTGGCCCTTTTATCCCCACCGATAATTTGCATATTGGCAACACACGTCTCCTGAGGTATTTAATGTCACATACAGAAAGCTGGAGTGAAACACAAGCTCTGCTAAGACAGAGAAGATGAAGTAATTCTATTTCTTGGTTGGCGCTATGGCTTCTGCACTATCAGAATTCACCTGGAACAGCCCGAGGCTTACCTTGTGTCTGGTTTCAGATTTTCCACTGTGGAGAAAGTTTGATTTGTAACCTGAATGGACTTATTCTTCCCACTGAATGACCCATTTTCTCTGGATATAACTTCATATTCTGAAAAATGATAACAAAAAGAATAATTGTCTTCACGTCCTAGTTGATTTAATGGCTTTCGAAGCTAATAGTATAATATAGCCATTTATAAAAATAAGCAATTGTAATTACAGTACTAGAAACATGTTGATCTTATACATTATCAATTTCCAGATAGGGATGGTCACCCCAGTGGATAAAGGTCCCCAAAGCCCTTTGGGAGTTGCTTACTGGCCATTTCTGCTTTCTCTTTGTCAGACCAGAGGAAAGCCTGGTAAAGGCTAATGACCTCCTGTGGCTGACTGAGATACAGAGCGGGTCATCATGTTGGGTAGGAAAGTCTGCCACCGTCAGGAAGCCCAGTATGGGAAACACGCGGCGAGGGGTGATGCCTGTGTAGAGGCCGTGTTTCCTAATCTGTGGGGCTTCATATGCAGGCTGAGGTGAAGGTCATTGACTGGTACAGCTGCAAAACTCTGAGCTTTAAAACTACATCGACAAACAACAGTCAACCAAATAATAAGCTGTTTTTCTGTATTTACAATTATAGACTTGGGAGGTTTTTATACCTTTCGCTTATGCTACCTTGATTATTTTCTTTGTAGTAAAGGAAAATCCCGTCTTTGAGGCCTGCACAGAGGTGTGCGGACTTTCACTCACAGGCATGTTTCTATGCAGTGCTAGGGCTCTTCAAAACAGACTATCAGAATAAGAGAATAAAATTTACAGGCTTGTCAGTTGGTCTTCCCTGCTGTCCACTGAGATTTGAACTTAATGCATGTGACAAGATGATAGAACTAAAAACAAATCAAAGCATCACACGACTCAAAGTCACTCCACTGGCGCGGAGAGATGAGAGCTCGGCCTCCCGGGAGGCGGGAGGGTGTGAGAACGCCGGCAGGCGCTGCTACGACGCTGCTGTTGTTCCGAGGGGAACACTGGAAATAAAATGAAAACTACAGCAGCTCAGGGAAACCTAAAATTTCCAATTCTACTTCGGAAGGAATTTTAATAGTTTATTTAAAAACCCAAAAAGGAAGATGACATTTTGGGGGAACAATTTAACATGACCGTCTTTCTGAACATCAAAACAGAACGGGGAGACAGTGAACCCCATCTGGACACGGCCACTGCAGCCGCTCAGCACTCCTGACTGACGCGCACAGAGGAGCTCACTCAGATTCCTCTTTGCTCTCCCCTGGGCTTTTTATTCTAGAAGAGCATGGGGGGCTGGGAGATAGCTCAGTGGCACAAGTGCCTGCCTGGCAAGCGCAAGGTCCTGAGTTTGATTCTAGGTACCAAAAAAAAAAAAAAAAAAAATAGAACATGGAAAAGAGAGGGAGGGAAGACCGGGAGTTCAAAATTGTGCGTGTTACATCTTTCCTCAGCTGTTAAGCGGTATTTGCTGGGGAAAAAAGCTGTAAGCAAATTTAGTTTTTAAAGAATTTAAAATGTAAGCAAACTGGAATTTTAAAAATATGGCAACCACATGACTTCATGGAAGGAGACAAACCAAGCCACTCACCTTGAATTTAGTTTCAGGAATATCGTATAAAGTGATCTGCTAAATTAAAAGGGAGCCCCATTACAAGGACAGAGATAAACTTGTCCCGTCCTGCCATACTTTGGACAGTGTGCCATAAATAGAACAACTCGAGGACGCCTTCTCCTCAGAGAGCCTCACACGCTCCTGCTCCGCCCAGGGCACCTCATGTTGTGGAGGGTTCCCACCAAGGCAGCAATCCCTCGTGCCACCATCTTACCAGTGACAGTGTCATTTAATGGCTTTTCCCAGTCCAAGATGACGAACGAGGGGCACCCCTCCACAGTGACCACGGTGAGGTTGGTGGGCGGGTTCTGTGGTGGGCTGGTGGCGTGGCCTTCCATGGCCTCCTCTGTGGGGAAGCGTTGGACGGAGTCGGTGATGGAGCACGGCTTGCTCTCAGGCTTTGGGATGTACCGTACATGGGGACCTGAGAGTAAGAAGGCTGAAGTTACCGTTTTTGAAACTTGTAAAGATAGAAATGAGCTCGTAAATAGAATCATCTCGCTATGGACGTCCAGTCTCATAGGCAGATGGTTGAAAGCAGTGTTGTTGATGACTCAGACTTGTAAAAGTCCAAAATTCTGTATCTGGAATATATGATGTGGATGTTGTTGAATTATTTACAAAGTTTTATGTTGATATTAAAAAAATTTGGTCCTGTGGGCTTGGCTTAGTCATATAATTTCTGAGACTTTGAGTCTTGCTTTGGTGGTGGGGAAGAATGAGCCCTACAGTAAATACAATTCTGGTCTCACCTAACAAATCTTAAAAGCTAGACTCAAAAAGATCAGTAGTTTCAAGTAATTTCACTGTACCTATGAGCAAAATTCAAGAATATTTTAAGAAAAAAAGTATATGGCATTCACCAAAGAGAAATTCACAAGAAAATATTACCCAGAGTGAGGAGAAAAATTAGTCATTTGAAACCAGTTTAGAACTTCTGTAGATGTTAGACTCACCAGCAAGAATAATGAACAGTTATCTTTATAATCTGCATGTTCAAAAAATTAAGACATGGAAGATATGAGAAGACCCAAATCAAATTTCTAGAAATGAAAACTATAATATATAGGATACAAAATACATTGGAAATAATTAATACACAAAGGATATTATAAAACAAAAGCAAACTTGAAGACATACCAATAAAAATTACTCAAAATAAAAAATGGGCAGAGTAAAGAAATGAAAAATAAGTAACACTGGGCTATCAGACAACTTCAAGTGTTCTTATATACATGTAATTGAAGCACCCGAGGTAGTACCTGGGTAAGTAGGCAGGAAAAAAATAATAACTCAAAAGTTTCCAAGTATAATAAACATTCTAAATGTATAAATCCAAAAAGTTCTAGAACATTTAAGTGCAACAAACATGAAGATAACTATGCCAGTCAAGTCAAGTTTCTCAAAACCAATGAAAAGAGAGAATATCTAGGGGAGAGCCCCCCAAAAGATGTTACATATAGAATTACAAAGGTCAGGGTTCTAGTGGCCATTTCACCGGAAAGAATGCAAGTGAGAGACAATGTAGCAGCACCTTCAGATATGTAGAGTAAAACCTGTTATGTAGAATTCAGTAACTAGTGAAAATATTTTAAAACAAGCAAAAGAAAAATACATTTTAAGAAACACAAAACCTGTAAGAATCTGTTACCAGCAGACTCACACTGTAAGACATTAATTTTTTTCAGGTTAGAGGTAAAAATGATACTAAGTGGACATAAGAGTCCACCCAAAGGACAAAGAGTAGCAGGAGCAGGAACTGTACTGATAAATATATACAGTGCTTTCCTGACATTTAAGACTATATCTGCAAAGATAATTTACTGTTAAAGATAATTGGTTATAATTTATATAACATGTCAAAGCATAAAATATGACAATAGAAACCCAAAGAGCAGGAGGACACAAAAGACATTGCACGAGTGTAAGCATCTCTTATGTGAAGTTTTTAATTATTACTAGAAGATAGATCAGGGTAAGTTAAAGTTACACTCTATAAACCTCAAAGCTGCAACTAAAACAAATTTACAACTAGCACAAAAATATAATTTCAAACAGAAAAAATACAAGCGTAAATAAAATTTGAAAAACAGAGTCAAAATGATCTGAAGGCTGAAGAAGACGAAAAAGTGGAATACAGTCTAGATGGGCCAAATAGAAAACAAAGCAAGATGAAGGTTCAGAACTGACACTATCAGTAATATTAAATAAGGTTCTGTACATGCCAAGCCAGTTCTGATTTGATTTTAGAAAAACAAGATGGGAGAACGCGAGGATCAGATGGCTTAGTGGGAAGTACTATGAAACACTCAGCAACGGCGTCTGAACATCTGTTCGAAATGCGCATTAACTACACAGGGTCTTACTCTTTACCACACACTCAACTGAAGGCAGAATGGATCGAAGACCTGACATTAAAGCAAAGGCGTGGGGTCTGTTGGAAGACAGAACAGGTAAAACTCTCGAAGACACTGGTGTAGGCAAAGACTTCATGAACAAAGCCTCGATCTCACAGGAACTATCACGAAGAATCAACAACTGGGACCCCATCTTATTAAAAAGCTTCTCTTCACAGCAAGAGAAACCAACAGAGTGAAGAGACAACCCACAGTGTGGAAAATTTTCTCAGCTGTTCCTCAGACAAAGGGTTACTATTGAGAAAAACATGAAGAACTCCAAAACAATCAGACCCTCCCAAATTTAAGAGCCCAATCCGAAGTGTGCATCTGAGATGAGTACACACTTCTCAGATGAAGAAATACAGCCAATAAATACATGAAAAAATGTTCAGCGTCACTGGTCATCTGAGATGCAAATTAAAACAATGCTGAGCTTCCATCTCACGCCATTAAAAATGGCTATCATCAAGAAACCAACTATAACAAACACTGGAGGGACTGTGGGGAAAAAGGAATGCTTCTCCACTGCTGGTGGGAGTGTAGACTTGTACAACTACTGTGGAAATCAATGTGGAGATTCCTCACAAAACTAGAAGTTCCACTTGACCCAGCTGTTCCTCTCCTTAATATCTTCTGGGAAGAATTAAAAGCATCATACCATTGTGATATATGCACAGTCATTATTATAGCAGCACAGTTTGTAATAGCTAAATCTTGGAAACAGCCAAAATACCCATCAACTGGGGAATGGATAAAGAAGATAATTTATTTTTTATTTTTTTAAATTTTAAAAATAAAAGGAGGAAAATATTAACAGACAGACAACCTTTTACAAAATAGCAAAAGAACAGTACAGACAATACAGAGTTACAAACAAAGAAGATGAAATTTTAATACAATGGAGTATTACTCTGCCATAAAGAAGGATAAACTTGAGACACTTCTAGATAAATTGATGCACCTTGAGACCATACTCTGAAGTGAGATAAATCAGACATACATGTGTAAATACCACATTGTTTCTCTGGTGTGAGAAACCAAAAATGTAAATAAGGTTCAAAATGTTTAATATGTATTGTGAAATAGGAAGAAAATGTTCAGTTGGGGAGGGGAAGAAGAGAAAGGGGAGGGGGAAGAAAAGAAAGGAAAAGTTTAAAAAAATGAGAAAAGAAGACAAACACAGAAACAAAGCTAATGTAAATGGGAAGGGGAGAAGCAGTTGAAGGGAGGGTAGGGGAATGGGGATGAAAGTTATATACAGGTACAAATTCTCTATGATGAATGTGATCATTATGTGTCTCTAAAATGTACCAATAAAATATGATTGAAAAAAGAAACTATAAGCAGTCTAGAAGTCAATAATATTAGGATGAGAAAAATTTACACTAATAAAAATAAAGCTTGACTGAATATTTAATATCAACAACTTAGATTTCAGAGCATTGAATATTACCAGACATAGAAAGGGTTACTGCATAATGATAAATGGTGAATTAGTTAGGAGGTTTTTTACAATCTTAAATAACTTGTACCTGTACCTCACTATACACATCTAAAATATGTGAAGCACAAACTGACAGATCTGCAAGTAGAAATACCGCCATAGTCACAGTTACAGATTTCGGTTCTCTCGTCTTATGCTCTAATTGATAGGCCAAGTACACAGAAAATCAGAAAACCTTCCCACAAAGAGAATGTTAGACACAGATCCCTAAACATTTAGGAAGAAACAATAGCAATTCTAAACAAATTCTCCCAGAAAGTTTAAGAGAAGAATTCAGCATTATCCTAATACTCAACCTGATTGTACATTATAAGGAAACTACAGAGCAATGTCCTTCATGAATACAGCTCTAAAAATAATCTTGGATAATTAAATCCAATGCTACACAAAACATGAATATATTCTGATGAAATGGGGTTTGTTCCCAGCATGCAAAGTTCATTTAATTTTTTTAAAAAATCAATTCATCATATTCACAAACTCATAAAGAAAAGCCACAATCATCTCCATAAAAGCAGATGGATCAGGTACAACCTAGCATCAGTTTCTGATAAGAATTCTCATCATACTAAAAGAGAACTTTCTCAATGCAACGAAAGCATCCCTGAAACATCTACAAGCAACACAGACTGAGTGCTTTTCCTGTAAGGTTATAGGAAATGATCTCTCTTATCCCCATTTCTATATAATATCTTACTGGAAAACCTAGCCGGTGCAATACATTGAGAAAAAAATAAAGCCACGCAACCTGAAAAGAAAGAAGTAAAACCGTATCCTCCGGTAACTTAATTCTGTATGTAGAAAGTCCATTCGGTCTACTAAAAAACTACTGGAATTAACAAGCTTTGCAAAGTTCCAGGACACAGGTTGACTGCACAAAATCAATTATCTTCCTGCATACTAGCAACCTGCAATTAAAGATTGGGAAAATACTACTTTTATGATTGTCTATACACTGAGAATGTGAAGACTTTGATGAGAGAAACTTACAAGACTGAAATAAGTGACAGCGCACACTATGTTCATAGAATTGCTCAGCTGTGAATTTTTCCTAAATTACCTATGGATTCAATGCAACTGCACACAAAACTCAACAAAACTACCTTTTACGTAGTGACGAGCTAATTCTAAAATCACATGGAAATTAAAAGGACCCAGAATCATCCAAACAACTTTGAAAAATTGAAACAATATTGGGAGACTAATACAACCTCATTACAAGGTTAGAACTCCCCCAGGAGCCCAGAAAGTGAGGTGCTGGTAGATAAACAGATCAATAGAACAGTCTAGAGAGTCCCTGAGCAGATCAGCAGAGATGGACAGTTGGTTTTGGCAAAGGAAGTTCAGTGGAGAACGGATAAGTTTTTCAGTGAATGGTGCAAGGACAACTGAATAGTCATAAAAAGGACACCTATCGTACCTTGTATCATATATAGCATTGTCCTCAGTGTGCACCATAAAGTTAAATGGAGAAATACAAAACTTCTAAAAACATGGGGCAAAAACTCTTCGTGATTTTGATTTAATGAAATATTTTTAGATATGATACAAAAACGGATATTAGGATAAGCAACGATGCCCGTATCTTGTACCTTGAGCAACTAATTTAAAGATAACAACATGTGATGCATTAGCTATTGTTATTCTACTATTATTTTGTTATGGAATTCTGTTTTACCTTTTTTCCTAAAATAAAATAAAAAAGAACATTATGAGCAATTTTATGTAGATAAATTTGACAAAACATTAGATTAATCCTTTGAAAGACAGAATCGCAAAGCTCACTAAGGAAGAAAAAATACTCTGAAAAGTGCTATACCTTTTAAAGAAAGTGAATTCTATAAAAACATTGATAAACTGGAATTAAAAAAGAAGACATATACTAGGGAAAATATTTGCAAATATTGCTAAAAATATTTAGAAAATATAAATATTTTCAAAACTCAACAATAAGTAAACAATTCCATTTAAAAAGTGGGCAAGCCAGGCGTGGCAGTGCACACCTTTATTTCCAGTACTCTGGAGGCTGGGGCAGGAGGATCACTGTGAGTTTGAGGCTGGCCAGAACTACACAGTGAGTTCAAGGGCAACCTGAACTACATAGCAAGACTCTGTCTCAAAATAAAAAATTTAGAAGAGGGCAAAAATTTGGACATAAATAAATACAGATAGAAAATAAACTTGTGAAAAAGTTTTCAGGCCCTGTGGTCCTTAAGAGAGGCACATTAAAACCATAATTGGATAACACTACACACCTATTAAAATGGTGAATATTTTGGGGTTTTTGACAAGAGTGAGACTCTAGTCAGTTTTATGTAGCATTTATAACACTCAGTGATAAAGGACTGTTAATAAACACACTAACAAACGGATTTCTGACTGGTATGAGGCATTAGCTGTAACATCGTGTGTGTGTGTGTGTGTGTGTGTCGGTGTGTGTGTGTGTGTCGGTGTGAGTATATCCTCAGTGCACGGCATTTTGAACCTGACTATGCTAAGCATTGTCAAAAACTTGGAGGAACCAGAACCCTCATGACTGCTGACAGAATCTTAATTAAAACAGTGCAATCACTTTGGAAAACAATTTCACAGTGTCTTACGATGTTAGGTGTAAACTTGCATATCACCTAAGTATTCTTTTTTCCCAAAAGGGATGAGAGCACATGTCTACACAGAGAGTCACACATGAATGGTCACAGCAATAATACTAGTTACACTGAAAAAACAGCTTAATGCCATTAATAGGTTTAATAAAGAAACAAATGATTACGTACGCATACAATAGAATGCTTGTCCACAAAAGGAATGGATTGTTTATTGGTACACAGAACAATATGGATAAATCCCTAAATAATTATGCTATGCAAAAGACATCAGGAGTTCATACTGTACATTTTCATTTATATATAATTTCATAAAGCACAGATGAATCTATAGTATTTCACATCTGTGGTTACTAGCGACTGGGGGCTAGGTGGTAGACACGAGAGGGTGGAATTTTAAAGAGTACATGATGAAAGTTCCACAATTTCTGCATGTATTACCTTGTTTATGATGATGCTAGTGGGTAAATACGTGCTGCATTTAGACTCCAGAAGAAATTTACAAAGGGAAATACTGATATACCATATCTTTCCTACTGTGCTATATTACATTATTGTTAAAAATATTCTCTGTGAACATGGGAAGAGGAAACCTCTCCAATCCTGGGTTTGACCGTTGCTAAATGACTTTTCAGTCAATGTATATGGCAGACACAACATAAAAAGAAGTGTGGAAGGTACGTTTGAGTGCTACCTGTCTTTACTTGGTATTGCCACGAGAATAGCTTCTCTGGGTCCCTGAGGGCTCTCCTGCCAGGAACCCAAATGAACATATGTGGTGTGGACCTGAGCCGACCCACCAGCGCCAGCTATACCCACTTTTAGGAGCAGAAGCATCTGCCCAAGCACATCCCGGGTCAGCAGATTCTCAGCTGACTTACAGAGACTCAAAAAATAAACGGTTAGATAGGCTACTAAGTATTCCTGGTTACTGCACAGCAAGACCTGCCTGATTACCCGTTTAAGATAGCCTTGCAGAAGGCCAGACTGGGAGCCAAACATACCTTTGAATCTGGGCTTCCCAAGATGATCAGTTTCTCTTGTTGGGCTTGAGCTGAAGTCGGTTGTATTACCTAAGAATGAAGGATTACGCACAACTTTGGTAAAGGGTAAAGAAAGCCTTGTGACCCAACCAAGAATATAGTAAGGACTAAAGATTTAATATTCTTCCTAAATTGCTCACAGTTCTAAATTCCTTTATTCCTGCTATACACATTCATCTACAATACAAAACCAATAATTGTGTCCCTGCTACAAGATCAGCTGGAGTGGAATACTGAATTACACATTGCAACCGTGCAGTTAATCCCGTAAATAAGTTAGGACACGTGCAATGAGGAATGACATGGGATTCCATAGTAGCAGTGAGTAGTCTAGATCTTTTTAGGAAACAAACGTAGCTCTTCTATGTCTGCTAGGGAAAAGAGCATATTCTATTTCAAAGCATTGAAAATAATATAATTTTAAAATTAAGAAAGCACAAATTAATCATAAAATTGAGAAGAATAGAAGATCCAGGACTGAGATTCTGCTCTTTCTATAAAACATTTTAGTTCCTCATATCCAAGCATCCAGTGAGAACAGACTCCTAACATACTAACCAAATTCTTCTCCGGAGGCAGGAGCTGTTGGCTGCTTTTTATCCGTTTCTGGTCTCTCCGAGGTGGTTAGGGTAGGTTTGAGTGTTGCCTTCAGGGGTGGGGAAGTTACTCGGTGTGATGAAATGATTCCTGTAACAGAGCCAAAGTAGTCAGTCTTAAAGGAGCACTCCCAGGCTTCTCATTTATTTACCCAATAAATGTTTATTAAGCACTTACTATGTAGCTTGGCACTACTAGCGGCTTAGAGAGAGAACAGAACTTGGTCCTTGATGGAGATGGATGTGTGAGTCATGGACAGAGAGAGACATTGTGAAAGAATTAGATAAGTCAGAGGGGGAGAAGAGGGAGTGGTTGCATGTATGGGCAAAGATGGAAGGTATTAGGGCGGGCGGGAACGTTTTTACAGGGGAGGGCCCGGTCAGGGGAGAAGAGATCAGCAGGCAGGCATGAGGGCTTTCTCCAGCCTGAAGCTGCGCAGGAACCAGGTCTGGAAGAGGAAGAGCTGGGTGTATTTAGTTTGAGGAGCTAGTGAGTACCGGGAGAGTGGAGAGGAGCACAGAAGGGCAGGCTATCTTGCACAACTTGGGTTTAGAAGTTTTTTCAGGGAATGAAGATCTATGGGAATATTTTGGATAGGAAAGTAAGAGGATGAGAAGAAGGCGGATGGCTCGGGTGCAAGCCCGATGAGTGAGCGAGATCAGGACACGAAGGCAGTTATGCAGGCCGGGGAAGAACAGGTGAGCCACGGCAGGAGCAGCGAGAGGGGCTGGAAGTGGTCAGACACCAGCAACATGGAGGAGGAGGAACGGCTTGACCTGGAGCTACGCTGAGCTGCGGTAGCAACCGTGACTCTTCTGCTCTAAAATTACTTACACTGTACTTCTCCAAGACTGGATCTACCCCTGGGTCTAGGGATTCCTTGTGCTTAGAACAGAGAGACTGGGTTTTATTGAACTGCAGCTGAAGATATCTGGCCTGGCCAGGAAAATTCTCCGAGGGCAGTGGCTTGAGTCGTTCACGGGCACATCTGGGCATTACTTCCAGTCTGTGGCTCACCCAGCCTGACGCGAGGGCAGCCGGCACCCGTCTTGCAGCTTCCTCGTGTTACAGTTAATCAGTGAAACCTGGTCTTCTCGGGAGGACGCGACCCTGGACCTTCACGGAGAAAGGCACTAGATGCACGAGTGAGAGGCCGACTCCTCCGTGAGACATTCCCAAAAATGAGCTAGAGTTCGTGACACTGGGAAGCTTCACTGTCACTATGGCCTCTTTTTATCCTGACAAAGGAGTGAGATCCATTCCCCTTCATGTAAACCCTCACCAGTTTCATCTTTTGCAGCTGTCTTTGATGCTTTTATTCTGATTCCACCTTCCAATATTTAGGAAGCAGAGATTTGGGAAAACGAGAAAACAATAGGCAACGTGCTGTCATTTGCTGGCAGGTCCCAGGGAGAAAAGTCCTTAATACAAATAAGGTAGAGTTTTGCTTTGAACTAGACCATTTTTCACTGACTCTTAATCCCTTTCATTCATTCCTCCAGTCGTTATTTATCAAACATTCTCTATGTGCGAAGCACTGGGTTCGGTTCTGGAAATTCAGAGAAAATACACCGAGGCCTCCTCACAGAGCTGGTGCTGCAGCTTAGACCTGGAGAGCTCTGCGCCCCCGAGCCACGTGTGTGCAGAGAGGGGCTACGAGGAGGTGGCCGGATCGTGGGGCGATGTACCTACGGGCAGGTTCGTCTGCTGGTGAGACCAGTAGTTGTGCACTGGTAGGAGGTGGGGCCTGGTTAGAGGTGGGTTACTGGGCGTGTGACATGAAAGGGCTCCTCTCTCTCTTTCTCTCTCTCTCAACAGCCATGACATGAGCAGCTTGCCTCCACTCTGCCCCTCTACCGTGCTGTTTCTGCCCTGGAGGCAGCTGCCCACAGACTATAACCATGAACCCGAACAAATCTCTTCCTTTTTAAAGTTGTGGTACTGGGTGTTGTGTCACACCAATGAGAAAGTGATTAAGACAACTTGGTCTGAGGGGAAGAGAAACACGCAAACAAACGGTATAAAACAGCTTGCTTTTGCCCTAACAGAGGTGCGCATCAAGGTCGCGTGGAGAAGCAATGCCAAGGCTTCCCTGGGGAGCTAGAGCAGGGATGGTGTGTGAGTCTTGCTGACTCTGCCGAGGCCTAGAGCACTCACGCCATGTGCAGGAGCAATCTTACTCAGGTGTCGGGGTGAGAAGCGGCTGGACTCCTAAGGCAGACGCCTGTCTGGTTACACAGACGAGGTCTGCTCCGTTGCCTCGGTAGTTTAGTCCTAACCCTTCCCCTAAACACCAGAATATTAGCTGGGCTGGCATGAAGGCTAGGGGAGCTTCAGGTGACAGATGGAGGACTTCATTTCAGGTGATGAAATTATAAATCAATGAGAGGGCATCCATTTTCAATTATCTCTAGGGACTTTGCAATGTGTATTATTTTGTCCTTCAGTAGAATCCACTTAAAGGGCTAGGGTCATCTTTTACCTAAGTTCCAAGCAGGCAAACATCTAAGAAGCAAGCTAGCCTAGATGCAGAGGGATGATTTTCGTGCCTCCACTTATCCAGAATCAGAATATAAGCCCACAAATTTATAATTTATAATGTCCAGTCTTTGGAACCCACACAAGCATGTGCCACACACATCAGAGGTTTATCTAGCACATCAGAAAGGGTGTAAAAATCAGAAATCGTGACTAGCAAAACAAATAGTGGAGGTGGACATACCTGAGCTTCCTGGCTTTCCAGTGACATTATTTGGGGGTAGAGGTTTTCTTCGTGGGGGTACGGGTCTAGGTGGCAGAGGTGGGCGGCGAGTCCCTGGGATTGTAGCTAAAAGATTATATTATAGATAAGTCCATTATAAACATTCATTGTACAAAAACGTAGTTTTCCTTAAAAACTGACCTTTGATTGTTTGTTTGTTTGTTTTTGGTTTTCTTCTGGTACCAGGAATCAAACTCATGACCTTGCACTTGCCAGGCAGGTGCTGTGCCGCTGAGCTAAACTCCCAGCCCCAAAACTGACCTTTGATAGGTAGTGGTGGATGACAGAGTAGATTTTGTACAAAAGTACATACAAGTACATATGTTGATATTTTTGTAAATTAATGGTAGTCATCTACCAATAAGGTATATCATGTGTGTAAAACATATTCTATAATTACAGATGCAGAGACATATCTGCCTTTGAGAGGCTACTTAGATACATAGAATTTAACATTTTACATTTCCTGTATAAGCTAGCATCTGTGAACTTCATTATTCCCAACTGCTTTTGATTTTGAGAATATAACTTTATGTCATTTCAGTTTTGAATTGTTAAGCATATAATTTCTCTTTTTGTAGTGCTCAACACTATCCCTTAACTTTATTATTATTTAGTTAAACACACACCTTCAGAACCTCTCAAATGATTTCACCAAAGTTTCGCAGAGGGCAGAGACAAGAATGTGGTGCTTGTGAGCAGGGTCCCTGCGAGTGCTCATGGTGCTCGTACACTGCAGCGGAACTCCTGGCCAGAGGCTGTTAGGGGGAACTAAAGTGCAGCACCCGTTGTGCTCATCCCCGGAAAGCTCTGGGGCGAGGCGCAGCCCAGAGGAAGGCACATTATTTTTGCTAACTGGTCTACCTGAAGGGCAGGGGAAAGAAGTACCTTTTAATACTTTGCATAAAGTTATTACTTTGCACAAAGGTTGGCAAGGCTGAAGGTGTTGGGCACTTTAAGCCTTGTGTTATAACTCAAAGGTTTTCTTTCTTTGCGTTGTTGAAGTTGATTTTTAAATCTTCAAGCATAATTGAAAATAGAGGAAAATACCTTACGGATTTAAGGGTACTTCCAGGGAACTAGGGACACAGAGAGGGAGAGAAAGGGGAGGGAGGGGAAGGGGGAGGAGAAGGGGAAGAATAGTGACAGAGGCGTTAGCGCAAGGCCTCAGCACCCTTTGCAGAACCATCGGTGTTCTGAGAATCGTTAGCCTCCTGATTTTACCTGTTTCACGTGGTATTCTCTTACATCGAGAACATATATCAGCTAAAGCAGAAGCATTGTGTAATAAGCCACACAAGAGCAAAACTTAAACCTGATAAAAAGTGGAACCCATGGCAGTAGAACGGTATAGAAAATAACGATTACATTGGTACCCCACTTGAAGTTAGTAGTGTTTAATTTGTGCACAGAGACTTTTCATTCCCCTAAGGTAATGTTTTGGAATATTTATCTCGCAGTATGGTTATACCATTGACATGGTTCTGACACGCTGAGGGCCATGTGGGTGTTGCTATTCTTGCTGCAGCAAATTCCACTGCAGTTACTGTGCAAGTTTCAAACCTGGGCTACAGTAGGGGAGTCCGCCTTTCATTCCTCACCTGGTCTTTTTGTGGCTTGGGTAGAGTCCACTGACACATTTCTGACAGGGCCTGAAGGCTTGGGTCCTTGCTTGGGCCCTATGAGTAAAGATAACAAAAGAGAATCAATATGTAGCAAAAATGGACTGAATTCTTCACGAGAACTTGGTAGCTAGTGACAATATGCATTCTGGCCCGAGCAGGGATATTGGTGCTTTTTTTGCCCGGATATTTTCATTGGCTTTTATCTGGGTGCATAAAAAATTCAAAACCTTACGTTCACTGGCTATATCATCTCCATAGAGATAGCAATGGATTGTGGGTTGTTGGTTTTTCACAATTTTCCGTGACCCTCGCACCATGCCACCTTACTGGGCAGCGTTGCCTTGCCCGACATAATCTCATCTTTGGTAAGTGTCTCCTTTTTGCCAATGTCTGTGGCTGTATTTTGTGGTTTAAAAAATTTCTCTGACTCCTGCATGCCAGTACAAACCTTAGAACTGCAATGTGTTTGGGTGTATGCTTAATGAATTGACTTTAAAATATTCCTAGGCAAATAAAAAACTTTTAGAGTTAATAATCAAAATCAATAGTATAGTTGTTGTTGATACAAAGCAACATTCACAAGTCAATAGCCCTCCTATGCACAAACAAAAAACTCAGAGAGAGAAATTAGGGAAACCACACTTGCACAAAGCATCGAAGAATGAAGTATGTGCAAATCAATCTAACAAAGTCAGTATATGCATGGAAAACTATAATACTCTGATAAAGGAGATCAAAGAGGATATCAGAAAATGGAATGATATTCTTTGTTCTTGGATAGGCAGAACCAATATATTGTAAATGACATACTTCAAAAAAAGCTACACAGATTTAATGCAATTCCAGTCAGAATACCGATAGCACACCTCACAGAACTACAGAAAATCCTAAAGTTTATTTGGAACCAGGACAGACCTAGAATAGCAAAAGCAGTTTGGGGCCACAAAGGCAAGGCAGGGGGCATCACAATCCCTGACTTGAAATTATAGTGCAAAGCTAATGTGACTTAAAAAAAACAAAACAAAACAAAAAAAAAAACAGCATGGAACTGGGGGAAAAAGCAGACCCAGGATCAATGAAACAGATTAGAAAATGCAGAAACAACTCCAAACACACTCATCCACCGTGTGTTTGACAAAGGGGCCAAACGTGTTCACTGGAAGAAAGATAGCCTCTTTCATAAATGGTGCTGGGAAAACTGGCTTTCTACACCCCAAAGACTAAAACTAGACCCATATCTCTTACTAGGCACTAAACTAAAATTGAAATGGATCAAAGATCTAAATACTAAAACAGAAACACTAAGTCTGCTAGGAGAATACGTAGAACTCTTAATGATACAAGTGTAATGACTTTATGAACAAAACCCACCGCACACAGGATATATTACAAAAAATCAACAACTGGGATCTCATCCTACTAAAAAGCTTTGGACAGCAAAATAAGCCACCAGCAGAGTGAAAAGGCCCACAGAGTAAGAAAAAGTCTTTGCTGGCGCTTCCTCAAAGAGCTAATATTTAGATTATACAAAGCAGTAAAAAAACAGATACCCCTCCCCAAATTTAAAGACTCAATCCAAAAGTGGGTATCTGAAATTAATAGACACCTCTCAAGTGAAGAAATAACAAACAGAAAATAGATATGTAAAAAAATGTTCAACATCACTGGTCATTTGCAAGATGTAAATTAAAGCACCAAGACTCCATCTCACTCCAGAAAAAAATGGCTATTATCAAGAAATCAACCAATAACAAATACTGGAGGGGCTGTGGGGAAAAAGGAACCCTTCTCCACTGATGGTGGGAATGTAGACTGGTGCAACCACTTTGGAAATTGGGGTGGAGATTCTTCCAGCAACTAAAACTAGAGTTTCTATTTGACCCAGCTACTCTCCTTGTTGGTATCTTCCCAAAGAATGAAAAGCATCATACTACAGCACTATATGCACACCCATGTTTATAGCAGTACAATTTCTAGTAGCTAAATCTTGGAAACAGCCCAAATATCAATGGATTTATCCATTGAATAAATCCATTTATCCAATAAAATGGATAAATTATCCTCAAAAAATGGATAAATGGATAAATTATCCATAAAGTGGATAAATGACTAAAGATGAAGATTTATTTTTTTTAATGCAATGGAGTACTACTCTGCCATAATGGAGGATTAACTTGAGACATTTTCAGGTAAATGGATGCGCCTCTTTAAGTGTATTCATTAAATTGGACACACATGCTTAAATATCATATTGTTTCTCTGATGTAAAAAAATGAAAGCATAGATAAAGACCAAAATGTATAATAGGAAGAAAATGTTCAAAAGGGAAGGGGAGCAAGGGAGAGGGCAGGGGAAAAGGAAAGAAGGGAAAAGAAGAAAAAGAATGGAAGGAAAAATGGAGACAAACTTTCATAAAGAAGGAGGGGAGGAGGGACTGAAGGGGAGGGGGATTGGGGAAAAAAGAAGAATCGAGATATCATATGTACAGATACAAACTCCCTATGATGATTGTGACTATTATGTGTGTCCAAGTTGTACCAATAAAATTAATTTCAAAAATATTCCCGGGCAGACCTCGGCATCGGGCTGTTGTGACTATGAACTGGTCACCTTTGGGGTCTGTGAAGTAGTAATGAGCGTGCTCAGAACTCCAAATTGTGCTTTGGAGCAAACTGAGTTAAAAATGGTTTTGCATGCTATTTTTGTCCTTAAGTCCCTTAAGTTTTTCAACAATCTGCTGGTTATTATTTGGCCATTTACTTAAATACTCAGGCTTGCATTTTAGATTTGCTAGGGTATTTTTCATCTTAGTTTCCCCTTATTATTCTTTTACATTATAAAATAATCTTCCAACAGACAGTCTTTATTAAAGAAAATAGAAACAGACCTTTTGTTTTTCTGTACTGGGGATGGAACCCAGGGCCACTGCACTGAGCTATATCCTCAGCCCTTTTCTGTTTCTTATTTTGAGACTGAATTTTGCTAAGTCACTCAGTTTCCCAAGCTGGGTTTGAACTTGTAATCCTCTTATCTCAGCCCCCCAGAGTAATGGGATTATGGATATGCACCACCATGGCTGTCTTAGAAGCACATATTGGAAAGAACCTGAATAGTAAATATTACTTCATATATAATGGCTCATCCTCAAAAAGAACCCATACTCTGAGGACCTGTAATTAGTATATGAAAATAGAATCCTCTAAATAACATTTAATTAATATACTAGTTAGTACATTAACAACCATAGTAACAATAATAATAAGCCTGTTTTGACTCCTCCCTGTGTTCCAGGGAACTTTTTAGGGACATTATTTATTCAAGCTCATTTAATGCTCAGAGAGGTAATGATTGAATACACAGCACAGCCACTGTTTGCCAAAAGTGAGGTGACAGTTCTGCATTTAACTGTGAACTTTGGCAAGCCACCATCTGCTGCTTAAATAAAAGAGACTACGTAAAGTCACGGAGAATGTTTCTGTGGAACCATGCAGCAAATGTTGCTCACCTGTGGGAGGAGAAGTTTCCGGGGCCGATGGCTATTTGGGGCCGACCCCACGGGCATGGTGAAATAAATGGCTCATTAATCTTCCTGTGCCCCTCCGTCAGTGGTAACGGTGCACAGGAAATGTCCCGCTTGCGGGGTTGCTACGTGCATGGCACAGGGAATGGAAAAGATTGCCTTTTGTGCCACCAGAATAACTGAGTTTGGTGGGGTTTGAGAAGCCTCTTTTCCTCAATGGTAAAAATAAATGAAGGAAGGAAGGAAGAAATGAATGTCCTGAAAGATCAATACTGCACGTGCCTTGAGTAGGTCCTTTTCAACAATTCTCCAAATATTCTGGGCCAATACTTGCGTATTCATCACCTGTGTGGGAGCTAGCAACATCCAGGGCCACCGGCGAGGAAGGGCCCAGGGCGTGGGGACCAGGCAACCTTCCCAACATCCCATGTGTACGAAGCGCTGAGACTCAGAACCGCGTAGTCCTGTTTTCAAAGCCTCTTTCCCAAGAAGCGAGCCTTCCTGTCACTTCCTTTTCCCTCCTGCTCCTCTCCGGGGCTCTTGAGTGGATACGGTCGGAAAACCCTATGTTGTGTCCTTGGGTGGGCGGAGGGGACAGCCGCGGAAGGAGGGCTGAATGGCCTTGGCTGAGCTGCGTCTGTTACCATCCCCGCCATGCCGCGTGGGACCCAGAAAGTAGCTGCAGGCTCTCAGCAGTCCCTGACCAAGACCATGCGGATTTACCCGGCTGCAGGGGTGGGGGTCCAAAGGGGCAAGTGAGATGAAGATGCAGGCTCCAAAGTTCTGCAGCGTTAGCTGATGAACAAGACCAAAGACGCAAGTTCTTCTGGCCTCCTCCTAACCAGGAGAGGAACTGGGTAGGTGACACAGCTCACGGGTGGAAGGGTGCAGCAGCATGCGCAGGGCCATGTGTGTGGTGTTCAGCATGAGAGAGAGGGAGAGAGCGAGGAGATGGGGAGCAGACAAAGAGACAGAGAGGAACTTTTCCAGGGCTACTTTTTGTACAGTTGGAAACAGAAGCATCCTAACGTTGTCACTCTTAGGTGTAAGCCCCAGTCAGTGGCCTCTCAGCTAACTGGCTTTCTCCAGCCTTATACATGGAAAGAAGCTGGTGGTAGCAGCGGTACTGGGAAGGGTCCTACAAAAGGCAGCAGTGGAGCTCAGTCGGAAGAGCTGGGACCGGATACTGAGGTCCACTTCCGGATAGACGAGTGAACTTCTGCTGACCTGAGTCAAGTGAGAGCCAAAGCAAGGGAGAGCCAGAGACAGCGGATCGGGGATGGGAGGAGACAAGGAAGCCAGGAAGGAGACACCAGCAAATGTATCTTCGGGAGCTGGCACCAGGCAAGCAGTCTGGCCCACGCTGTGACCTGAATTCTTTCTCCTCAGGCAGGATTAATGCTGCACATTCTGAAGAGCAGAGTGAGGTCTGGAAGCCCCAAGCCTGGGCCTCAGCAGGAGCCACCAACCGCTGCCTGGGAGCTCTCCAAGATTCTCCGGATTGACACAGTTTGCCACCTAGCAATTTATCATCCAGAAACAAGTCGTGATTTGTGTATTTTTCACCATAGTAACAAAACTTTGCAAACAAACATGGCAAACTGGGAATCAATTTTCAAATGTGTTAGTAACTCCATTTTCTGTATCCAAAAAGGGCTGATATTTATGGATGCCTGGTCTCCGGACCCTTCAAAGTTTCAAATCTTAGCACCTGGCTAAAATTTCAGGAGCAAGGAGCCAGCAGCCTGGAAGATTTAGCCACGGCCCAGAAAAACACATTCCTCACCCCAGGGAGTCTGGGTTCGCATTGTGAAGCACGCTCCATGTGGGGGTAGTAAAGTGTGGTTTTCTCATCAGGATTTAGGCAAAAGAATCCGAGGTCTGAGTATTTAACAGTATCGTCAAATAATATCTGACAAAGTAGTTTCAGAATTGCAATTTGCCTGCCACATAAGGGGCCTTGAATGTTGGTTGAATGGCAACAAAGGTAAAAAGCTCAACAGCTTCTGTCTTCAGAGAGAGAGTCAAGAGAGAATGACCAGCAGAGAGGATGACCAGGTTTTTCTGTAAGGAATCAACCACGAATATTTTCAGTGATATAGGCTATCCTGCCTGTGCCACAACTTTTAAACTTAGCAGATTCTAATGTGTGAAGCATAGCACTAAACTAAGTATATCTCTAGAAACCTCGAAAAGGCAGGATGCTGGGAAAATGACCCATTTAACCTTTGCAGGCTATTTTCTAAACTTCATATAAAGGAAACTCCACCTAGGTAGGTAGGAGATACTCATAATGCAGAGAACACATCTGTAATGATGTTATGAAATAAATAAAAATCTAGGCTCAAGATTGTTCAAAAGATTCCTGAGGTTCAAGGAATTACTGAAATATTTTTAAAAAACTGTACTAGTCAGAGATTTAGCCTTGAGGCCTCAAATCTTTTTCTTTCTTCTTTTTTTCTTCCAAGAGAAGAAGTTTTGTGGTCTATGACCCTGAGTAATACATCCTACAGACCCTAACACTTTCTTTATCAATTAATTTTTTAAATAAGCTATTTATGAGCTTTTAGAAAATATATGTGAGATGGATAATAAAGATAAACATTCTGGGCAAATTGTCAAAGTTGAATATGGACTCAGTTGACATGAAAAAAAAAGCCTCTGATTAAGAATCAATAGAAGCTACAAGTGAGTGTAGACGTGATAGTAGAATTGTATCAGAGTAAGAAATAAACAAATTGCAAATAAGTGCATTTCTCTAAACAAGTTAGATCAAAACTATGCAGAATAAAATGAAGGTAGATTCAGGTAAATCTATAAACTGGAGTGAACAGATATTAGAAATCGTGATTTCTGTATCATTATTCCCTGGCAAGTATCTGAGAGGTATTAAATTTTCCTTTACATTGTGCTGTGTAGATAATCATTTTACTTAGGATTTCTGACTTGCGGAATTTCTTTCTTTTATTCCCTTATTACACTAGCTAAACTCTCTACTACTACATGTAACAGAAGTGGTAAAAGTAGCTGTATTTTCAGTCTTACGAGAAAAACTTGCAGACCTTCACACTGAAGTGTGGTTTTGGCTGCAGGCTTTCCGTAGATGCCCTTTATCGGATTGAAGAAATCTGTTCCTAAACTCCTGTGTTTTCACCACGAGTGAACTTTGAACTTGGTGTGGATTGTTTAATCCCCTGAAATGGTCTTGTGATCTTTCTCCTTTATTCTGTTAGTGAGTCGGAATGTGGGGTGAGCCTCGCAGGCTGGCGTCAGTTCGTTGGTGATCGTGCATTACTGTGGTCGACCCAGATGTAACGCCCTGTCTCCACTCAGGGGCTTCTCAGCTAAGCCTGATTCTAGGGGAGAGCACACCTGCACACCGTCTGGCCCGTTGACCTTGCTCGCTACAGGTGGACTGGAAGCCCTTCCTCGACAGAGGGTCCCAACAGAAGGACAAAAGATACAGAACAGGTGCAGTAAATTTCCGTTAGAGAGGAAAGAGCAGCAAGGAAAAGGGCGACCATGAGCTCTGCATTCTGTCCCTCTGCCCACCACCCGGCTTCTACCAACAAGTAACAAAACTGCAGAAGCACTGGCACATTCCCCTGAAGCTGCACCGGGTGGGCGATTATCAGAAAGCTGCTCTTAGGAACACAGCGTGCTAGATACCAGTTTATCATACAGGTGGCTCTGAAGATGTTTGTGTGGTTGATAAGATGAAATACAGCAATCCTGTTTTTCCTCAAAAGATAGCCTGCATTTTCCTAGTAAGAATTAATGTTTGATTGTATTTAAGGCTAACGGCTTTCAAATGTGATCACAGCAACTTAATTTGTTCTTTCATTTGCTTTATTGACATCTAAATACTTTTTTCTATTTTTATTTATGCAACGTGCAAGGAATTATTTTAATATTAAATGATTTGTACCTGTTTTCTTCCCAAAAGCATCTGAGAGAAGACAGCCCTTTTTAGGTTCAGATTCTTTATGCCAATCTGAGAAATTATGCACTGCTTAATCTTATATTTGGCAAGAATAAAAAGAATAGCTGGGCACAAATAGATATTGAATACTTTCTTGTTTTTCATGACTTAGGAATTTATAGTATAGTCCTCAATGCTGGATTTGAAGAGAAGTAAATTCCTAGAATTTCAGATACTGTAATAGTCAAGTAAAAGTACAAAAAATTCTAAAATCTGAAGGATTTTTACACAAATATGTGGTACACCTCTTTCTCATCAGGGTTCAACTAAATATATATGCATTAAATGGATTCTAATTTTAATGTTTTCATTTATGTGCAAGCTAAGCTTTATACTAACAAACTATTTCAAGGGAGTGATACAATCTCACGTTATGGCACGTAATTGTTACATTTACCCATGGAAAATGTGAGGAATTAGAACTTTTATCAGATCAATGTCCTAATTACTTACAGTGATGCCTATTCCTATGAATATGACCAAATAAGAAATATGCCATTTATTTAAGCTGAATGATTTGTAAACATGAATATGCCTGCAGATAGGGTGACCAGTTGATACTTGTGCTGATTAAATACACTTATTGTTTCAATTCTATACACCAGACCACTGACACACGATAAGTCTTTAAGAAAATTGTGACATGTGAGTCTTTGTGACAAATTACAAATTTGAAAACCAAGTAATCACAGTCTTAAAGATCAGCTCATGAATGGGAAGTGTTCTGAAATTAGGGAAAATATCTGTTTTTATTGTACTCATTCAATAATTTACAATTAACCAGGATTCATATTAAGAAGTAAGACTGTTATATGGTACCTAATATAGTGGACTGGGTTTAGAAAAGTAAAAAATTATTTCCCAATGTTTTTAGAGACATTTGATGTTTTGCTTTTTTGTGTTTTCTTTTACTTTTTTATTTTAAAGTATATTAACAAACACACATACATTTATAAAATAACACAAAAACAATACAAGCAATACAGAATTTCAGACAAGGTGATAGGAAATTAACAATGTTTGTTGTACTACATATTGTTATCTTCAAATTGCTTACTCAGATAAACAAATATAGGCATGTAAGATTGATCAAACAATTAAACATTACCTGTTCCTTTCAATAAAGCAATAGAAATCAGTAGTACAACTATCTTAGCTATCCTGTGTATACATACATACATATTTTCCGTTCCTTCTTTCTTAGTTTTCTTTTTTCCCTCATCCCAATTGTTCTTTCCTTTTGAGCAGTTTCCTTTCCTTTCACAATATCTATTGTACCTTTTAGATTTTATTCACTCTTTCAGGTTCTTACACTAGTGAGACAGTATGGTGTTTATATACGCAGGTCTGATTTATTTCACTTATGAGTATGGTCTCTAGTTGTGTCTAATTACCTATAAAAGCCTCAAGTTTATCTTTCTTTATAGCTGAGTAATATTCCTTTATAGAAAAATACCACAACTTTTTTTTATCTATTCCTCAGTTGATGGGCATTTGGGTTGCTTCCATGATTTAGCTATTACAAATTTAGCTCACCCCAGAAAGAACAGCTGTAATTAAGAAATCAGCCAATAACAAATGCTGGAGGGGCTGTGGGGAAAAAGGAACTTTCTCCACTGTTGCGGGGAGTGTAGATTGGAGCAAACACTGTGGAGATCAGTCTGGAGATTGCTCAGTAAACTAGGTCTAGAGGTCCCATTCAACCCAGCTATTCCCCTCCTGGGTATTTTTCCAGAAGAACTGAAGACATCATACCACAATGATGTTTTGATTTGGGAATGAACTCTAACTTTCTAGTTTTACGAAGAATTTGCAAAACGAAGTAAAACAAAAATGAAGTATAAATATAACAAAATTCTATAAAAACAGCTAACTTTATAGTTTTGACAAGACCAAAAGGAAAGAAATTTGGATTACCTGTTCCCACTCCATTCCTGCTGGGTATCCCACTGGGTCTGGGTCTAATAGGTTTTGTAGTTGTCCTATTCAGAACTACAAAATATGAGAATAATTTAAACTTTTTTGTTGAATGTTTGCCACTAAGTAAAGAAAATAAAGTTCAGAGAGCATTGCAAGTGATTTAACGAGGCAATAGGAAAACTACTAGAGAACATTTGCTGAAGAGCATTGTCTGGAGAATAGAAACTACCTTCTGGTGTCAAAGTCATGGACTTGAGCCTGGAAACAGAGGCCTAAACTTTTACTGAGACAGTCACTGGGCTTCAACATTCAACTTGAAAAAATAACTGGCAAGAAAAATTATAAATCTAAATAGGAAATACCTTGCTTCGTTTATAAGCGTTAGACACATTCCAAAGCGTAACTAAAGCAAGGGCAGGACTATATGTGTCTAATGAACAATCCAACATGAAACAGGAAGCCTGAATTTATAACTCCTCAGTTGGCGGTCCTTTGGAGGAGCGTCTAGGGACAGACTCTTTATTATAAGAGCCCTTGCAGACATCCGCTTTGAACTCAGAGCTGTGATGACAGCATCGCTATCTCTCCTTCTCTACAGAACGCCACACACCAGCAAAGCCTTAGGCAGGCACCCATGTCACAGTCACTAGGAGTGTCTGTAACGGGGTGCGTGGAGCACACTTTGCTGTCATGAGCAAGTCCTGGAGCCGGTCTCCTTGCCCTTCAGTCCCTTTTCTGTTTGCTCTCAGCAGCCAGTTTCCGCAGCTGAGAGACTGGACCTGAGAGACTGTACCTGAGAGACCGCATGGCAAACACTCGGCCATTGTCGACCACTACCTTTACGCTTCCCTTATGTTGCGGAAATGATGAGCCAGCCACATACTGAATGCTCAGCAGCTACTCTGACACAAAAGTCATATGGAAAGATGTTTGTTTATGAAGGATATTTGTGCCTAATTACCAGTAGGAGTCGGAAGATTATGGTCAAAATATAGACTCTTTATACAACAGATAATATGAAAATTATTTGTTCTTTTTCTCACATACCTGGAGGGAGATACATTCACTAAGATCATTCCTTAAAAGTGAGTTTGAGCAGTTAAAACTTTAGGAAGACTCTTTGGAATCACAATGAAAAAGGATGGAAGACATCTTTGGTCCAATTTGTACTTCATCATAGAAGCTGTTTCCATGGGCTGAATCAACTTCTCTAAGTTAACCCCTCCAAGTTAACCTTTCCTTAAAAAAATCTTTATGGAGGAAAATCCCCGGACCTTTGGAGAATTTGGTAAGTTTAAAGTATTTCCCAAAATATAGCTGTGACTTTATTTTTACTATTTACAATTTATAATTTTTTATCCTTTGAAAGAATAGAGTAAACATGTTGTCCCTTTAAAAAGCCTTTTTATACTGAGAAGAGACAAAGTTTTCTGAACAGAGAAATAATGTTTGAAATTGTCATGGAAAGTGGAAGGTGTGTGATTTATATACAAGTACCATTTTAAAAAATATTTTCGTATCAGTAAAGTTCCATAGTACTCCCCAAATCTGAACGTTCATGAAAAACCTTAAGTTCTACCATTTTTATGGATTCATTGGTACCTCTCTACGTAACTACAAGGATTAGAGACTCTGCATGTTTTTATTATATCTCCTATATATCTCCTTTGGTGAACTTGACTGTTTAAATCCATTTATATCTGTCCAACCTGTGGATTATTTAGATTGTCAAAGAAAGAGAAACAATTTACCGGGTCTAACGGGCGGTCTGTCAGGTATTCTGGGCCTCACAGGAATAGTATACAGTCTTCGAGGTGCTGAAACACAAGAAACACTTTATATTTAATGGTTTATATTCCAAAGCCCACTGAAAAGAGATTTATCACCGTAAGAACCAACAACTCATAGACTTTGGGAGGAAATAGAAAGAATGTTCTGAAATACCAAATTATCCATTACAGATGTTATGCTAAAGGACTGTAAAGTAAAGGAATGCATTCATGAAGGAAAATCAGATATGCACACAGACCGAGGTAGGTCGTCTGTAATTGTGCTAGGAAGTAGCCATCCTTTATTCCATGTTTTTCAAGTGCATTGATTTTACCAGAAGGATCATCCATCCATCCATCGTCCACCCACGGCTCTCAGTAAGGAATCACCGTTAAACATTTTCCCAAAGAAGACAAGCAAACTTCAAGGCCAAAGAGAAATGAAGTTTTTAGTACATAAGAAAATCAGCAACAGTAGATTATCTTGCGTTGTCTTTTCTATGACCTCTGAAAGCAATAAGTGTTCAGCGCCCTCCAGAACGGTGCCGTGCGTAGGAAAGAGGGAACATGATGTCTGGTGCTGCACCGTCAGGGAAACGTGAGCAAGGAGTGAGAGCTCAGCCCCGAGACCCAACGCTCCTCCTCGTGTCCGCTGCTGTTATGCAGGCCCTGCACATGAGGAAGTCCTGATGAGATCCTAATGAGTTAATAAATAGGTAACTCTTTTGCTCAAGTTTTAGCTGAGATGGGAAAAAATTTTGCTTGCAAACTATGTACATAGAGTACATCATTTTGGGTATTTATGTCATTATGAATCAGCAATGCTTCACCTACCTGGCTTAAAACACAAAATATACCTTTACAATATACCTTTACAGTGGAACTCCTTTATAAGCTTCCGATAAGCCTATGATGACAGGACTTTGCCATGCTGCAAGGTGGCAATAGCAGAGGCATATTGAAATTATCTAGAGGTTCAATGGACCTTCACCAGGGTTATAATCAGAGAGAACAGCGGCATTGATTAACATTCCACACATCCTAAAAGGTCTGATAATGATTAGAAAATATTTTTCTTCAGTTTTGAGAGCTGACTAAAATTCTTTTAACTTAAGTCAGTTTAACTTTTTCAGCTTTGCGTGTGTGTGTGTGTGTGTGTGTGTGTGTGTGTGCATGCGCGAGCGCACATGAACCCTTGTTAATGTTAGATTGGTTTTGCTTCATGGTTCTTATTTGTCTGATTCTAGAAAATATATGACTTTTCAAACTTTGAACAGGGAGGAGATGAGAGCAGAGCACAAGAATAAATAAGCAGCAGTGCATTCATCATTTCAAAGCCGTGGGTTCAGAGGCCTTTTTAGTCTTTGCCTCAATCTAGAAAGAATTTTTAATTAGAGTTGAAATATAATTTAAATTTAGGCTGGGAGCTATTCATATAGCTTATTTAACAAGCACTGCAGGGCCTTGAGAAAACTGCTGTAGGGTTTAAATTTTAAGCTGAAAAAATGGAGGAAGACAACATTGTCACGTGACAATGTAACTGCATACACATTACCACATCGTTATGGGTGACCAATAATAAAAATCATTTAAAAGATGACCTACTATGTTAATTGTGTTACAAAAACATACTTTTATAAAACATTAAAATACTGCATGGAGAAAACATAAAAGCAAAAGGCAATTACAGAGAAACACTTTGAAGGGCCCGTGCTCCACCCCATCACAGGGCACAAGGAACAAGGTAACTTTCCCTGGGGTGGGGAGGGATCGGCGGCTGGAAGAAAATTACTAGAAAACCCAAAGGCTCTGGCTGAGTGGATTGCTAGGGTGGCTTGGAATTAGAAGGGGGAAAAGGAATTGAGTTACAAAGCCCTGCGGGGAAATTGTCTCGGTAGATAAGGGTAAGGCTGCCCCCACCACCACACGCACCCACACATGCCCACAGAGATGTGAGGGAGTGTACCAGTGGGCTCAGGCAATGGGTCCTCGCGGTGCTATTGCTCGAGGGATTGGAGACCACAAAGCCACAAGAATCAATGGTGCGAACGTGATCAGAGTATGAAGAGCGAGAGGAGCGATTTCATCTCTACCGCGTGTCTCTCAGTGTTTTGTGCCTTCTTGTATTCCTAATGCCTGACATTGACATATAGCGGCTTGCGCTCTGGCTCTGCACTCAGGCGTCCTTACGGGGGACCCCAGGGACACTCATACCTACAGCGCAGCTCGTTTATAAGCTTCCGATACAAAGACCATGATGGGCAGAGCCGCACTTCCAGGCAGCAGCAGCAGAGGTGTACTGAAATTCTCTAGAGGTTCATCTTGACCCTTCCCCAGGGCTATACCCAGAGTGAACAGAGGTGGACGCTCTCCTCTCACAGGCTTGGTGGACCAGCCTGAGAATGCTCTCGTGCGCTTGCAGACGGACTCTTCGCTAGCTGTTCTTTGTTGTCTCCGCAAGAGGATGCCTGGTGAGCCCACCCTAGCAATTCTGGACACAAACCCAGAAAAGCATGAATTTCAGGACAATGTATTTGAGGCTTAATCTCAGAATCCTGGGGCTGGGGATTTAGCTCAGCGGCAAAGCGCCTGCCTGGCAAGCGCAAGGTCGTGAGTTTGGTTCCCGGTACCGGAGAAAAACCAAAAACAAAAAAAACAAAACAAAACAAAAATCTCAGAATCCTTAGTACATAAGAATAAAAGTAAAGTATAATGCATTCTATAACTGTGTAAAGATAGTTTATATACTAATATCACATTCTTCATGGATACCCAATAAAGTGCTAGGCTTACATGTAATACAAATGTTTTAGAAGGAATTTGACAAAAAAATCCTATATACATTAGAAGGATGATACAATATCAACATTCCTATTTTTAAAAAAGCAAAACAAGGAAAAGGCAGGCTTAGGATGTTTTATCTTTGATCCTTTCATCTTTCAAAAGCTGAAATACTGTTTTTTTTAAAGTTGGAATCACAGCCTGATCTGAATGAGTATCTTTACTTACCCTGATTATTGTAAATATTTATATATTTTGCCCGAGAGCATTGGTCATGAGAATGCAGCTATCTTCTATCTAGTGAAATGTTAAAAAGATTTGCCAAAACAGGAAAAAGATGGGGTATGGATCACAGATGGGGTCTGTAACACAACAGACCATCTGTCACTAATACTTAAGGGTGATAATGGGGATATGAGAGGTCTGACAGTGTGTTTCCAACTGTGGCGTATACTCACAAATAAATAAAAAGTTAAAAGAAATATTAATAAATACTGAGATGAAAATTTCATAAAAAGATCAAACAAGAAAAGATTTACAGAATTTTTAATTAGGACTGTACGACAGTCCTCATTAGTCACCATTGTTTAGAATAGATATTGTCTAAGTACATACCTCAAAATGAGATTGCTTTTATTGCTGTCATTTCTTCTTAATTTAAATTTCATCCACCAGCTTCCCCCCACATTAGAACCAGTAATGGGTAAACTTCACTGTCTTCCAACTCCGTAAAAAAAGTTTACATTTGTTTTTTATTTTCTACCATTTAGTTAGGATGGGCAGAAGGATCATGAAAACAATACAGCAGCAATGACGTTAAGGTACTAGATATTTACATCTGGATACAATCCAAGTAGGATAGGAAAATACAGAAAGGAAAAGATGTCTGAGAGCATGAAGGTGAGATAGAGCTTCGTGTAGGCGAGTACATTTCCCCCAACGTAGGAAATCACAGAGAAGAAATAACAGAAAATTAGAGAAAAATACCTTCTTGGATGTTTAAATACTGTCACCATTAAAAAATGATTTTGTTCTTGTCAATAGTTGCTATTTCAGACCAGAACACAAATGAGTTTCATCAAGAGGATGAAATGGGACAGATGAAGAAAAGGAGGTAAAGTGGGCAGGGAGGATCTCAGCAGGGAAGGAGGAAAATTGTGAAGGTTCTACCCTATTCATCAGATGTGGGAAATGAGACACATGAAGGATAAGAAAGAGGAGAAAAGGAGAATTTTCACTGCTAGCCATCAGCATCCAGGGGACAACATATTCAAAGCAAAGCTGTAACTGAAAAACCTGTCTTTCCTGAATTCAACTGATGCTCAGGTAAGTACTCAGATTTAGCTGATTTCCTTCAGGTTTAAAATGAAAAAAGTTAAGTAGTTCACTGTGAGGAGAAAAATTTTTTTGAAAAGAAAGTTTCTTTCCTGACTAAAAGCAAGTAAGAGAAGTCATTCTCCGGAGGCAGAGAAAGCGTATTACCCTGGGTTGTCTTTGCCAGTTCAGTTGTTTGTGGAATCTTCGTTGTGAAAAGCTCTTGTGGAATCTTCGTTGTGAAAAGCTCCTGGGTGGTTTGGTCTGTTTCTTCTGGAGAAAAACATAGTGAGATGATTTGCTTAAAACAATTGTCATTCTTAATATAACAGAAAAGAAAAACTAAAAAACAACCCACGCTCTTTTCTGCCCCATGCCATGATAAAAGGGTAAATGACATTTTAAAATATGCCCTAGAATCATAACTCAGCGGTGTAATTTAACAGCCATTACTTATTATATTTTTTGTCTTTTGTTATTAGTGCTTATTAGGATTTCCAAGCACGTCTAGCCCAGGACCATTATTTTATGACCCCAGATTAGCTACTTTCAGGAGCAGCTCACGTATGAAAATCTCTCGTCTATGCATTTATCTTCTCTCACTCTCCTCCTTACTCCACAAATTCACTGGAATTTAGGTGAATTGAAAAAGAAAAGATCATACATGAAAAGTTGTATCTTTCTGCCTTATGGGAATAAATTCTTCTATTTTTTTCATGTGAACATAAAAGTACATGTTTTTGACATTCAGAAACATTTTTAGAAAAGTAAGTACGAGAATACTTCTACTTCCTGTCTTGAAATTATTACATCATAACGACATAGCAAATGACATCATCCTCTTTGTTATATACTGAATCCAAAGAAATACTTGGTATAAATAACACATTACTATCTCTTTCCTGCCTTATTTGGTTGTCACTATTCTGCTCATAAGACATATATCTATAACAGCTGGCAGGTGATAACTCTTCAATAAACACACATGCACACAAAACAGGACACAGAAGCGAGGGGATTAGTATCTTCTATAACAGACTGAAAAGTATTTTCGGCTTCACCATCTGAGCTGATGCTGACTTTGCAGCCACAGGCTCACACAGATGGGCACCGGGTCATAATTATGGTATATATGCTCCTTGAATGTTTTTCAAGATGGACCTCATTTTCAAAAACGCTAGATAGCTGTATTTGAGCAGGCACATAAGGCACGGATTGACCTGAAGCAGGATGAAGGGAGGAGACGAGGCACTGGTTGAAACACAGCCGTGCAGGGCGCAGCAAGGACAGAGGAGCCAATAAGCAGGAACTGAGAACGTTTCCTTTCTGGTTCGTTTTTAGCCATGGCTCAGGCAAAACGGGGTTTCCTACACAGTGAACGTATTTGTGTTGAATTCCATGAAAGGAGGTCCAGCTCAGGCCAGCTCCTCGTCCTCACCCAGCCACGCTGCTCTCCACAGGCGACCTGTGTGTCCAACAGCACACGCCACCTGTGCTTCCTTCCCATCCGTCCTCAACCTCCCCGCGTAACTGTCCTCGATGTCTCTGGGCAGTTCGCTGTTCAGTGTGCGGCTCACTGCACTGCCACTCTCCTCGCCCCCTGTGACACTGGGTTAACCCTAGAAGTTCTAGCCACTGAGCGTCATTTCAAAGCCTCGCTCTCACGCTAGATGTGTGACCTTGACCAGGTTTTTAAAGTGCCCTATGCCTCAATTTTCTAAGGTGCAAAATGAGGTAAATAATAGAACCTACCTCACAGAATCATGAAGACTAAATTCTAAAATGCCTAGAGGACATCGGGTGGCACGAGGGAGGCGATAATGTCCTTAAATCTTCACTTCGTATTAGACAGTGAGCTCTCTGGGGTAGACGCTCATTTAAAATGGATTCCTCTGGAGCCCGCATCGCTTAGCATGATGCATGGTGCCCAGCTAAAGCTCAACAAGCCCTGGGCCACTAATTCTCTTTCTAAATGCAACTGAAAAACTGGGCAGAAGCAGCAACAATAAAAGCATACTCTTGATTGGGGAACATTTTTCTGTTTAGAATACAGTCATCCCTCCGTATATGCGGGGAATTGGTTTGAGGACCCCTCACCCCAACACAGATGCTCAAGTTCCTTGCATAAAATGACATAGTGCTTACAGAACCAGTGTACATCCTCCCAAACATTTAAATCACTTCTAGATTACTTGCAATGCCTCATTCAATATAAATGCTCCGGAAACAGTTGAGATAAGGAAAGACGACAAGAAAAATATCTGAATATATTCAGTGTAGACAGTTTTAAAGAATATTTTTGATTTGAGTTTCCTTGAGTCCGCAAATATAGACTCCAGATCCAGAGGGCTGACTGTACTTGGAATTTTAACAAGGTACTTGAAAACATTATTTTTACATTAAAAATCAGCATAAATATTAGAAGGACAAATATACAGTTAACATGGAAGTATAAAGGGATGCAGGTAATTTTCACATAATGATAAAAAGAACTTTGTATTGTTTGGAAACAATCCATTGTCATAATGTACTTCTGGCTGCTTTAAGGGAAACTCCTTCAAGCTCGATCCCTCATCTGACTGACATTTCACAACAAAATTTACCAAAGGTGGGCAGCAGTTCCTCTTGACTAAGGCTTGGCGAAATTATGGGTATGAGAGGGATGCCTCGTGTCTCTGAAGGAGCTGCAAAAGCAAAGTACCAAGGCTATAAACTTCTGGCTCAAACCCAGCACCAACCCAGAATGGAATTAGATGCGGTCCCTTTATTTGAAGCAGAAAAGGGAAACATTATCTGGGTAAGGATGAACAGTAAATGTGTGTAGAACTTTGAGGAAAATGATTATGGAATATTAGAATAATGGTTCTTAACTGCTTTCTGCCAACACACATAATAAATGATCTTCTACCCTTGACCTACTGGAGGGTCAATAATTGGTGTGGATAAGACATGATCTCGGTCTGTTAGAGGTAGCTTTGTCCCTCTGTCTCCCACTCAAGAGAGCACAGAGGATTATAAACTTGTTGGGATAGTTTTTACCTGCTCACATTTAGTTTCACAAAATATTACTGGAAATTTTCCATATTTTGAGCAATATTAACAATTCCTTCCAGTACCTCCAAGTTCGTCACATCTAATATGTTGTGACTTTACAGCAAAGAACCGCTGACCCAGCAGACGTTGCTAACCAGGTGCAGGAGGCATGGAAGGTAGAATCACGAGGACAGCAAAGTAGATTGGGACCCGCTCAGTAATGAGCCATTGAAGGGAGTGGTCAGAACAAAAGCTTCACAGCAGTAAAACCACAGCTTTTCTGTTTTTGAGAGAGCAGTCATGGTGAGAACTAGAGGATGAAATGGACTGGGAAGAAGTGACGTTTCCACTATGATGGCGTGGGAAGGACCTGCAGTCAAGCTGGAGAAGCCCTTACCTGTTGTTGTCTTCGGTGGCTCGATTCTAAAGGTGACGGGTTGCAGAACTGTACCAAAAGCAAACCGAGAAACACATCTGTGAGAATTACTACCTGGCAAAGCCAAAATGATTTCTTGATTTCTAAATGCGTTCATTTGATCCTTTGAACATACTCTAAGAACCATAATAAATATGAGAAAATTCTACATAAGGGAATTCAGGAAACTTAGTTTAACCAAGTTTAATTTTTAAACTGTAAAGATCTCATTTGCATCTTTTGGGTAGACATACAGACTTTTGAGTAGGCATCCTCTTTCTACTTAAGTGTCTTTTACCATCATAATGTAGTTACTTTTATAGTTTTACATGATGTGAACAGTTGGTTCTCTCAATAATTATGTTTTATAATTTTAGTATGATTTTCTACTCAATGAAAACACTTTCAGAGAAGGTAAATTTATCACATGTTGGTCTTTCATTTAACTAGGGGAAAAAATTTTCAACCATGTTATATGATTAAACTTCCCCAAAGAAATATACACTTTATATCTACAACTTTCTTTGGGCCTCTTTTATATCATAATGGTTAAAAGATATTTACAAGGATTTTTTTGAAAAGTACACTTTCTACCTTGGAAAATAAAATAATTCATTTACCAGGTTCACTTTGAGAGACGTCGGGGTCTTGTTCATGTGGAAAGGGTACATCTTCTGGACCTAAAAGAAAAGGATTATAAAGTACTGTGTCCTCTAAACATCACACCTGGAGTGAACACAATCCACAGATTAAAACTCCCTAAAATACGAATGGAGCAAAAGTATTTTCAGAATGATAAATTGACCATTCTTTCAAAGCAGAAAAGTATCATTGTATAGAAAAGTGTCTGGTGGCAGTAAACAGAAACAAAGTTGATCAAAGTTCATTTTAAAGTCTCCCTTGAGGAAAAAAAAAGATGGGGGAAAATAGCTAATATAATTAAACACACCAAGGTAGATCTTGTTTAGGTCATTTTCAAAACGGAAAGTCAGTTTTGCCTGGAGTGGTTAGCTGCCACTTGACATTTACACTAGAATTCCACTGATAGCAAAAGAAAATACATTTTTAAAAATAAAGTTCATAAATGGCCTATGAATTAAGAAAAACCACAAACAAGACAGAAATCTTGAATATCTAAAAAGAGGACAAAATTTCACTCAGTATTACCAACAGTTATTGTGGTAAGAAAATAAGCAAAGGGAATTTGCTGGCCATTAGATGATACCATATGTAAAGTTCATGGCAGTTCTTACTACAGAGTAAATGCTAGGAAAATGCTAGCAGTGCTGAATTTTGTCTTCCTGAGTGCTGTGACTTCCGATATATCAGGTGTCATGGGTGCTTGACATGTGAGACTATGGAAAGACAAACATGTCACCGAGACACACTCTTATCTAGTCCGTGATGCCTAGTATATTTTTAATGTTCTGTTTAATTTTCACAAAATAAAATAAGCCTGGAGCATGATACTTTATTTCTTATTGGAGACAATACCAGAGTGATTTTCTTACTGTTTGTACTAGATTTCTATGCTAGAATTGGACTCCAAGAGCAGTGAAAATCACTTCTGCCCGCTTCTCCCACGGGAAAGCCCTCAGGTCTACTCTCTCATTGAAAGGCTTTCCTTCTACTACAGTGAAGATTTTGAAACTATCAATGCCTCAGGCAGTATCATTTTCTTGAATCTTCTCTACTCTGTGCAAAACCATTAGGATTCTGCTAGAATTCTGTTTCAGAAGAAAGAATGGACAATAAATTTTGTATCCTGAGGTAGCTAAGCATCATGTTACCATTACTGTAGAAACAGGCTTCATAAAATGGACGTTCTTTTTTGGAGGGGGGGATGATTCAACTTGCATGTTCTAGATCTAGGTCACTAAGTAGTAGCCAAATAACTGTTCTAGAATGGGTATACTGAGTAAAAACCTGGCTCAGTTAGAGCTTCTAGGGCATGATGGCGAACCTTTCAGAGCTTCAGGGATACTAAGCAGCTCGCTGCAGTGCTCATGCCATAGATTCGCCACCACTATTGGAGAGGCTAGGGGGTAACACATGGAGAGGAATTTAAAAATCTAGACTTGTAAAAAAAGAAAATACTAAACTTCAAAATGGTCAGGAGTTCATAAAGGAAAAAATCCACTGCAATACTGAAATTTCACTTTGCCATGTAGCGTTTTGAAAGATTCAAACAGTAAAATACGAGCAATTCCTGATTGTAAATCAATCAGATATTTATCTGAAGGTTGAAGGAGAAGACACTTTTATTTGCTTCTGCAAAGGTCATGAATATGCAAGGAAGCCTGTAGGCTATAAATGCCTTGATTAATTATAGTACCAGACTATGCTGCAGAGAGAAAAGACTAAGAAAGGAAAAGCTGAGAAAAGAGATGCTACTAATAAATCCACATCTATAAATACATTACTCGCCACTACTTTAGTTTACTGAGGAATTTAGGCTAGGATAATGTGGATTCCAGCTGCTAAAATTGGCGCTTCTTTTTAACCATGAAGTGATGATTTAATAAACTACTTTAGTGGACTTTGTAAAGCAGGTGAAATCAGTGGAAAGGAAAAAAATAGAAATATTTACAGGAAAGGGATATGAATCATTCTCCTACTGGGTCCACTACAGCTCTATGAAAAGCAAGTTAGTTTTTTCTTTTTCTCTATGTGCCATTCACTTATGTATTAAGTTTAATAAGAATGTGATCCCTACCACCTATACTGTCTGTGCTGGGGTACCTCATCAAGGTAGGCAATGATAATTTATTTGAGAAGGCAGTTCTGATCTCCCCTGAAGTATATTTATAATTATTATATTGTTGATTCAATTATATTAGACAATTTACCATTTATATTAAATGACTTTTAAGCTAGCTGTCTTTTTGAATAAACGACGCCACTACAAAAAGTTAACAAAAGGCTATTATGAATGGACAGTGCCGAATACGCACAGTGATAAATGATATGTATGGAAACTTTGCTGGACCTAAATGAGAAAATGAATGTGTGACTCTGATGAAGGCTGTGGAATGTGAAGTTTGAAGTAAGGTTGACCCTAGTAGTAGCCTACAGACTATTTCTCTTAGAAAAGGGATACATGTAAACCAAGTCCCCATTCTATTTCAAGAATCCTTTTATTCTGGCTTTGTACCCTTCAATCCAGGCTGAGAGGGACCAGGACTTCTGCCTGTTTGGAAGCCATATTTCTGGCATTCCCTGGGCTCTTGGGCCACCCTATCTCCTATCTCTTCTAAGGCCTTTCAGTTCCCTGAATTATATTATCTTATTTTTTCTCTGTTAGTCTTTATTGCCATTTCTCCAAGAGTTTTATCTCTTTTATCTAATTGCTCAACTAAACCAAGAACAAGAACCACAACAAACACCAGAAAACAAAACAAAACTAACAAGTAAGCACACTCCGTGGATGTGGGCTCTCTTTAAGACCATCCCTCTCTTGCCCTCGTTCTTTTAATCAAAAACGTTGTGTCTGCCTCTGCTTCTGATCTCTGACTTGTGTCCGCTTCACCCAGCGTGGTCCCCGACCTCTCACTGATCTGTGCCCACAGGCTCAGATTGCCATCCACAGGGCTGAAGTTTAAGAGGTGCTGGAGACAGCATTCTCTTTCTCTTTTCTTAACTTATTCACAGCAAGTCATTATTAGAACCGCTATAAGGATATTCACAATTTTTATTAATCCTGTTTAATACAACTATTCTCACTTCTAATGGCAGACATATCAACATTTTTGTGATCAAAGGTGCACATATTTTTACGTTTCTAAAATCTGAAAACTGCTCAGTTGTGGAGCAGCCGGCCCAAAAGGGATTTGGACCTGCACTTTCAGGTCAGCAGCTTCGTCTGATCCCTTCCCATCCCAGGGCCATATTGAGCCCGTCCTCCATTCTTGGGACCTTTCCCACACCCTCCCCCACTCCTTTCCAGCTCTGCTGTATTTTTGACAGAAACATCTGGTGAGTTCATATGTGTGCCTCATACTCACATGATTTCTCACTTTATTTTCTCAGTCTTTATACTGACTAAATCTGAGATAAGACCATCTACATGTGACTAAATGATTCCTGAGTCCATGTCCCAAGTTCAGTTTAGAAATTCAGCAAAGCATTTTCAACCACCAAATATTCCCACCTGGAAGTCCTACTGGCTCTGTGTACCTAACAGGTACAAACCCAGATCTTTATCATTTGAAGCAGTAAGGGTCAAGTTCTAAGGAAATGTTTAGAATTAGATGCTCATTCCTAATTATCTTACACAAAGAGCCTATTTATTTGAAAATGTGGAACTAACTATAAAAACGCTGAGCTATGTAACTGCGACTGAGAATTTACCAATACAGTAAATACACAAGACATTCGTGAAGATTTGCTGAAATCTAAATTTTCTTTCTGGTGCACTCCCAATGACTGGAATCTATCCAAATGCGTAGCGGCCCCCAGAGGACATAAAGTCAAGACAGGGCTTTGTGTAGAGAGGAATCCACAAGGAACACAGAGCTCCATCGAGTCAGGAACTCTGGTTTGGGAATCCAAGTTAAGTGCCATCTATTTTCTATCAGGGAGAGTCTAATACTAAAGCATTCCTCCACGGCAGATCTAGAGAGTAACCAGTTATGTTTTGGTTTGGACATGGCTTGTAGAATCAGTTTGTCTAGTGTCCTCATTAGGTGTAGTAGATTATTTAGATGAACGATTGGAGGAGTTTAAGGTCTCCCTGGATTAAACTTGTTAGTCAAGGAATCTACAGCAGGGAAGAGATGTACAGTGAATTCTACAGTGCCTGACTATTGACACGGGTCTGAAAATTCAAGTTCGTTACTTCCAGTATCTCAGGATACATTCTGAGGTGAACATTGTGATAAACTATAACTCTATCCCAATTTCAGCACATTTTAGACTTTTACTCTCTAAGATACCAATGCACGTTAAATACACGTGTAATTTATCTTCTGTTTTTTTGAAGTATAACTGATGGGATTTGGTAAACAAGGTCTTGGATTTATTAGGACGCAAATCTGATATACAACCCCAAACTGTTCGAAAGCAAGAGAATCCAGTTTTGAATACTTCCAAGAAGATATAAACATATGAACACTTGCTTTATGATTATTCCTATAAGCATCCCACCCTTGGGGCAATGTGCGGGACCCTCATGATCATAGTGGTAAGGTCAACCGTGGGTTTAGAGACAGAATTCTACCTCTGAACACATAAAGCTAAAGAGTTGGTAGATAAGACCAGGAAGCTTTGGGTCAGAGTTTCTACAGAAAACAAGATGGTGGTGGGGTTCAGGCAAATATTAACCATAAAAGAGAAAAATATTATAAAACTAATTTGATGAAATTATAGCAACAACATTATCTTCTCTAATTAAAAGTAAATAGAACAACTCAAATCTATGTTGTCTATAACAACTCAATTTCCATTGCATTTTTCTCCCACAATTGAAGATACATTGGCCATTGGAAAGCAAGAAGGTCATCATTTTGTAACTTTATGTTCATATTATTCGTTGTCGTTAACTTCCAGACTTTAGGGCAAAGAAGCCTCTCTCTGGCACCACCAGCACCAAGCGGGCTATATCACAGCAACAATAATACTCTGTACGTAAAAACATTCTAGCAAGTGAGTTCAGACTTGCTTCTGGAAAGTCATCATTTAAAACTATAACTTGGAAGTTTTTTGGTTCTGGGAATATTCTACGTACTTTTAAAAACATATAGAAGTTTATAATAATTGTATCTGTAAAGGGAAAGAAAAAATTTACAATATTCCCTCAGATCCTCTGGGTTAAATGAGCTTGATTTGTCTATAAAAATTGCTCAGTTATCTTCCTAAGGCCATTTGCTGTAGATGTACACAGCAATGATGAGACTTCTGCAATGTCTGAATTTCTACATTTCCTCCCCAGATAATCCCACACACACGAGGTTGCTCTCTCCATAAACGAACAGAAGGTCTTCTCAGAGAGTATGAGAAAAATAGACTCGCAACTAAAAGTTTTGGGTGGTCAAACCAAATATAGGATAAGCATGTGCTCTGCCAGTGAGTTAGGGTTATATACCCTCAGCCCCCCAAATCTTTGTGTGTGTGTGTGTGTGTGCAATAAAGCTCTTAAACTAAACTACTGTTCCATAAAGTTTTAAAACAGAATCTGACAGGGAAAAGACCTCAATACTGGACATAGTAAAATTTATGGGCCCAAGTAAATGGCTAAATATCACTGCCTCTATTTATGAAGTGCCATTTTATCTTTCTTTTATCCTTTGAGGGGAAAACCAAATGATTTCACCCTCCTGTTTGGTGACAAGTCCAGCATGATCAGAATTAGCAGGTTATATGTTTGTAAGCCAGGAATAAGAATTTTAGCTCTAGGAAAGTCATTCTACTTTTGGCATGATTCCCCACCTTTTAATTTTAATAGTAGCCTTACTGCATGAGCAACTGGGCAACTCTTAGCAGACCTCGGAGATAAACGGGCTACATCCGTGAAATGCTAATCTCACATCCATCAGCTCTCGTGTTTCAGTTCAGCTGAGTGCGACAGTGGAATGCATTTGGCTTAAATAGAAAATCAAGCATTTACCGTATGTGGTGTGTGACACTTCGGGGCTTGGTGACGTTTTGGGTCTTGAAGTAGCGCGCGGGGGCCCCTTAGGCACTGAAAGAGAGAAGTCAGCTCATAAGTCGCGAGGTTTGAGCATCTTTCCGTTACGCCTAACAGCAAGGCCCCGCAAGGAGTAGCTCAAGCTCTTCGGATGAAGTGAAGCTCCAGGTGAGCATACCCGAAGGCGGGTGGAAGGAAGCACTGCTGGCGCAGATGCTAATCATGGGCTCCAGCAATAGGCGCAGTAGAAATCTAAATACTTCTAGGAGAACGAGGTCTTATAAACAAAAAACTTGATAAACGTCAGGAGAGCGTGAATTTTTTTTAGATCTTCATTTCAGAGGAGACAGCAATTAAGTTAACGCAAGAGTGATTTTCCTTTTTGGATATGTTTGCTTGACTTCTGCGTAAACTCACTGTCATGTTTTTACTGAGGATAAAGTAGGTAGAATTGGTAAAGTCAGAGCAGAACCCTACAAAGATGCGTGGAGTACAGTCGTCTCCGGCAGCGGCAGAAACACAAGTGAGGTGTGCAATGGCAAGACGACTTCCTCCGCTCCTCAATTTCTCAGGTCCCAGGGCACCTTCAGACAAACGTACTCACAAACTGAAGTCGTCTTTCACAATTACGCTTTTGGAATGACAAAGTGCAAAAGTAATAGACAATAGGAAAAACGTCTAACTTGAGCGGGGGCGGTGGCATATACCTGTGACCCAGCACTTAGGAGGCTGAGGCAGGAGGATCACTGTGAGTGCAAGGCCAGCCTGGGCTACAAAGTGAGTTTAGTGAAACCCTGAACTGCATAGTGAGACCCTGTCTCAAGAAGACAAAAAAAGGTCTAACTTACTTACGGTTCACTCTATTGCTTCTGGAAGGTCATTTTACAATTTCAACAATGCTGTTGTAAGGGTTATACTCTTTGATTCAGCATAATGCTCGAAGGAAGGAATTTTCAGCAACGTTTTAAAGGTAGTGAACAGAGAGAGGCAAAGCTTGGTTTGGTCATTAAAGTTCCATGGTTACTTAGTACCAGAACCAAGAGATGGCCCAAAAGCTGAGGACCATGTATAGCGACTAGCTCAGGTGCCTGGGACCTCTATATATCCCAGTTCTGCCGGCCAGATTTTAACTTGCTTAAAAAAAGAGAACATTTTTAGGTGGAAATAATAAATCTGTCCCTCTCAAAAGATAACTGTGAGAATCATGTACAAAATGTCAAAACTATGTGCAAATTATACTCAAGAAATTTCTTCCACTTCCGGGGGTCTTTATATATCTGGCATCGAAGTATCTCAGTATATCCTGATTTTCATATTCTTTGTCCTTACATAAACTAGGAGAACTCACAATTTGGATGTTATAAGACCTCTAAATATAAAATTAACAGTAGGATTATTATTACCTGTAGACACAGGAATCAAAAATAATAATCCTTTACTGGCTTACAAAATTTTCTGGATGATTTGTTCCAAATTTTAGATTCTGATTTCCCCTCAAATGCCAAACACTAACCTGAACTTTGTTATCCAGTTTATAAGTATACTTGAAGTTAAAATAACAAGAAAGGTGACACACTTAATTATAAAATTTTATTTTAAAAATGTGGTAGAAGGACAAAATTGTGCCATTTGCTGAATTACACACCATTTTAGACGACAGTCATTTCATGCCTAACATACTTTGCATGCTATTATACATGTGAGCAAAACATTCTTCCTTCCAAATGGCCCCTTGAAATTTATAAGAGCTAGCCAACGTGAAGGAGGAGGAAATAATGTTTGAATATTTTTATTCAAAATATTTCGTGTCACCCTTTCCACACAATATACACATATCCTTGAAAGATTATGAAGATCTAGATATTGTCAGGATCTATGAAGTAATATTTATATTCTCATCATAGAAAAGAGAGATCTTAATTCTACTCACTTAAAAAAATAATTAGAACGTATTTTGTTTCTCATGGTCAGTTCTCTAAATCATTCCCTTACATTAAGTAGCACCGACAAAGCCAGAGGTATTTGGGTTCTAGCCCTTTTCCACCAGTGTGGAAGCTGCCCCAACCGGGACAGGCTCGGGAGGTTCCCGTCAGTCTGGCAGCCCCATCGGGACCTAGGGTTAGAAAGTGGAATGCGCTGCACCTGTGGCACCAGGAAAGTTATAGTTCTAAAACAAAATTAAATTGGGGCCGGTTGTGGTGGCACAGCCTGTAATCTTAGCATTCGAGAGGCTGAGGCAGGAGGACTGCCGTGAGTGTGAGGCCAACCTAGGCTACATAGAGAGACTTTGTCTCCAAAAAAAAGAAATTAAATTGGAAGTGTAGACTACAGTATAACAATTTAAAGCAAACTTCTAATTTGCTACACTATATTTTTATAAGTACAGAAGTATCATTTTTATTGTTTTTGTGATGTTTTGTTTTTGGCTTCATTGTTATTTTGTTATTATTTTTTGCCCTTTAAAATAAAAAAAGATATAAGATAAATTATGAAAAATGTTACCTATTAATTGTTATCCCTTTCACTTAAAAAATTATACACAGGAATTTAGAGACTAAAGGTCTTAATTTTTTATATTTCTTTGTGTGTGTGTGTGTGTGCGTGTGTGTGTGTGTTTGAGACAGGGTCTCATTATGCAGTTCAAGTTGGCCTCAAAGTCACAATGATCCTCCTGTCTCAGCCTCCCAAGTGCTGGGATTACAGGTCTGCACCAGCACACCCGGCCAACTTTTGGTATTACTTATTTATCATCTTTTCTCTTATATTCCAGTACTTAGCTTTCATGCTTTTCAAATTTCTTCTTTTCTACCCTTGTTCTATGCTATATACTCAAATAAAAAGTGGAAAACTACTTCTCATGTGATTTTAAAAACATAATTTTTAAAATTATATTTTTACTCATCACTAAATTTAATATACTTGGTTTATTTAATAACTTGGTTAATTATTTTAAATTTTATATCTTTTTCTTATTCTAGTCATTATTTGTTTATTAACTAATCATTTTTCCCAGGAATTTTTATATTTTAATTTTTAAAGTGTATTTATTGTTACCAAATATTTTTATTCTTTGGGTGAATACCAGTTAGGTAGCTTTATATATTTATGTATCAGAGTATATGATTAGTATAGTAAGTTTTGGAAATTAACTAGAACAGATTTAAAAATACACTGTGGCAGACTTGAAATCATTAATTAGATGTGGGCTACAAATTTTTTAAGGAATTTTTCTTTAAAAATTTAGTAACAGGTAAATTTTCTCTCAGAATCAGATATTAGAGATCACCTAAAACTATAGATTTTTCCTTCTTTGAGCAGATATTCTAAGATATGATTAAAGTGTATGAAGGTTTAAGGAAGCCAGAATTCCTAGTTGGATCAAGAATAGTTTTAGTGCTGCCAATATTTTCCTTTTGCAAACCTTTAGTGGTACTGTATTATCGCTTCCTAGAATACTGGGTCACTGTACCGCAGATCTTTTTTGTACGCAGGCCATGTGTCAGTGATAATGTACATGGCAGGGGAAGCACAGTTAGTGACAGCAGAAGGGGGAAGACACCATCTCCATTCAGGGTTGAAGGAGGGAATAGGCAGGCTACTCTGTTCAAGAACGCGGTTCTTGATAATCCCCATCTTAAATAATGGGAAGCTCTGTGGAACAAGCTCTTCCAATGATGTACTTTTTATCAAGTCTAAAAGTAAATGTACTTAAATACTTTTTAAATTACTGAGGAACTTGTTTCACAAAGTTTAAAAAATCACTCTGCTATCATTCAACAGAATACCCCACTGACCTCACACTTTTCAAGGTAAAGTACGTTTTTACCTGGTTGTGTTTGAGGGATTCTCGGGTGTTGTGATGTTTTTGTCTTGGGAGTAGTACGTGGTGTCTGCCTGAGAGCTAAACGAAAGACATAGGTTTAGAATTCGTAAGCCCATCAAGAATCACATTATCGAAGTCTCTGGAAGCTCAGAGGTTTGTTGAGTGCCTGAAGACTAAAGTACACAGCAATTGCAATTAAACGTCTTAAAGATCTACAAAGTAGAGGTAGATAATTTTTTACATACAGAAAACAAAAGAAAAGATACATTAAATGACACCAGGAAAATAGAACTGTTAGAATTCCTTTTTAATAGGTTGAAACTAAATCTCATAATAACAATAACTCATTCTTACTACAAATTTGTATCATTTCACCAGAATATCTAGATGCACCAAATAAAATACAAGTACACACAATTTTCCTAAGTAAAAAAGGAAACTGCCATATTATATTCCAAATATAGGTTACATCCTAAGATCAAGCCATAAGGGAAAAATTAATCTTATAAAATAGAACACAATTTTTGTTGGTTATACTGAGAAAGAAAAATTAAACAACAAAGATACTTTTCTGCAGAATTGTTCTTTCACTGAGAAATTCCTAAAGAAGTTCTAAGACATTCATTGTAAAAACCAACTGCTTCTTCACCGAGGAAGGTAAGTACCTAACCTGAGGAAGGTAAGGAGTCATTAGCTGCAAAGTGGCCATTTGGGGTGACATCTCATTGTGCTGAACTGAAATGTGATTGGGATAGAGGAAGTAAACTGCAGTGTCAGACACCTTAAGGAGCTTGCTGAAAGTAAGTTATTAGACACCAGAAGTTTCTGAATGAGTATGCAGAGGCTTCTTCCTGATAATAAATAAAAGTACACAAGGCATACAGTGATTTCAGTAGTATCTTCTTGCCTGTAGAGAGACAAACATCAACATATCTGAGGGATTACTTTGGTTCAGAGTTCCCTTTGCCAGTCATTGGGCCTATAAACTTGGGTTCTTCATCAAAAGTTACATGATTTATCAGAAACTCTCCAACCCTACATTTCGATGATCTGAGTTTAATACAGTCATGATTCCTCCTTGCTGAGATTCCGACTGTTGAGGCAATAACAGACCCTGTAAAGGTAAAGGCTTGTCATGAAGCAACACCATGAAAAATCAGAATATAAATCACCGATTGTAACATTTACAGTTAGATATTTCAATAATATAAATTATTAGGGCTATTAAAGACATTTTGAAAAAAGATTAGATTCCTTTTTGTGGTCAGTATAGAATTCTGGAAAATAATTAAACTGTAGAGTTTATAGGCCACATGTCATAGGACATTTCAGAGTGGAATGAATAAAATTTATACCCCTATATCTCTTGGAAATAAAGCCATGTGAAAAAAAATTAATGGCAATTAAAGCTAAAGTTGACTTTATCTATGATGAACCTTTATTCCATGAAAACCCATATGTATTGAAAGGATTTTTCATTGTAAGAAGAGGCACATTTGGTATTTTCCATGCTGGTAGTTTGTTTTTATTTATTTCAAACACCCCCTAGTAAATCTTTACGACAAGCCAAAGTTAATGGTATGATTTCACTTTCTTTGCATACAATGAACTGGCCAAATCACTGCAGAAAAGCATGAAAATAAGGTCCCTGAATAACGCCAAGGTGAGTAGCCAGTTACACTGCTTTATGTGCATTATACTATAAGACTTATTTCTAGGGATGTCCTTTAATCTCAGACACAATTAGATATCTTAAACCACTTCTTCACATGACTACAGAAGTCATAAAACTAGTCAAGATGATAAAGCCCTCAAAATGAGAACACACATGTATACCTAAATTTCTATCCAGAAACATGTCTAGATACTGAGGTGAACACATGAAGAATAGCTGAGAGGTGTTTTCAAGCGGTGTACTTAAAATATACACAACACTGTCACTTGAGAGCTTCTGCTGGTGGAGCAGCAGTGCTATGCCCGACAGGCAGGCTCACCTGCCACACACCGTGCATGCAGAGGAGTCAGGCCCTGCTGTCCAGAAGAGACACGCTGGCTTTCTGCACTCGCCTCATACGTGAAACCCAAAAGAGCATATTTACCAGGCTCCGTCCCAGGCGCACCTGGGCTGGCTAGGACTATAGTTTGGGAGGGAAAGGGACACGTTTCTACGGTAACCAAAGGGGAGTATGTGAGGTTACTGCCTTGTGTGACTCACCCTAGTCACAGACAGTGGACAAGGTGGTGAGAGATTTGACAAATAAAGAAAATATAAGTCTGCAACAAAACAGCGCTTCTACGTCCTCATTATTCCTTTAGTTTCAGAAACGCTGAGATGCCATGTCCTCATGCACTTTTGAAATACATGAAATCATTAATTTGTAATCTTTACGTCGCACTAGATCTTACCTCTTCAGCAATTCCAGAAAGATACATTCAATAGGAGCCACGGAGGGAAAGTGTGACTTTGAAAAATGTAACAACACAAGCAAGTGAGGAAGGACAGAATTTCACTTAGTAGAGGAAGACGAGTAAAACGTGCGGATGAACGCGATGGGGTGCGTGTTAACGGGAAGGGTGCTGCAGGCAGAAAGGGTACAGGGGTCGTCAGAGGAGAACGGTGACCTGGAGCATTCAACACAAAACCACGGCGGCAGAAGAGTTCACAGTGGGAAGAAAAGGTCTTTACACTCAACAGCCGGCTGATGTAAAATAGAAACAGAGAGCAAGGTTTGATACAAAACCGAAGAGAGACCTTCGGGACGGTGGTCGTGAGTAGGCACACTTAGAGTGACAATGCCGGAGGCGCAGCACGAACGGGTGAAAGAAGTTCTCATTTTGAGGGCTTTATCATCTTGACTCTGCGGGCGGTGACGCAGCGGGGACAGAAAGCGCGTGCTTTGGGGGGCCGAGACCGTCATTACCTAGTGTGATCTCGGGAGGAACAGATTCCACAACTGTATCAAAACAAAGGAGAACAATTTAAAAGAACTATCAGATATCAAGCTACTGTCACATATTTCTTCATTAAATATCAACCTACCTCACTCCCAAGAATTCGTGGCATAATTTCACAGAGAGTAAAATGCATTTCAAAGGGCGGGGTTCTGTTTTATTGCTTTAGTTCACCGACTAACGCTGCTGTTTTAATAGCATTAAATAATGAGAAGCTCTGTGGAATAAGCTCTTCCAGTGATGGACTTTCAAATATTCCTATATCTCAGTGTTCGGACAGAACAGTACAGAAATCGGAATTTATTCTGTTTTGGAGAGTCAATCATCACTTTAAGAATCCAAGAGTACTGGAAGTGAGAGTTTTTTAAATCTGTTCACTTTTAGGTCAAGTGCGGCACTGCAAGCATTTATAGTCCAGAGACGTCACAAATACCAATTCGAATGTGGGGAATGAATAAATTAAAGCGAGAGAACATTACCACCTTCCGTCTTTGGCTCCTCTGGCCTGGGAGGTATTTTGGTAGTGGGATATACGTAATCTGTTTTGGCAGGTGCTAGGGAAGAAACAGGGAACGGGCAGTTAGTGGTGGAGAGACGAAAGGGCAGATCACAAACCCTGTATGTAACTGGGAAACACGGGTGTGTTACAGTAAGCAGTGCACCCTTGGGTATAAGTGACATGCAGGCAGACCATGAAGATGAGTATAATTTAGTAGGGTAGAAAAGAAGGAGGTGTGCTGTGGGAAAATACGCACACCACACATAACCAGTAGAGTCTATAGCAGTTACTGCCTGGAGCAAAGCAGATGATTTCCCTGACTTACATATTTTTGCATACGCATTCTAGTAAGAGAAGATGTACAACGTGTCTTTGCAAAGCATGTGGGGGAATCCTGGAGATGCAACGATGATGGAATATCAGATGTGCATCCATGTACATATTCATGTATGCACATACATTTAAGGAGTGATCAGAAACAGTTGAAAATGTTCATTACAGAGAGAAAACCACAGAAATTGTGGAATTGGCACGGCAATACAGCAGACACTTGTGCCATGATGTGCATACGCAAGAGATGAGAAGTGGACGGCTGTGAAATGGTGCAAAGCATGAGGACATCCGAGATGACTTTTCAATGAGATGGAAAAGCGCAATTGGTTGGCTTTCCATTGGGGAATTTTTTACCTATCGTCTCCTTTGATGACTCAGTATTAAATGTAACTGATTCCAGAATATCAGAAACTAGCAAAAAACACAAAATGGTACAATTGATAAGGATGAGTTGTTGTGAACATTGAATAAATTAGTACAAGCTAAGCAGTTAGAAAGGGGACTTGCACCTTGTAAGTGTTCATTGTTAACTCTTACCATATTTTCAGTGATGGGTTACTGACATTAAGAAAAACTACAATAACTGAATTGAATTCATCACATAACTACTGCAAGGTACCAGTGTTACCTATAATTTATACCTATATAAAAATGCCATTTCTGCAATGAAAATACTCAAAAGAGATAAAAAGAAATTAGAATTCTATGCTAGAAAAAAACAGAAAATTCATCAAAATTAAATATCAGGAAGCAGCAGCATTGCTGATACCGTCTTTAAGAATTTGTTTCCAATTTTGAGTGGCAGTATGTTTTGAAGGGTTCGCCCTGTTAAAAGTGAAGTGTAGCTTTTCATCTTAGCTGAAATGGTGACATTTCTCCTTCCCTGACGGTCACAACTGAACTAGCATTCATTTTAGATGGCACAGTAGAAATTTAGCCTATTGCTAAGGAGAACCACAAATTCATAACTTTTGATCAAAAATAAGGATTATGGTATATAATCAGTTGTTCTAAAAGTTTCTTTGGCCACTTAATCAGATATGTCATTATTCTCTAAAATAATAAACAGGGACTGGGGATATAGCTCAGTGGCATAAGCGCCTGACTGGGGAGTGCAAGTTCCTGAGTTCGATACTGGGTACCACAAAAAAAAAATTTAAAAATTTAAAAATTAAAAAAAAATAAACAGCAAACTCATGGGGAGAAGCATTTTTATACAGTTAATATTAATATAATATATTACTAAACACCAATGCACAAGTATAAAATGAGAATTCTACCATATTTAGAGTTATAAAGTTCATGTCCCTCTTGTATTTTTATATTTGGAAGTACAGCACTCAGAGGATTACAGTTTGCCCTCTGCAGCTCACAGTGTATTCTGACAGATAAAACTATTTATTTACCAGGCTGACTGTATGCCATTTCAAGGCTTGGCGATGTCACTGGTGTCAAAATAAGAGTTTGCGGTTCAGTGGGAGCTGAAAGAAGAGGGTCTAAATTGTAAAACTAATCAAGAGTAATTATTTCATAGATTTTAGAAGAAATATCAATGAATTGAAGCAAAGTTCAAAACTGCAAAGTTATAGAAAGCCATGCAAGGTGTACATTATTTAAAATGATTAGCAAACTGTACTCCTGCCAAATCCAGCCCCTCTGCTTGACCTGTGAGCTAAGAATGGTTTTCAAATTTTTAAGCAATGGAAAAAAATGAAAAGAATAATATTTTATGGCGTCTGACAATATCATGTTATGTGAAAATGTTATGCAATTCAAATAAAGTTTTATTGAAACACAACCACATCACAAAGTAAAATGAGCCAGGGCATAGTTACATGATTGCCCTGGCTGCCTTCCAGCTACAACAGTAGAACTAAGCAGTTGTAACAGGGGCTGAGTGAGCCTCTTAGGCACTCGTAGATGACTGAATCTGAGTCTTAGTTCCCACGAGGGAGCTCTAAGGGCTCTCTATAGCTGATTCCATGGTGGCAATAATATCAAAGTGTTGAGAACATCTAGGAAGGTTTGTTCTTTATTCTAGTTTGATTACCCCCTTCACCACCTTCGACAGGCACTGACACTTATTATTTTTTTCTCTTCCTACCCTTCCACCCACTAATCCAAATCCTATAGCTATTTTTTTTATTGTCTTTTTGAGATGATTTCACTCTGCAGTTCAGGCTGGCCTTGAATTCACAGTGATCCTCGTGCCTCAGCCTCCTGAGTGCTGGGATTACAGACACATACCACCTCACCTGGCCCCTATCCTATTGCAAGTCCCAAATGCCCTGTCAGTCCACAATCATTTCTGATTCTCTTAAATATTTTCTGTTTTTACCAATTGATTAAACAGGTTGACCTTTTCTAGTCAAAGTACCCCATATTTAGAAAACTATATCCAAGAAAACCTTGAGAAAGAGTTTTCTTGAAGTTAAATTGCTCCTCTAACAGGCAAAACATGGCCTTATTTTCAATTTCTGCTGCTGTTCCTTACCCTACCCTACTCAATTGCTAGTATGGTGCTGGGACGTAGGAATAAAAGAAAAGAGGGGCTGGGGATTTAGCTCAGCGGCAAAAGTGCCTGCCTGGCAAGCGCAAGGTCGTGAGTTCGGTTCCTGGTACTGGAGAAAAAAACCAAAAAAAAAAAAGAAAAGATTACTTACCTAAGCCAAAACAAAACAAGACAGAAGTGTCTCTACTGAAAAGAACAGATAGCACAACCGAGAGATGAAATGGAGTGAGCGAAGTGAATCGGATGCATCAGAGGCAATCCTTCCACAGGCACAGGGTAATGTTAGCTACCACACGGACCTCTCTCAGCTACACACCTAATGGCCAGCTCTACAGCTGTTATTAATTCAATGGTGTCTTTGCTCTCACAGGACACAGAAGTTCAAGGCACCCCATTGTCCTTTCCGACACCCAACTGCAGTTGGCTGGAGGGACTCCTTAAAGTAGGAATCAGATTTTCCTGATCTCGACTGAGAAGTTCCAGGAAGTTTAAAGTTCTGGCGGCCACTAGGGTTTCCTTTTTTATTTTTCTAAAACTGAAAGAAGAATGGCTTGGTGTATTGTAGGCCTTATTATCTAGAGGCCTGAACAATAAATATTGTCTGCCAACCTATTTTCTAAACTATATTTTCTCAAGTTGACTTCCTAACTTACAAATATTACTGATCTAACTTGTTACTTATTATCATTGAGGGTTCTTTAGGGACTGGAATCAAATAGGAATATTAGTTAAAGGAGTAAATATTAATGTGCATTCATCAGGAAAGTCCCTGCTTGGTAAAGGTTAAGATTCATTGGTAAAGTGTAGTGAGAAAGAATAGTCAAGCATGTTGATAACGGAGGAGCCTGCAACTCCAGTGAACAACTTTGATTTTATTAATAAATATCTCATTGCTTGAAGTACAGCTATAAGAATAATACAGATCTCACGGAAGGTTAGTTACTCAGGAGAAGTTTATGCTATTTAATTGCTGTAAGTCTACAGATCTAAACATTAAAAAGAAAAGGAGAAACTTGGCCCTCAGATTTAACATTCATTCATATGATACCAGTTTGGAAAGTTATATATCCATGTACACGGATATATTTCTATGAATCCAAAAGTAACTATTAAAAACAACAGGTAAAATTTGAATTAAGATTTCTACCTACTAGTAAGATGAAGTATGAATAGTGTAACAATAGCAATCTGAGGAAGCAAGAGGAACTCTGGCTTTTAATTAGCAAGAAAGGAAGCCTTTAAGGAAAGTTACAAAAATCATTACCTAATGTTGTCTCTGGCGCCTCAGTACTATGAATATCAGGTTGAAAGCCTGGAACTGGAACTAATTAAAAGCAACAACATGAACGCAGGAAAATTTAAACACATACCAAAACCTTCTCTTTCAAAATAGTTTCAAATGCTAATTTTTTAAAACTTTAAAACAGACAGGAAGTGCTCTGTAATTACTTTTTGAAGAGTTGGCAACATGAAGCCAGAATAGTGAACTGCAGAAGACAGTCCTAACCTTTGAGCTCTGCTATGTAGCTATGATCCACATGACATTTTCCTTCGTAGCTTGTCTTTGATTATTATATAATTAATATAGAAGATTGCTTTGAAAATTTGGTTAGGTAAGATGTGTACAAATATATATGAAAGTAACGATGCATTTCTTGGAAGTTGAAAAAAAATCTGTGTATTTAATCATGGTTAGCACAAATATGTTTCAATGCAGATATAGCAATATATAACCACGAATGCCTACACCAATGTTGCTGTCCACATATCTTTAAAGAGAGAGCAAGAACTTCCTTCAAACTAAATCACCAGTACCCCCAAATCATGTTCTTCTGGACGGCTCTATAGCAGAAGTAGTCGTTAATCACATCTGCTGCCTTGACTCTTAGAGGACCTTCCACATGGGCACTGTTTTACGACACCACTGGTATAGGCTCTAGGACTCACCCCTAAAGCTAAGGGATTGCACATTTACCCAGTTGTGTCTGAGATGCTTCAGGACTGGATGTGGTCTTAGGTCTGGGACGTGGCCGGCGTGTTCGTAGTATTTTAGGAGCTAAAGGAAGAAACTTTAGATTATTCTGGTGAAGGTGGCTTTGTAAAGAAAAGTTTTATGTTTTCTAAGATACATTATATTTCCTTGAGATTTAATGTATATGTAAGATTAAAATATTTTCTTTTTTTCAATTCTTTTCTACACACCAAAGATTCCTCTAAGACAACTTACATACAAAATTAAGTCAAAGAACAAAGATTTATAAATCTTTGATTTCAAAGTAAACTGTGGCCAAACTGAGTGCAGGGATTTTAGATTACAATGAAATTTTTTACTCCAAGGAATTTATGGTACAATAAAATATTTTATAGTTTAATCTGCCTAGATAAGATAGAGACACTACCAATTTGTGTCTGAAATTCAGAGTTAGATGCAAATGTTGTTTTGACAGAAGTATATGCCATGTATCAAAATTATGACACATGACTTTGTATCTCTACAAAGTAAAAGACATTCTAGGTCCTTTGAAAACACAAGGCACCTTCTGTGAATTCTATTTCATACTCTTAAGAAGAAACAATATACAACTGACAAACAGTGGATGACAAGACAGTCTTAGAAAGCCGATGACAATGTGATTATGATGATGATGGAATGCGTTTGAAAATGAGCAAGAAAGAATTGTTAACACGCAATATAGTTACCTAATGTTGTTTCTGGAGCCTTGGTTCTAAGAGTGACGGGTTCAAGGACTGTTGTGAGAACTGGCCAAAAATAGTAAAATAAACCAGAGATTAAAAAAAATTACTTCAAGGGTAATTCTACGAATTGATTCATTTTAGTTTCAGAATTGAGAGACAAGAAGAGACACTCCTTTGTAGATTCAGTTAAGCCACGGCCAAATGCACATGAACACGGTGAGACAGACTTGCAACACAGCCTTGTGCAGAGCTACATATTAGTGCTTTCCTGGACATTTGATTACCTGGCCCTTGCTGTTGTTAAGGTCTCGTGGAGAAGTTTTTATACATTAGCATAAGATATGATTTTTAGGATTTGCTAAAAAGGGCATTTAACAAAGGCTGAGGTAGCTGCCTACTCCCTTGCCTACTACTTAAATAGTGATGGGTACAATGGAAGTCCACACGTTTGAAAGGGTGAGCAACCCTTAACTGATGCGCTGTGCCATCACAGCGTCAATGTCCCTGACTCAACAAAGTTAAGAAACCCTTTAAAGTTGCCAGAGAAGGACAGGCCATCGCCCTGTCACGGGAAACTATAACCGAAAGCTCCAAGTGCGGCGCATTTTACCATCTGACAGTTTAGTGAAAGCATCGCTCCCCGAAACAGCAGATCCACCGATATAGCGCATAAATCCTACCGCATTACAGAGGAGTGTGAGAACCGAAGTTGAAGGGCGAAGTGTAAACAGGCAGAGGTTTAACGTTGAAACACAGCTGTGAGTAGTCAGTGCTATCTGAACAGAGGCGCATGATCACAGGCACAAAGAAGGCAGCTTGCGACGCCCTGAAATTATTTCATGCACAGTTCTCTTAAATTTAATGAATAACTTGGCATAGAGCCGAGCATAATTTCAAGGTAAAGACTGAAGGAGTGACAATGGAGGCAATGGAACGGTCTTGAGATGGAGATGATTTGATGGTGTGACAAGGGCAAGGAAAGCATTATCTGAAGGACACATGTTGTCGTTACCCATGGCGTCTGGAGCTCCAGTTCTAAGAGTGCCGGGTTCAAGATCTGTAGCAGGAACTAAGTAAAAGCAATCAAATAAACATGTGTGAAAGTCAGCAAATTAAATCTCACCAGTATGATACTGCTGCAAGGAGTATAGAGCAATTTTAAGAAAATTTATGAAGTTTAATATTTGTTACTTAAAGATTTGGTCACCCTGTAGCCGCATACACATTCTTTTAGGAGTTACTTAACATGGGCTCCACAACCTGGTAAGCATCACAGGTCACTGTGACAGTCTTCTAGGCATCTGAGTACCTGATTCCAACTGTCATAGAAAACTGCCTAAAATAGGAGACATTCTACCAAAGATAGACAAGGGATGTTTGAAAAATGTAGTGAATACTTAATTTAAATAATCATTTCAGGGCCGGGGATACAGCTCAGTGGCACAGCACCTGCCTGGCAAGCGCTAGGTCGTGAGTTCAATTCCCGGTACCAAAAGAAAAAAGGATTTTAAATAATTATTTCCAGAAAAGACACATTGCCTTTAATTCGTCCAAACACACTCTTCCCCTTGCTTTGAACACAGTTATTGTATTGTTCTTGTCACTTTCTATGCAGCTCTGGAAGTCCTCATGTCTTGCGCTGTCGTGTCTACTTGGGTGTCCTGAATCGATTGAAAACATTTACCTTCCCTGATCACTTTGGCTCTCAGGCTGGAGAACTCTGTGTGTCAGATGCGGTGACTGGGTGGAAAAGGACACACTGAGTTTGTTAAGAGCGCACCCTTGCACTGGGCGGCACACGGCAACAACTTTCACCGTGTTTTCTTCCCACACCCTGTAAAGCCCCTCACAAAAGACAACTTCCAGAACTGCTTCAGAAAACGGCAAGCATGGTGAGATGAGTGTGTACAAAGTGAGGCGGAGGATTCTGAGGGGGCTTAATCGGAATGTGTTCTTTACGGTAACAAATTTTTTAAAATTTAAATATTCACCACACATTTTGATGACCCCTTTTACTTATCTAACTGCTCTGCAATGATTGGCTTCTTGGTGGAAGCTCTGACAATATGTCTAAATAATCCTGGATACCCTAAGTAGCCTTTATGTGTGAGAGCAGAGGTAACAAAAAGTAAGGCAAAGTGAATCACACTCGTCTTACTGAGAATTCATATTTGGAAACAAGCTGTGATCTCATCTGAGGCAAAGGTGCTCAGCCAAGATAAGGGCGCCCGCCTGGTGTGTGGCACCCAGGAGAGCAGCTTTTCATGCTAATCACAACACAGCAGTCTAGCGGATGGGAAAGATCACTGAAGGCTTTGGGGTCAGGTCCGAATTCCCTAAACACACCTTTGAGGACTTCATTTAATTGCTCCTATGGAGCTTCTCAAACATAGCTATCATCACCTCCTAGAAATGGGCCTCAGCTTGTTTCAGAAAGCCTGTGCCCCGTGGTTGGGCTCTATATTTCCCTTTTGTCTCTTCTCAACACCAAGATTTGAAGGCCCATTTTTGCCATGTCTTTATTCCTGTTTTTCATAAACTTTTCTTTCTCTAAAGTCATAGATGTTAACAGCACCCAAAAAATCAAGTTTGATTTGCATATACAAAGCACCTTTTTTCTATTGTTTCAATCTGTGTGTGTTTCAGATGGGGGCGGGTCTTAACCGTGACTGTATCACAGTTTGAGAGGTAGAAACAAGTCCCTGCTACTGTGTTATCCTCACAGCTGTTGCTTTGACTTAGGAAGATGGAAGGTAATTAATGTTTATTTCTTTAGATAAACCTTGATTGCCCTTAAGACACTCACATTTTATCTTTAAGAGAAGAAAGGAATGAAATAAGTGGTAGCAAGAAAAAAGACTCATAAGAACAGAGAAGATTCTTACGCACTACACACAAATAACTCAGCGCCACCCTGGTCTCCAGCTGTACATTCCCTTGCAAACTCAACAGTGGCAGCAGCAGCAGGTTTCTCTGCCTTCACCCACAGGGGGCCACTCCCACCAGTGGCGTTAACCATGGCCTCCCAAGAGTGGCTGGCAGGCCCTGGGAGGCACTCCTGGCAGAAACTCACATGTACTCAGTACGATTTGAGAAGCCTTGGGACTTGGTGTGGCTTTAGGTTTGAGACGTGGACGTGGACGTGGACGTGGACGTGGACGACGGGTCCGTTTGGATGTCTTAGGAGCTGAGAAAAGAAAACTTCCAGTTACTGCTGAATTATTACAGTTAGTAGTGCAAAAGTTACAGGATAGAAGGATCATGGCTCCATGTTCCTAAACTTATTGGGTGCTTCTCATATTTTAGGATATTTTTCTAACTTTTTTTTTTTTTTTTTTGGTTTTGGTTTCTCTCCGGTACTGGGAACCGAACTCACGACCTTGCTCTTGCCAGGCAGGCACTTTGCCGCTGAGCTAAATCCCCAGCCCCCTTTTCTAACTTTTTAATGCAACTTTTGTCATTACCATAGCATGTGTTTTTTTATAATTGAGAGTCCACTGGGCATAAGAGTCATATATAAAATGGAATTGTTAATTCAAGAAGTAAAGGTAGAACATAGAACTCTTACAGAATGAAAAGACTGAGAACCACTGCTAAAGCATCACAGTGGTAGTGATGGTTGGTTACAAGTTCTTTGATAGTTTACTAAAATACCATAAAACTAAGATTTCAGAACAAATACCACATAGATAATAAAAATGTATGAATGAATAATAATTAAAAAGTAGAACTTTAGACCCAGAAGGAAATTTCCTTGTACCATAATAATTGTTAAGGTCAAGACAATTCCTTTCTAAGTCACCTTTAAAAAAAATATTGGTTACAAACCACACAAGATGACAAAATAATTTCAGATGGTTACATGCCCGATAGATGACATGAGCTGAGTTCATGTAGAAGTCTCTTAAAGACAAGTAATGCATTGTAAGTGTCAGAGCTTCCAGTGCTTTTAGAAGGACGCAAGCAATGGAACTACCACAGAGGACAATATCTTAGTCTAGCAATGTGGAAGGGCCTGCGCTGTGAGGAGGATGCAGCGTGTCTGAGAAGGAGAAAGAAGAGCCTTTGGTGAGGCTCTCAACGTGTTATTACCTTGTGTTGTGACCCAAGTCTCAGGCCTGAGTGTCACAGGTTCAAGCCCTGCAGTAGGAACTGACGAAAAGTATTAAAGTAAACCAAATGATTATTTTAAATAAATAAAACACAAAATCTCTCAAAAATGAAGCTTTCGGGTGTAACACAGTTTCTAAAACCTTAGAACAATTTTTTAAAACTACTAAAATAAACAGTAGGCACTTTATTTCCTAAAATTTGGCCATATCTGTCAGGTACCTAAGTCCTTATTGTTCCTTCTTTGGTTATCTAACTAATAATCCAAAGTGGACTGTGGGTACTGCCAAGAACTTATCTCTGGAAAGAGACTAGCATCTCAGCATAATGGATTGAGAAAGCTAGCCCTCTATTGTAAGACAAGAAAGAGTGTGATTTCACTGGGGGTAGAACTCGCTGGTTTATCAGTTCAAATCTCATCTGTTTCATCAGGTACCTAAGAATCTCCACTCCGGATGTCCATGGACCCACTGACACACAGAAAGGTTTTGAACACCGCCTTGAAGCAAGACTTCCACTAGACCAGTATTCCAGTCCGGCTCCCCTGCTTTATCTCTACCTATTTCTCTGATTTTATTCCTTGCACCTTTCTACTCATCCACGTCCTACAGTGATTTCAAAACTCCACTCTTTTATTTTCCTGTTCCAAATGTTTACATGTAGCACAATTTGCTGGTGACATCTAAACATCAACCTTGTGTTTACACAGACGCTACCTAATGCCATTTTCTACATTATTTATAAAGAAAAGCTTTCTGTCTTGCAGTTTGAGAACCAAAACATGCCTCCTACATCTGAAACACAACACAAAACTGTTAGCGGTCAGAGGATACTGAAGACATTTCATCTTTTTACATTTTAACTAAGTATATTTAATTTTTCTAAGGAAGTTTTATTTTCAGGAGATACAGAGAGGATTGTAACTAGGAAACATGAGGCGTTTAGCTGCCCCACAAGTCTCCCCGAGCTGTGTTCCTCTGAGCACCTACTCTGCGGGAATTGCTGCTGTGCACGGATTGCATCTTCACTCTACAGGGATGAACCGCTTACTCCCGGCCACTGGGATTACTCTTGAGGTGCTGTCAGCTTAGACTGCTTTGACTCTTCACACTAAGACCACAAGGTTTACCTGGTGTAGGCTCAGGTGCTTCAAGACTTGGTATAGGTTTTGGTCTGGGATGTGGCTGATGTGTCCACTGTGATGGTTTGGGAGCTGAAGGAAGAAATTTTTGTGTTATACATACTTACATTACCTACGATTCAGGAAATTATGGGAAGTGAAACTATGACTGTAGACTTTGCATCTTATTAGTTATTCCCTCTTCCAGTTTTATATTTTTGGTCATATATTATGTATGAAGATACATTATGTATCTTCATTATGAAGACATATTGTGTATCTTCTTTTATCATAGGAAAGTCTTTGAGGACAAAAATCATTTTTTAATTTAAGAAATAAAGGTTAGTAATTACAATAAAAGTCTCATAGGGCAGCTTGAATGGCCCCAAAATGTCCAGGAGTCATTGCTAAATTTGACTGGATACTGAAGGACACTCAACCTGTGATTTATAATTTAGTCTTTGACCTATTTTCTACGTAACTATTAAAGTAAGAACATATTATTCCCAAAATAGAAATGACACAACAACATATCATTAGGGAGAAAAAGGTGAAATGTAGATTCACAGTGGAGCTCCCTGGTTTTATAAAAGTTCTTAGTGACTTTATCTGTTCAGATGATCCAGAGAGACCTGTGGCACATTTGAAACACACCTTTAAGACAGACACTGCTTGAACAAAACTCAGGATGACACGAAGGGTTTATAAGTGGGTTACATGGAAAACAAATGATCTAAAGCAGATTATGCATGACCGGTTCCCTCAAAAGTGACACAACGTTAGCCTTCATACTTTTAGAATATAATGAACGGCCACAAAGAATGACACTGTTGCCGCACAAAGCGAGATGAAGCCAAAGGGTTCACAAGGAGAAGGCGAGGCTGCGGAAAATAGCACATCACCATTACCTAATGTTGTTCCTGCAGCCTCTGGATGAAGAGTGACAGGTTCAATAGCTGTTGCAGGAACTGACAAAAAGAAACACAGCAAACCAAAGAAATTTTAAAAGGTATAATAAGTCAGAACATTCACATCCAAACACATATTGCTGGTATATCAATTCTTCTAAGAAAAAAAGAAAAGCAAATTAACTCCTCAACTAAGGGAGTGAATATGTATTTGGTCTTTGCAGATTTGGTCAAACCTTAGGCATGGTTGGTTTTAGGCTTAGCTTTGAATGACCTCGACTATCTTAAGTAAATGTAAAATTTTCCTAAGCTTCAAACTAATACATCCTAACTGATATGGAAAGCCCAGCACCAGCAAGTATTTTAATTCATTCACTTAGTATGTACTTAAAATAGATTATTTTTGAAAGCATAATTGCCCTGCTCTTGCATGGAAGATGATCACACCAGGATTATGCTTAAGTAAACATAAATACAATAGACCGTTTATTCACTTGACGGATATAAAAACTACTCATCAAAGTGACCTGTGCTGTTCTTGCCGAGAACTCATCCATGGGAAGAGTCTGAGACTTGAGAGTAGGACAAAGGCGGTCCCCAGTCTATAACAGCCAGAAGAGCATCTGTCTGCCCTAATCCCAGCGAAAGCAGCTGTCTTTGTATCATCTCCGAGTTCTTGAATAAAATCGTAAAACCCCTCTTTCAACTGGCTTGGCGGCTACTTCCAAATATGCCACTGTTAGGCCCCGCACGCTGACCCCGCAGCGCAGTCCTCCTGGGCTGGCTCGCCCCCTCATTGACCTAACACTGCAGAAGGTCCAAGGCCAAAATCCAGGCAGCCCTGACCTCTGCCTTCGCATTAGACCATTACTTTTATGCTCGTATCAAGCACATTTCCAATTCCACTGTTGTAGAAGTAAAATAATCCTACAGCTGGCATATTGCCCATAGTTGTCAAAACGGCCTGGGAATGTGCAGGAACGTGACAATTTGTTCACCTGATATACACAGACTGACTGTACTAAAGAACTCTCAACTTAGGAGTTGAGTGTAATTTGGTAATAAGAAATGTACTAAATATATAGTTTCAAAGAAGAGTGCCATAGAGTAAGAAAATAGTTTTCTGCCACCAGCTGGGTCTCACATAGTCACGTTCTCCTTAAAAGCCAGGCGGAGCAGGTAATGCGCATGTCCTCACATTCGGGGAGAACAAGAACTATCACTGCCCTTGAGTGCAAGCTCTGCGTCCTCATTAGGGCAGGCTGCCAAGCAATCCCTCTTCCCCCAAGTAACTGCAGATTTACCCGGCTTGGTCTGAGGTGCTTGAGGTCTCCATGTGGTTTTAGGTCTGGGTCGTGGACGACGGGTTCTTTTTGGTATTTTGGTAGCTGAAGAAAGAAAAGCCTTGTTTTACGCCAGATCTTGTGCTTCTGGATACTGAGGAGAGCTTTTTCTAAAACTTTTCAGGTTTTCCAAAGTTCTAGAAAATTATACTTTCAGTTTCCCTTTTTCACTCTTTTTATTCCAGTGTCTTCTTTTAATCATTTCTCCTGTTTTTGAGGGAGAGCTCATGTATACAGTTTAGGTGCTCATTCAAGTTACGAAGATTAGTAGTGATTTTGAGAAATTATAGAACTTCCTCACTTGGCAAAAATGGGAAGTATTTAATGAAAGGAGAGGTGAAATTTTGTTCATGCTAAGAAAGAAACTTATAATTTAAGATTTCAAATTTGGGTAATTTCCTAATTATTAAATTAGTAATAAAACATATCATTACTTAAAGTATCAACAAAGAAACAAATGCACTATATAAATATTTTTTTAAAAAGATATGGAAACCTAAGTGTGCAGAGAGTGAGCATAGAGTAGCTGTTCTTGCCGATCAGCTGAGATAACAAATAGATCCTGATTTGTTTTAAGCTCAGCTATAACACAATACTGTTACACGAACCCAAGACAGCAGTGATCTCAAACGTGCTACATGCCCAGTTCATGTTTGCACTAGGCTCATGCTCCTAGCTCTTGTAAAAACAACAGAAAACTTGCTTTTAAGATACTTCAAGCTTCTCAGGTGATGGAAGTAACTGAATGGTGGCAGAAGAGGTGGACACCATCTCATGAAGGTGGAAAAGACATGCAGTGGGGATAGGGACTGAGTGGACAGTACCATGAGCAGCAAAAGCACTTGGCAAGGAGCACAGGCTTGTTACCTAATGTCGTCCCAGACGTCTCAGCTCTAAAAGTAACAGGCTCAAGCTCTGTAACAGGTGGTTCAGGGTCTGTATCTTGAAGTAACAAAATAAAAGAATTTTGGAGTTTATTTTACACACACACACACACACACACACACACACACATGCACAGGGAGAGAGAGGGAGGGAACAATAACATTCACTTCAAAATGAATCTTGCCAGTGAAATATTGCCTCAAAGAATATACATATTTTTAAAATTTTAGGGAGTATGGTTAGGTGTTGCACCTCATGAGATCATCCTCATATTTGGTCTTAGCACTACTGGAGGGAAACAATTCCTCTAATTACAGTGCTTGATAGTATGAATCCAATATGAAAGACTTTAGGGCATTTTTACCTATGCACTTAAATATGTTTCTGACTATTCTCAAGAAACACATGGAAAACTAATTTGCACTTGTTTGGATATCTAGTAGGTTGGTCATCTTATGGTTGCAGAAAATGTTTTGAAATATCTATGCAACAGAAAGTAACTAAAAATGATTCTACTACCTTGTTGGCTGAGAAGTAAAGCATCTTTCCTACCATCTCTAGTTAGAAGAAAGAGCTGCACGTCCTTCCTAATCATAAACTCCCTACCAAACATGAGCGCACAGTAGCCCCTGAGGATTCCATCACTGGGGGTATGTTATACTTTTTACCAGTGACTGGCTCCCAGGTACCTTAAACCAAAGTCAGTGTATTTAATGGTGTCCTCTAAGGTACACCTGGACTTAAGTGGTTGGAAGTTTATGTTTGTGTCCTTTGGAACATTTTTGGAAGTAGGAAGAGATAATCTTTAGTTATTTTGGAGCTTGTGGTTCTGCAGGTTACAGAGTTTTAGAAATCTTCAAATTTTCCAAACCTTAACAAGTTTTCTCGAGTTTCAAGAAATGTACTTTACTAGTGCAAAAGTTTTACCCCTAATATGTTAGTACATCTTCTTTTGTTTTTGAAGACACTTTGGGGGCAAAATTAACCTATCAAATAAAGTTGTTAATTCAGAAAGTCAAGATTAGCATTCTCTATAAGTCCTATCCTCCTGGAGTCCCTTGACCTAAGTAAAAAGGTGGAGAGTCGTCTAAACTGTGGTGGGGAGGGAGAGAGTCAGTTGCACAGTAGGCTGTGGCTTGTTGTTTAAATCTACTAAGCAGGACCATCAATATCAGTTATTTAATTCACTAAAATCCACCGCCCCAATATTAACCACCCCGGCATTAACGAAAAGCCAGATTAAAAAGGCAGATGTACAAAGGATGTACAGAGAAACTTTCCCATTGTAGTAGCTTATTTTGCATACATCAGAGTCAGTTACTTTTAAAGATATTTGAAATTTACTGTAACAATGAACTCTGGTTATACCAAAAATGTAAAGTAATGTGAAAGGCTTTTAAGAAAGTTACAGCGCAGATGGTGTCCCAAACTGGGTCGACGCATGTCTCTTACAAACAAGAGGTAATTTGTTGTACGTATGTTCAGCCCTCATGAAATGAAGGATGAAATTAAATGGCACCAGAGGGTAAGTCTGACAGAAGCATAGAGAGCGCTTGGCGAAGGCCGGTGAGTGGCATTACCGATTGCTGTTTTGGGAGCCTCTTTTACAGGAGCGACTTGTTCAAAACCTTCAGTGGGAACTGGCCAAAATGACAAATCAAACCGAAAGACATTAAAATCCATAAAAACTCAGAACATTCTCTACTAACAGAATTCTAGCACAGAACAAATGTGGTTAACGTGAACGTAGGGAGCACGGCATCTTTGCCTGTAGATGATCGTTTCTTAGAAGGGATTGTCATTAACTTTGTATCCATAATGGCCCATGCAAACTTTTTCTCCTTCGATGGCTGGAGTCTCACTAATGTAGACTGCTATGGTTTAAGTCCTATCAGGGTCCACTGTGATTACAGTTGTGCTGTGCGTGGTGACGCTCTGGAGAGATGGGCCCCTTGAAGGCGGGACTAGCGAGAAGTCTCTGGGTTATCAGAGGTGTGAGGAAATTTGTAAAATGCCTGGAGGTTCTTCTGCCACCCTCTGAGGCCTTGAGGGAGGAGTGCTATAAAAGAAGCAAGCCTGGCTCCTCTCTCACGCTCTGCCTCAAGTCTGAGACGTGATCACTTGCTCTGCACAAGTACTTGCCGCTGCTGTCTGCACCATGAAGTAATGCAGCAAGGAACACCCGCCCCACAGAAGCTGTACTCTGCCATTTGGATTGAGAACCTCCAGTTCCACGAGCTGGATAACCCTCTTCTTTCTAAATAGCTGCATCAAGCACTTCATTATAATGAAGCAAGGGTACTAAATTCATGGATCAAACTCATCTTACTGAAAACTCATCTTTGGAAAGGGACTCTTAAGTGGACATGACAAGGGCAGCTGCTGTGTGCCGCAGACATCTCTCTGTCCAGCACCCTGAGGAATCCTGACTGTGTATGCATTCTCAGCTGTACTCCGACCTCCTGACTTCAACAGTCAGACTTCTTTCTTGGTCCTGTGGCTATTTAGTTACAGCAACTTCAATAAAATGTTCTAATCAACACCTAGAAGCCTGGAAGCCTCCACTGGTGAATGAAACATACATTTCCCGCCCTTTGAGCTTTCAGATTACACCCACCCCAGGATGATTTCCCTCTAAGAATTATTTTTCTGTTTGTAAACAGTTGGAAAAAAATAAAAATAAACCAAAGAAGAGTATGCAACAGAAACTTTGTAGCTCACAAAGCCTGAGATACCTACTTTTGGACACACACAGAACGCATTCACCAGAGCCCAGCCTAGATACCTACTAGGACTAACGTGACTAGAATTACCAAGAAATAACTTTCCATTGGTACAAATAGACACGTTTTCTAGTTGTGTCAGGTTCCCACACATACCCAGCATTGAAAGGGTGAATAGAATGCAGTGAGAAGAAAATTAAATAGATTTTGGAGAGAATATTTAATTCACGGAGAATAAGGAAAACGAGCACCGCTAACTCCCCTAGCCCTCCTCCTACTTCTCTGATCCAGTGTGGAGCCGGTCAATGCTCCTCACTTGCGCTGTACTTTCCATGACCCCCTGGGATGGGCTGCTGGGATGCCTTAGCCAGGGCCTACACATTTACCCAGTTCTGTCTGAAGCGTTCCGGTTCTCCAGGTGGTTTTGGGTTTGGGGTGTGGAGGCGTGTGTTGAGGCACCTTGGGAGCTGAAGGGAGGAAATGTCAGGTTAACAGAGCTTTGGGTTCCAGATACTGTGGCTTTCTATACCTATAATTTCTTGAGTCCCAGGAAATTATTTTTTGCCCTTGAAATATTTGGTCCTATTTTGTAAATGACCTGTAAATTATTTATATTTTCTGAAAAACAAAAATCAAACAGAACATGAGTTGGTGTAGCAAGTATATTTCAAAGTGATTATCACAGGGTTTCCTGAATTTGAAAAGTTCCAAATCTTGCTGAACTGTTGGAGTGTGTAACCCCAGGAATACTTTCTATTTTACTTTTTCCTTAAACAAAACTTTGTCATTATCTGAAATAGTAAAACAAAACCACGCAGCTGGTATACAGGTAGCGATTTGGATCCGCAAATGGACAGCTACACCGTAATACCTGTGCCCATCACTCAGCCTAGCGTGGTGTAGACGCCCCTCCCCCACAACTGATTGTGTTTGAAACTCAGCAGCACAAAATGTGGTGATGAAAATGTTACATGGGAGCAGACACCACAAATTCAAAGACATCACATTGCAGATGACAAAAGGAGTTCATGCTCGGATCACTTAAAAACGAAGTTACTTAGTGTATGATAGAATAAGGGGATGACACAGAGGCCTTGGGAGATGAAAGAAGCACAGGTACGACGCTGACGACGTGGGCAGGAAGCGCAGATGCCAGCGGACAGACGTCATTACCTAGTGTTGGTCCTGGAGCCTCGGTTCTAACAATAACTGGTTCAGCGATTGTGGTGGGAACTGATCAGAAGTAATAAGAGACCAAAGAGACGTTGTGAGTATGCGGAATATTAGAAAGTGAATCTTACCAGTGAAATAAGGTTTCTAGAGCTGCAAAGTTCATTTTTAATATTCATAACTCAAGAGGGAGCACGTGCACTTTTCCTCTTGACTACATTGCCACACCCTCACCAGGTATGCGTTTATTCCGAAGATAGTCAGCCGTAGCCTTCAGACTCTGCAGAGCAGCTCCGTGGGGCCCAGTCTAAAATTTCCTTGTTGGCTAACTACTTGATTTGACCTAGCATGAGCAATTCTTCATTCTAATAATAAAAATCTGCTTCATTGTTAGAAATATACGTGACAAAGACAACTAGCACTTTTGCAGAAGCCAACACCCCAAACTCAGCTATAAGCAGTATCAATAATGACCGATGCAATAAACAGTCCAGATATTTGAACATAAATATAGTCTAGTAGACAGAGTATGGTGAGCACCAATAATTCCTGCCCCTTGTGTTGACAGCTTTGTGCAATCTCCCCTACCCCCAAGTACGTGCTGAACCTCTGATTTGCCTCTAACTAGCAGAAGAGGAAACGGTGATAAGCGGTCGTCCCACTAACGTCTCTGCCATGCTAGCGTAGGATAGAAACAGAAAGAATGGACAATGAACTATAAAAAGGTACGAATACCAAAAGGAAGGAATTGCTGGGCGTCACCCTCAGATTGTCAGCACACATACTAGCTGCCGGAAGGAAGCGGAGGCCATCCTCATCAAGAGACTAAGGTCTTTGGGAATACAGCCCTCCTAACATAAGATCGGGAGCCACCTCTCAGCCTGTGTCATCTTTAGGCTGGATATTCTCAGTTCTCAGGAGAGAAAGAGCGTGTTCCTGTCCAGAAGGAGAAATCACTAAAGCCCAGTGACCAAATTTAGGCTCCCAGCCCCTGTAATTCCTCCCATGGGCCCAATCAGCAGGAGCCCAGCAGTAAGTCACACTCTGTCCGGGAGTCACCTCCACCAGGCTGCCTTTCCCTTGCCTCAGTTTCCCCCTCAGATGAGAGAGAAAACTTCCCTCATCCGTCCAGTTACCCAAACTGTGTGCTGACTGCCTCCCAATAGCCCTGGATGTATTTCTCCTTAAATATTCACCCTGCTCCTAGCATGTGGCATTGTGCCATTCAAGAAATTATTTTATATCCGCATGAACATGCCGGCTGTTTATGCAAGAACAGCTTTTATTTACTATTGTAGTGTAAGCTACTTGGTTTAAAAAAAATACCTCCCATTTTTGATATATGGGCTTATGTAGTTCGGGGGAATCAGGAAAGACTTCATAAAAATCATTGATTTTAACTGATTGAATTGGCTCAGTACAGAGACGGACTTTAACAGAATGAACAGTAAACGGCACGGCCACTGGGAGAGAAGTTTCCCGAGAAGGCAGCGTGAAGCACTCAGACTTCTCATGTTCCTGCACTAATAAGCAGCTTTTGCTCCCAGGAAACATACGGGGCGTGTCCTACTGTATCGTGTGCATAAACTGAGGGTCCCAGCTGAGACAAACTGCACAGGTTCTTTAAAGTGGACACCACATATTTACCCAGCACTGTCTGAGGTGTTTCCGGACGGGGTGTGGTTTTAGGTTTGGGATGTGGACGATGGGTTCTTTTTGTTGGAGCTGAAGGAAGAAAATTTAGGGTTAACATGATGCTTATGACTCCGTAAACTGTAACGAGGATGATTATAGTGTGGCTGTAAGTTTTCTAAAACCTGATAGTATTTGAAAAAACATCATTTAGTTTAAAATGTTCTCCTTTAGTATACTGATGCTGATAACTGACAGTTCTCCAGAGCCTAAAATTACACATATACTTATGCTTAAGAAACTTCAGGGACTGTCACTTTTTTCTTAAAAGTTTTCCTAACCCAAAACTGGTTACAGACTCTAATGATGTGAGAACATTTCAAACCAACTTTATAGTACTCACCTATAATTTAAGATGACAAGGCCTGGGCAAAAGTTTCACTTGCTAATTTACTAGAATAAATCTATACAATTCACTGAAACATCAGCAAAGCCAAAGTGGTTACACAGAACTTGAAATACGAAAGCAAGGTGCTTAAAGAAATTACGTGGCATCATTGGCACTGAATTTGCAGTCTAACTGAGAAATAGGGGAACATATATTTGGATTTTGACTCTAACAGTACATTTCAGAGACTCAGATTGACATGACACAATTTCAGACTGGGATATGGCACAGATAGCTGCCTTGAATTCAGTCCACGTACATTTCTATAAAAAGAAAGAAAACCTCAAACATTTTAAGATGAATTGTGTAACAGGAATTCAAGAGAGCACAGCACAGACAGCTCCGGAGAACTGTAGGGAAGCTTGACAATGAATTAAAAACAAGCACTTGCTGAAGGACAGAGAGAATCATTACCTAAGGATGGTCCAGGAGTAATTGGTCCAAAATCTGGTGCAAGACAGGACCGAAAACAATTTTAAAAAGAAAATGTTAAACACATGAGAAAAATCCATCAAGTTTTTTGAAAATGTTTAGTTGTCTAGCATTGTTTCTATAGTCAAAAAGCAAAATCTGCAAGTCTTTTTCTTCTTTCTTTTTTCGTTGGCACTGGAGATTGCACCCACATCCTTAGGTATGCTAGGTAAGTGCTCTACCACTGGGCTACATTCTCAGCTCTTTAATACTTTTAAGTGAGAGTTCATAGATATTTACTCAAAAGACATGTTTTACTTTTAAAAAATATAATCTGATAGTACAACAGACAATCCTGCTTAGAAAACTCTTTAGGCACCTGTCTAATAACATTATGTTTAACAATTATGAGCAAAGCACATGAAAGTATAATGTATGACACTATAGACTGGAAAACAAGGCCTCATTCACGATAAATGGAATTGTTGATATATTTAAGCAGACACACTGGTGAGAAACCAGAAGAAACAATGCCTTTCTCTTTGGTCGAGAGTCCACTTTGGAAAGCAATCAGTATCTTTGTCTAAAGAAGGTACACGAAGAGGTACATACGGAGCCACTTAGTCTGTGAAACTTGCTAGTGCGTTTCTCAGTTATCAGGACAGAGAGGACCTGACACTGCAAAACAGGAGTGCATGCTAATGGCTCAGACGCAACCACTGAAGCCAAGTACACCGGTCCTTCTCCTGGGCTTCCTAAGAGTCGCGTCCCTGCCCGGGCGGGGAGAGCAAACATCACCTTCCTCACAATCCGGTTGAACCTCTCACTTGTGGCCTCGGGTCACCTATATACATGGCACCTTCTTCTCTGTTTATACAATTTCTGCTCAGCCTGGTGACAGATCTACTAACACTTCAGACCTCAGAGTCCACATGACACATGTCCGCCCATGAGAGTTTTGCTTCTCTCAGCGTTCACTACATGCTAAATATTGGAAAAACAATATGCAAATATATGTTTCTGCCTCATCTATTTATGAAGTCTCCAAAAATAGCTTTCTTCCTCAAAAAAGTAATTTGCTGCTAAGGTAGTATTTAGTAAAAATGCAGGACCACTTGAATTAAATTTGCTAACTAGATACCTAACTAGATAAGTTTTTCGAAAAAGCAAAATGTGGTTGAATGTCCGAATAACAAATTAAATACTCAGGCAATGAGGAAATCCTCATGCAAACAACGTGAGGAAGTCACATGCATCTAGTAGTAGCCGCTTTCCATGCCGTGGGCCAGTGGCGGGGAGCCTATGTCATCTGTGCAATAGTGGGCCCTGTGTATCATCGAAAGCTCCAAAAGGTTCGCTACCACTGCAGTGGACCCTGTTCCTTAAGGGTCATATAAGTTATTAGGCGGCGTGTTAAACTGCCACTCCAGTACCATGCCCACAGCGTGCCACAGGGTTAGAAAGAGCGTATTATTTACCTGGTTTAGTCTGATGTACCTTTGGGCTTACTGTGCTTTTATGTTTGGGCCGCGGACGACGAGTTCTTGTTCGTTGTGTTATTTTTGGAGCTAAAGAAAGGAAACTGATTATTATAGTTATAGGAACCCAGAAGCTAAAGCATTACATGTGATATCAGGTTTTCTAAAATTTTCTTACTCTTTCATGACACTTGAGAAAAATTTGTCTCTTTGGACTGAAATTTTCTTCTGGTAGTCTATAAGTAAAACCTTTTTATTTTTGTGTTCTATTCACAGTTCTTTTGAGGACAAGCACATAATATTGTTTTATTGTTCTGAAAACTTTATTACTAGTTGCTGCTATCAAGTAATCAGGAAGGTCACAGACACATAGAAATTGAGAGACAAACATGTCAAGATCATATCAAAGGACAATGTAGGATCAGCTGCTTTTTTTTTCTTTCTGGTACCGGGAATCGAACTCATGACCTTGCACTTGCCAGGTGGGCGCTGTGCCGCTGAGATAAATCCCCAGCCCCTGGATCAGCTGCTTTTGGAAGACTACTTAGAAATTGCTTGGTTTGGTATAAATCCATTATAATTACTAGAATAAGCACATTTCATTTCCTGAAATCACTAGCACATAATGAAAATGCCCCACATATCCTATAACAACAGACAGTAAGATGCCCACAGGCATATAACTGATGTTTAAGGAACAGACATTCCTAATTGTGTTTGAAATTCAGCTTTAACACTTTGAAAACTACTTGAGTAGGGGCTGGGGATTTAGCTCAGCGGCAAAGCGCCTGCCTGGCAAGCGAAAGGTCGTGAGTTCGATTCCTGGTACCAGAAGAAAAACAGAAAAAAACAAAACAAAAAAAAAGAGAAGACTACTAGAGTAGACCCATGGACCCTGTAAAACCTTAATAATGCTGAATAACATGGGAGATAGAGTCTCTGTACAGGTGCATATAGATTTATAACCAAGTACTGGCTTTAAGTACTTTTAATAATTGCATTTAAAATGAGGAATATAGTTGAGTGAGGAGAAGAATCACGTAAAGAAAAACATCCTTAAATTCCCCAAGACAGCGTCAGAACACACAGTGGGCAGAAAACACAGGTGTTTAAAGATAGAAGATGTTACCTAGTGTCGTCACCGGAGCCCCAGTTCTCGGAAGTACAGGTTCAGTGTCTGTGGTGGGAACTGACCAAAAGCAATATAATAAACAACAAAGACTAAGAAATACAGAAATAATTATCTTAAAGTCAAATCTTCTTAAGCCTAGCACATTTAAAAAGTGTTTCTTTTTATTTTTCTCAACTGTCTGTTCCACCTTACTGCTAAGTAGTATTACACGGTAAGGTTGGACCACAGTTTGTTTAATCTTTCATCTACCACAGGACCCCTTGACTATTTTCAGTTTGAGGACATCGTGAGTACATCTGACTGGAACATTTCTGTACAGACTCTTGTATGAACATAAATATTCATTTCTCTGGGACAAATGTCCAAGAGTACAAATTGCGAGGTCATATGATAGCTGCATGTTTAGTTTCATAAGAAATTGTCACACTGTTTTCCAAAATGGCAATATCATTTTACAAGGGGTGACTGAAAAATATGTTGAGTGCTTAAATTAAAAAAAACTTAACATAGTAAAAGACATAGTACCAAGAATGGTAGAATAACACATAGTACCACTAATGTTTGATGTGAACGGCAGTATTTTGAATGGATTAATAACAATGTGTTTTTTACTGTAATTTTAAAAATTTAAACATTTACCATATTTTTGAACACCCCTCATTAATCAAATGCTTATGGCAATTTATGTAAAAACATTCATGGTGTGTCCTCATCTACTTTATTCATTGGATCTGGTGCCATGTAACTTTTGGCTCTTCCCCAAATTCAAAATGACCATGAAATATAAATATTTTGAATATATTCAGGGCCTCCAGCCAACCAGGATAGCACAACTAATGATACTCACGAAAGAGGACCTCCAGAACTGCTTCAGAAAGTGGCAAAAACTATGGGATAAGTGTGTTCAAAGCAAGAAGTATTTTGAAGGATGTTAATGGCAGTGTGTCTTTCACTGTAATAAATTTTTAAAATTTGAACATCCAATGTATTTTTTATCACACCTCATACACTCCTATCAGTAATACGTCTTTATCAGTATCTAGTGTTGAAAAGCATGTCTGAACTCTGGGGAAATAACGTTTGCTATGTCCACTGACTGGCCGCACTGGAGTACCCATTATCTCATAAGGTAGGCACACCATTTGTATGCTGTGTACCTATAAGGCTCATGAGAAGTATTTTTCTGTGCACAGATTACTCTGAAAAAGAAGTATTATAAAGTCTGATGCTAGCTGAAAGGGTTTCACCATGGTTACTGGTCTGCTTAGAGCAGCAGTGGTTGTGGGCAGTGTCAGAAAATGTTAATCAGGGCGCTCACTGGAGCTGTGGGACAGCAGTGCAAAGGTAAATGGTGCCTTTCCATCACAGGGACTGTAACGTCGCTCCTTCTCATTTCTCCGCACTTCCTCATTCATCTCAAATGGATCGTCAGGAGATCGTTATTTGAGTTAAGAAGGGAGGTGATTAAGAAAAAAAGTTTGCAAGGTAATAATGCAAGTTTTTGTCCAGATAAACAGGATTTCTATACTTCTGACCTACTCTGAATGATTGTGCATAGATATGAAATTTACTAAGATTACAACTCTGGTATTAGTGTCTCCATTTACTTTTTCATTGAAACTAGAATACTACATATAACATCCAAAATTCTCACCCTCCAAAACCCTTTAACCATTTCCACAGACACCAACTTTTCCTGATTAAATGCCACAACACAAAGCTGGTTTAAGCCATATAAAGAGTTAATGGCCTTCCTGCAGAGGAGATGAGGAGCCCAGAACAGCGCCATAGAAACAATATTTATAACTGATTTGCTTTCAAACAGAAATCTACAATCCCTATTTTGTTTGAAACTTAGTAAATTTATCAACGGAAATAAATTTATCAACGGAAAGGTGCAGTTGCATTTGAACAGCATGGAACCCAGGAAGAAAGGAGTCTCACAAGACAGAGACGATGACATGCCAGTACCACAAGCTCCTTGTAAACCCAGAGGACAAGCGCCAGCCAACTTTGGCTTTGCTTCGCCAGTATCTATGCATTCTGCCCGCAGACACACAAAATTTCCTGGTCTACAAAGGATGGATGGACAGAGCACTGGAGGCTTTCTAACAGTGTCAAGCAATCTGAATGTCTCTGAAGGGGACAGAGGGAAGAGCAACACTCAGGCGTCAGAGGCTGAGCAGATGGAAGAACGCTGAACTTGCTGTTAAAACGGCCTCTGCTGAAAACAGTGAAAACTTTCTGGACACAAGTGGAAGAGACGCTGAATGACAATTGTGCATACAAGAAAACAGATAATGATGAAAGAGATGAGAAGGACACGCTCAGAGAATTACGGACCAAGAAGGCACGTTACCTATGGCTATGGGTGGAGCCTTGGTCTCAACTGCAACCACATCAGGGGCTGCATAATTCAAACACACGAAAACAGAGCAAGTCAGTAACTCTGGGTACTCACCAATGTTTAATTTACAGCGCACAGAACCTGGCTCTTTCTAAACTGATATACACTGACTTCTTGGTGGGCTTATTTTTATCAGAGATGCTCTCTTAGCAATGTAGAACTTTAGAGTAATTGAAAACTTAGAAAAAACTTTAACTATAAAATATTGGAATTTTTATAAAAATATCTTGTTACATAGTGAAAAATCAGTCAGTTAATTATTAGTATTTAAAATTCAAGTGTGTATTTTAGGGGCAGCCGGTCTACTGAGGAAGAGCAGAGGATCAGCCTCCGGTATGTGCTATGTGGTAGAGATTACCGACACCACTTTCAAAACTTTTCCGTATACAGAAAAGTCAAATGTTCTGCTCATTACAAGTTCACAATATAGTATGTAAATATGTTTTAAGAAAATGGATTACAGGTGTGTGGTAGCACATGCCTGTAATTCCAGCATTGAGGAGGCTGAGGCAGGAGGATTGCTGAGAATTCAAGGTCAGTCTGGAATAGAGACTGAAATTCTGGCTCAAAAAACAGAAAGAAAGAAAGAAAAAGAAAAACAAAACAAAAAAGGAAACTACCAGACGATCAGATATAACATTTACTAATTTTCCACCCATGCACTGATTTATTCACTTAGCAGTAAAAAAGTTAGTGCAACTATGCTAAGGCAACAATGGGCAAAATCATGGTACTTGGGTTTTTATGTTTATATAGTATATGAACATCTAAAGCAACAATTCCAATAACGTTTGTAAATGAAACATTTTGTGAAGCTAAAGTACTGGAAATCATTTACCAGATTTTGTTGGTGGAGTATCTGGGTGTGCAGTGATTTGGGGCTTAGGACGTAATTGCACTGGTGGTTTTGAATCTGAAGGAGAAAGGTGTTATGATTAATGCCACAGGCGACCTGTAAAGGCGAATACTATCGTTACTTACATACAGTTTCCTTACTACTAGGTCAAAGCACTGAAAGTAATGATTACCAGGCTTCATGTGGGGTACGTCTGGTCTGTGTGAAGTTTTAGGTCTCTTGGATGGCTTAGGTGCTAAAGAAAAAGGTATTACAAATTAGCAGAATGGTCCTGGCTGTGTCTGTCAAAATTAAAGATACACAAGTTAAATAAAGACACTGTATAAATTCAATGGATATATAAAAATTAATTCATCTTGTCTTGGAAGGGTGGGAAAAGTATTCATTTTAGCTACACACATGCATCATTAATTTTTCCTTTCAGGAAAATGCTCAAGTTTTCTTTTCAAAAAACACTTGACATGTGTCTCTGAGTAAGTACTGATAACTGTCATAGGTATTTTTTTCCTATGTAAATAATTTCAAAAACCATAAACTATACTAGTTCTATTCTTCTTGATAGGTTCTCTTCAATATTAAAACAGTGTTATAGAAAGTTAAAAATTGCTTAGGAGAAAATCTGGAAAATAATACATAAATACTCGATGTTACACAGGTGTAAAAATGTTACATGGCTACTGATTTCTGGAAGTTTTCAAAGCAAAGCAGTGACAAATTAATGTAAATGCTGAGAAGTTACAATGAAATAATTATAAGCATCAGTACTAAAAAATAAAAACATCTCGGGACTTTTAATGTCCTCAAGTTTCAAAGACAACTAGTTTTATGTTAATCCCTAGGCCAAGAATTGCCTATGGATCTAAACATGTTCAAATGCATTTTTCAAAGAAACAGAAAAACTGAAAAAATCATTATTCATGCAGCTGTTTAGAGTCTCACAAGCTGAATGAACAAAGCAATGAAATTATAGCATGTTACTAGGGGAAAAATGATCATTTTTTCAGTCTGGAATGAGCACAGAAGTCCCAGAGAAAGCGCTGATGGCTTTCTTAACACCAGCACACATGTGACAGAAAGACAGGGTCAGTCGGGAACCAGGAAGTCATGTTGGAGACCACAGGCCTCCCTAAATGAGCACGTGCGATTCTTGTAGAACCCTCCTATCTTCAGGTTCTTCAGACGCAGACAGAAAATGGGAAGGAAGCATGGGATGGAACTGTTAGAGATGGTAGAAATACAGTCATGCCTGGGGTGCAGGTGGAGAAAGCAAAAGTGACAACCTGTGAAAACCCCGGAAGGGGGCAGAATTACCGAGTTTGGGTACCATGGGCTCCGGGTGTGCTGTGGCTGCTTCCAGAGCTGTAGAAGCAAAGAACCAGGATCACCGCGTGTAACAGAAAGTGGCACCAGGAGAAAGGGACATCGTGGCTCAAGCCAGGACGCTCCGCCTCGTCCAGTACTCTTTCTCTGAATATGGTTTCCCTTTCAAATCTTCCCATTTACTCCATTTCTCCTGCTTATTTGCTCATACCACATCTTCCGTGAATATATATCCAGTGTAAGATCTAAAATGCCTTATTTTAATAACCCACTTAGTAGGGGGGCTTCCTGCAGTGTGTACTTAATAATTACAAATACAATACAGCACTTTAGGAGATATACTGTATGTAATATGCATATGCGTAGTAAGTACATATGTTCAAGTATAAAAATCAAGTGTTATTGGTTCCTAATGCCCAGCGGCTCCTAGTAGTTACTGAATTAAAAGCTGCCCTGGTCCACTTTCTGTATCAATTGGAACCCTGCACACCACATTTACCAGGTTCAGACTTGGGTACTCCTGGGCTACGTGTAGTTTTAGGGCGGGGGCGATGACCTGGTCGTTTGGTCTTTGGTGGAGCTGAAGAAAGAAAATTACTAGTTAATACAGGAAGGAAGGCTCGGGAAACTGACAATAAATAGTATCTATATCTTCGAAGCTTACTTAAGCCCTCTGATTTATTGTGGACACATCCTTCTGTTCTGCAAGTTTTTATCACTAACCCAGTTAGGTTACTGAATTATTTGTCCAAGATTTGTAAACTGTCCAACAGACCTTCCTATTCCTCCGCAAAACCTCAAACAGTTTAGAGGAGACAGTCACATAACCCTTTGCAGGTGGACGGTGAAGGGGAGTATTGGAAGAGAAGCTATCAGTGATAAACCTCATTTGGTTTAATGTTCACAGAAGGTTTTCACTTTGTGCTTTAAAAATCCAATCGATAATACATGGGAACAGCTTTGAATGCAGAAGTTCCTTCAAGGGAAAAAACTTACAAGTGAGGAAGGTTATAAACTATACGTACAGAGTTCAGAACTTTCTCCAGAAATACAAACAGAGCACATAAACACAAAGGGCACTAATGAATAAATCTAGGAATGTGACCCTGACAATAAAGACATCAGCAGTTAGGGAGAGAGGGGACGAAGGTCACCCAGTCAATAACTGTGCAACCTAAGGGCACTAGGGGTTTACTTCCCAGTGTTCCATGGGCTAAAACTCCATCAGCAATCATGAAGAAGAAATAAAAATGCACGATACACTTAATTTTTAATTATTAGGTTGAGCAAATATAAACGGTGCTTTTATTTCTATAAGAAGCACCTTTTCTATTTAAATGGACTCCTGTGCTTTTAGACAAAGTGCACAAAAATGTGGCCAGTAAGTTCAATTTGGAAACAGTGATGGAAAAAAAGCCAGGCAAGATTCTCATTTGGAAGATGTGAGTGTAATAAAATAACCAGCTCATATTAAAGGAAAATCTGGGTAATTGGCTAAGATGGCACCACAATACATTTATTTTGCTCTTTTGAAAAAGAAATAATAAAAGCTATAAAGATCCTGTGTGTGTGTGTGTGTGTGTGTGTGTGTGTGCACGCGTGTGCATACACGCACCTGTATGTGTCTCACTTTGAATGGATTTCCTAATGGCACATGAGGGTATTTGTATTTGGAAAGATCTCAGCGCTTTCCAAGAAAGCCTGCAAATGTTAGAATTCTGAAAAGTTAGGAAAAACAACTCCCAAAGTAAAAGTGCAAATATCCCCTAGAGAAACCAGGAGACTCCACTGGAAATAATCAGCTTAAAACAAGCCAAGGACAAATTCCTCAAGCGCAAGGCAGGGCAATAAAGAAGGTATCAATCAAGATTAGGATGGCTTGCACCAGTGTTTGTCTCAGAGCCTTGGTTCAGAAAAACATGGGCACAAAATATTCTGGTAAAAGTAGCTGAAAAAACACCTGAAGAACAATTTAGAAACATTTAAAAAACAAGCCAAAGCTAAGGACAAAAAGTCAAGGACAGACAGTGGTAAAGAAGGATCATCCTTGCACAACGAATTCAAGGAGGCTTCATTACCTTTCGTTGGCTGCGGCGGTGGCAAAGTCTGAGGTCCTGGGGCTGCAACGAAAGCAAGCGATGTCAAAAGCAGGGCGGAAGAGCACACCTAGGGTGGAGGGGGACGGGCCTTTCCCACCAAGGTGTTCCCTCTGGTGAATGACCAGGTTCTTCCAGCTTAAGACAGGACATCCACTCCTCCACATTCTTTCCGTGAAACACAGTGAAAGAATTAAGAATTCTCATTTTTGTTGTTGATCTTATTTATGGCCCTCACTACCCAATATTCCAATGGCTTGTTCCTGTGGCCATATTAGTTTTGAATGTTAACTTTGAATAATCTCCTACATGCTGGACCTGACATTCTTTCACACACTCGCACACACTGAAAGGAATTAAATTTATCAACCAACAGGGGTCAGAAGTATTTCCATTTTACTCCACATTGTATATCTATTGCCGGTAAATAAGTTAGTTACATGTATGAAATTTACTTCATTTTGCTTAGTAAATCAATAGGTATCTAAAAGCAATCTCAGGTGTTAGGAAATGCTAAGTTGAATATCTGTATTATTTAAATATTCTAATAGACAAGCACTCTAGTTTTCATTTGAACTAGCAAGTAAATTAAACTTTATGTGGAATAGAATGTGGTTTGGCTTTAATATCCATTTGGTTTTTGAAAAGAATGAGTTCATTTCAGTAAGTTTTCTTATTATGCCACAGACTAAAAAGAGTTATTGTCTTTCAAGAAGAAACTTCAGAAAGAATTTTAGTTTTGAAATAGAAAAAAAGATTCCTTTTTTCTTACAGAAATTCATATAGCATGTATTGATCATCTTTAAAAAACTTGAATCATTCTGTGACTTATGCACTTCAGATAGTACCGTTATGAGGAGTTATCGCTGATATTTCTGTTCTCAGGAAAGAGGCAGATTCGGAGAAGGAAGTAGCAAGTTAGAGAGAAAATGTGGCAATGACAGTTTTGATACAGAAACTTCTTAACAACTATTTTTTAAGCAACAGAAGAAGAAAATGTGAGGGCAGGTAATGCAGAGATTTTTTCATTTATTCTGAAAGCAAGGTGCTTCCTAAAAACAGCATCTTTTGCCAGCATGTCTCTGTCCAAAATTTTTTTTGTGACACTAAGTTTCATAAGATATGAAAGCTAAAAAAAAGGACTTGAAACATCATACAGTTCTGTGTGCACACATACAATTGTGATTTCTTAAAATCTCGACCAGAAATAGATTGTAATAGGAGAATGGCAAAGTATAGCAATATATTGTATTAAAGTAGACACAAGTAAAGATTCTCTGTGTGCAAGTTTTTATGTACAAAACAGAGAGAGAAAAATAAGGAATGAAAGTCTGGGGGTCTCAAGTTCTGTGGGAAAGGGGGTATAAATACCAGTACATGAAATAAATATCAAGAAAACATTTACGTCTGAAAATAGCAGACAGCAAAAAATTCTTTTGAAAACTTTGAAGTTTTTTAAAATTCCCATCTGAAAGGGGGAAAGTGAGTAAAATATGCTGCTTGCAGCATCTTTTAAGTTCCTGATCAAGTTTCTGGAAGCTCAAAGAACAAGTGCATATCTTAACAAGACTTGTTTTATTAAATAGCCTTAAGGTGTCAGGAATAAAGTTATAAAGTTATGCACAACAAAGCTGAGAGTGACCTGTAGTGATAAAGCCACCACCTCAGTATAAAATAAATAAAACACACGCTTTGATTTGTGACAGTATAAGAACAGTTTATCGCCCCACCCACTGGGTAAGAAGCTATGTAAAACAAGCAGCTGAAATGGTGAATCTCTTCACTTTCTGGTCCAGTAAAAATGTGAAAAACCGAACATTATTACCACCTTCAAGATTAAGCTATGAAGGAAACACGTCCTGTGGTATGGAGTAGTTAAGCTAGGGCACAGAAGCTGTGCTTCTGGAAAACGTACAGGACTGTGCTTATAAAACATGCCCAAACCAATGCGGATTTTTCACGTGCTGACTTCACCGCCGAGGAAATCTACAGAAGAGCAACTTGAATGGAATGTGAAATGGAAAAATAAATGTGAAGAGAGGACTGAGAAAAGGCAGCGCATTTTTCAAAGCTTTTGGTGGTTACGTGCTCTTGTGGACCTTGACCGGAAAACTTCCACAGAGCTACAAAAGGATCTTAACTAAACTAAAAATAAGCAAAACAAAATTAGAAAGGCTAGACCCCAAACAATGGGTTCCAGCGATCAGCAGTACTCTGTGCTGCCTCGGACCGCTCAAGATCATCTCAAGTAATAAATTTAGGTGTGCGTTCTGAAGTGGTCGTGCTTGCTGACTGATACAAAGGGTGACATTCTTAGATTAGAAAAATTTAGAAATCAAAGGAACACGGACAGAGGCTTCCAAATAAATCTTTCCATTTTATTTATTATTTTTTAAAAAGAAATCTCTTTACTCAAAATACCTTAGAATGGTAAAGAAATACTCTCCCATCCTTATTTGTATTAATGAACGAATTTCCTTTCAGAAACCTTAGAAAAGACTGAAATTAATGATGTAATATATCTGTATAAACCTTAAACATCATTTGGAGAAATTTTGTCTCCCAATTTTATTTTGTAATAATAGAAATAATTATATTAACAAAATACTTATTTAAATTTGGCAAACAAAATGTCCAATAATATTTCTTGATCATACTCAATAATAGTCTTCTATTCAAAATACCGCATAAATATATAATAGTTATTACCTTATTGCAAAGCCTTCTAAAATGATTTTAAATAAATATATCAAATTCTTTTCACATACAGTTGTCAGAATTCTTTGATTTAAATTGCTAGACTGTTGGGTTTTATGAACTATGCTTTTTGTTCAAGTACCCTCTCCAAGTGGGCATTTTTGTTCCATTTCTATGACTTGGAGACCTTAACTATGATCAATTACACCCCCTTTGCCCACTCCCTAACTTTCTGCAACCTGACACCAACACCTGGCAATCAGCTTGCCTCGTTAATGGGAACCATGAAAATTCTCTTCTTGAATAGTTACATTTTTCTTCCTTACCCACTTCATTGCAAAACTAAATCATGTCTGATTAAGCAGAAAATTTCTTGCTTTAGTAATCCTACTTTGTAAACATGCTATTAATGGAAATGCAAGTTAAGAATCCATTAAATATATAGTGAAGAATATATTCTTCCCAGAGCTAAAGTTTTAACACAATGAGTTGCAAAAAAGTTCCTCATAGTCAGTCAACACCTAGGACTACCGTGTAAATCCTGGATTAATACAAAACGAGAAGATTTGGTCACTGAATATTTTCTACAGTTCTTACACAGATAATTTTCTGGTTTTAGTTAGATAGAGAAAGAAATCCTTTCCAGCAAAAAAGCCTTCTTTCCTTCAGCAAAATACCACTAAAGTCTCCTGATAGGTAAACGCAAGCCACTGTTCAGAAATCAGCCCCAATTAAGAAGCCTGGTGCACTTGAACCATGCAACCCTTTCTGGTCTTGCAGCTTGCAAGCTGAGAAGTGCCTCCAAAACAAAGCAGAGTTCTCAGAGGGCAGAAGCATTTCACCCCTTCCCAGCTGAAAGGCTATGATTCAGTGCCAGTCCATTTTGGTCCTGGAAACTATTTTGTAGTCTTAGACAAGGGGGTCTTCAATCATTCACACTGCCACATTTCTATGCCTTCTCTGTGACAGCCGTGATCCACCACGGCTCACAGCAATGCTGTGATAATATCAAAGGGGCTGGTTATGATGAGATCATCTCAGTGCTTTTCTGTACTTTCCATGGAAAAATGTGTCAAATACTAACATCCAAATCAGAAATTCTTGCACTAAAGATTTGCAAAGCATAGTTTTTCAACTCTTCTTTTTAGAATATAAGAAAAAAAATCAAGGTAATCATCAGATGCAGTAAGTGTCATTCCTGGGATTAAAGGGATTTTAGGTTTCAAAGAAATAAAACTGTGTTTTACTGACAGTTTAAAAGAAGAAAAAAAAAAAAAAAAAGAAAAATGTCCAATCAGTATTTAAGCATTTCAAAGTATCTAAAACCACCAAGAGTAAAAGATAAAATTAAAGTATGTTAAATGAAATGGACATACCACTTGGAAGATTCTGGAAATATCTCATGTTCCAATCACAGGGAAACATTTAAAGAACACACACTGATGAGTTTTCATCTGGTCTGAAGAGAATATTTCAGGAGTATATTAAACCTAACAGGGTATTGCCACTAAATACTAACATTAACTACTTCAAGCAAAAGCAGCAATTTTAACCCTGATTTAAAAGAGCTGTTCTCCTTACTTTGCACGCTTGCTCCATATTTCTCAGCTACACCTAAGTCTTCAAGCATCAAGGAAGGAAATATCATTAAAATTAATGTTCAATGAAAACTATAATTCTATTATTTAAAGCTCAAAAATATACCACTAACACCAAAATAAAAAGTCATTTTTCCAAATTAGGTCTAAAGTTGAACTTGAGGACTGAGGGAGACCACTATGGAGCAGCTCTGAGCAGGATTTAACATTCACCAATTGGCTGTTCACATTGATGTGTGAGTTTGCCCAAGGCCTAGGCCCTTGTCTGGAGGTGGGTAGCAGACTCATCGTAAGTGAACTTCTCTGAGTCACTGGTCCTTGCTGAGGTCTGTACTGGCTTGTGAAGTTGGGACGCCTCAAAGGACAAGATAAGGCCACAGCTGAGGACGTTTAGCTCCAGCCCCAGTTAACTAAAAGGAGACTGCAGCTGCAGGCATTGCACTCCTGCTGTGAAGGCCTTCCTGGAGATAACAGAGTTCTCCTAAATTAGCATAAGTCCTTAGAGGGATTCCCAAGTTCTGTCCAGGTTCCTGCATTTTCTTTAGTATCCCCACCCCCTCCACCACCACTTTGTTTGAAAACCAAATAAATAAGGGCTCCCAGGGAACTTCTTGGTCTTAACCCGGAGAATCTTGAATTCTGTGAGAGGAGTACACCCTTCAGGAGCCCTAACAGTGCTTCAGTTGTCTCACTTATTTAAGCCTGCACCATCCACTCACTTGGGAGATTAACTAAGGGATATTATTAATGCAATAAGGGACTTACTTGAAGAAGTGGGAGACAATGACAATGACCCAGCTCTGGATACAATGATTAGGTAGAAGACAAGTATTGTGGTTTGTGTCTATACGTCCCCCTTAAAGCTCATGCAGTTATAGGTGGGGCTTTTTACAGGGGGCTGGATCTAGAGTGTGCAATGCTGGGATTGATTCATGGTACAATGCTAGGATCAAGGGTGAGAGTGCTACCCGACCTAAGTAGCCTGGATAAGACATAGAGATAGAAAGAGCTGTGGTCATCTCTTGTTGCTTTGCTACTTTCTGCCTGCCATGAACTGTTTCTCCTCTACAATTCCCCTCTGCCATGCTATTCTGCCTTGGAGCCAGTGGATTATGGACTGAAACCTCTATAAACTGTGAGCTAGGTAAACCTTTCCCATTTTAACTTTGGGGGTCATTTATTTTGTCTCAGCAACAGGAGAAAAATAACTAAGACAACAAAGAAGCAGCAGTGGTCCAATTGCTGGCGCAGGACAATATCTGAGCTATGATCTATGAACAACAGGTCCAGATAACCACAACATAGGTTGATGTATTATGAGAGACTCAGTACTGTTCCCCTGAGCCTTCAGAATCACCGCTGAGACATTATAAAAGAGCAGGGTATTGAATTTTCCATGGTAGGATGAAATGACACCCAACAAGGAGATAAGATTACTATCAGTATTAGTTATGTAAGTTCAGAGCTTTTAGAAAGTTTAGACAAGAGTGTCTCAGGACTTATGGTTCTTTCTGATGATGAGAGAAAAAAACTTATTTTAGGGTTAATAAAAATATTCTCCAACAAAAAAAACAGAACAACTCTGAAAATCCTGCCCATCTCAAACTGAGTAAAAATTCTGGAAAATAATTTTAAGTTGTCATAATATAAAATTATTTTTATATTATAAATATAAACGGAGTGAGCCAAACCCAGTTTGCCGAGCATGATTCTGAGTATCTTATCTGACAGTAAGGAATATTACTTCCTCAATGATACACTATTTGAACTACCCAAACGCTGTGATTTCCATTGCTGCCCTGTCTTTTTCCTCCACAAAAATGCTATGTATATTTTCAGGCCTGTATTGTCAGCTCCTTTCTTGGGGGGCCTACACAATGTTGTAACTCCAAAGTTTTATAATATTCTGTTGTAGTCTCATTGTTATGTGTTACCTTAAGATTACAAATAACTTCAAAGCTGAAGTCAGATCCTCCCCATCTCAGCCACTGCCCTAGTGCAAAACTAAAAGCATAATAGGCACCAAAAGATGAACACCATCTGTGCATAAGACACTTAAGTGTAGATACACAGCAAAAAAGCGGTATTATATATCTTATTCTAAAATTCTCTGGCAGTAGGGCTTGATTCTAGGTTTACTGAAAAGTTCATTAGCAAAAACATAAGATAATTTTCAGTAAAATTTTATTGTTGACATTTGATTTTTATTTTATATTATTATCTAATTATTACTTAATTAAAATTTTTTCAAAATATTCTGTAGAGTCATGTAACTTAGTTTTTACAACAAAGCGATGAACATGATCTATTTAGAGATAAATATCCTGAAAAATTAAAGAGACATTCATTTACCAGGTTTGGTTCTTGGAGTTTTGGGTCTGAGGCGTCGTTTAGGTGTGGAAGGGATAGATGTAGTTTGCTGGGGAGCTGAAAGAAGAAGATTTAACAAAGCTCTGTAGATGACATTTTTCAGGAGTCAATCAGATTGCACCTGTAAACTTACAAACCTCTCAAGGGCAAGAATTATTTTATTTTTCTTTGCTCTCCCACAATTCCCAACACTGCGCTTTATAGTAGATAAGAAATAAGTACTGGCTGAGCCAAAAGGAATTCAATTTCTACACGGGACCTGAAGATACACTGTTCAATAAAACACACTAGGGGCTGGGGATTTAGCTCAGCGGCACAGCACCTGCCTGGCAAGCGCAAGGTCCTGAGTTTGGTTCCCGGTACCGGAGGAAAAAAAAAAAAAAAGAGAGAGACTTTGTCTCAAAAAACAAACACACTAGAAAAGCAGCACCTTTGAAGTGTTTCAGAATACAGGTGCAGTGAAGAGCTCAAAAGGCTAACACTGACTAGCAGAGCACAGCACAAATAAGATATTTTGGAAAGTTCCAACATGAACAAATTCTCTTCCTCAAATAATTTTGTGTCATAAAATACAAATTGTGTTATCTCTCTTTTACACATCTTTCTTCACCATGTTCAGGGTTGCTGAGCTTACCTGGGACAATTTATACTTAGACTACTCTGGGTGAAAAACAAATCAAGTCATATCTAAATGTGCTCAAAGGGATTCTATTTCAAAATAATTATTATTTATAATGCTGCTATTTTCTGGTAGGCAAAGTTGAAAGAAATATGGAAAGGAACTACTCTTCAAAACATATAGACCACAGTACGTAGACATCAAGATTACAGAAATTCTTTAAGGATTATCTCAGGGCTAAGTAGACTCGATTGCTCAGGTCTTCGAAGAATGTCTTGGTAGAGAAGGAGGGGAAATGTTTAACACTAAAAATATTCTAAAAAAGCCACCGTGTCTGTTTTTGCCACTGTACCTGTCCTTTCAAAGCACAAAACTATGCAAATGTCACCAGTTACCATGTGTTGTAGGTTTCGGTGCAGGACTGGTAAAAGTTTCCACTTTCTGAGGAATAAATGGTGCTTCACTCGGAGCTGAAAGCCCAAACAACCCTGCCCACCAGGTTAGAACGAGGTACTTTGAGAATTCTAACATGCTTTTAGATGGCACCATGTGAGGACAGGGTTAGGGTGAAAAAGTATTTGCCTTGAAAGCTGATGGATAAAGTTAAGATTTAAGGTGGAGAAAAGCTGCTCCGTAGCTGACTCCAGGCAGACTTAGCACACGGAACTGAGGTAATGCAGGCCGCAAACACATGGTGACGTGGTGTGAATGATGGAGGCATTCATGCGGTTTCCAAAGCTTTTCACAAGTCTAAGGATGAAGAAAATGCCATCTACTGTAGTTCAGTGAGAGACAGAAAAGCTCGTGCACACACACACGCGTTCATGCACCAAACGGAATATAAAGAACTCCTGCACAGAGATACACACACGTGTATTCTCGGGAACAGAAAGTGTGTACATGATTAGACATGATGGGATGAAATGCTCATTCAGAAGAGAGTCAGTCACATGGGTTATGGGTTTTTGTTTGATGGAAAACCAAGCATAATTTTTCTGTTAGAAACATTACCCAGTGTTGCCCTTGGCTGTTCAAGAGTTCTAGAAGTTTTAGGTGGGACAGAATCCAGAGTAGGATCACTTGTTGCTGTTGGAATAAATGTCAACATTTATAAAGGAGGCCCCAGGAATAAAATACGAATTCATGGGTAACTATGCCTTGTGTGAGGAAAAACACCAAGAACCTTGGGGGATTGCTGACCAGCGCTTTTAAATTGGTGATTCATTAGGAGTTGAGCGTGAGCTCACTTTTAAAAACATGCATACTTTAAATACAGAAAACACCTAGTGTTTCACACATTCAACATTTTAAAGGTTGATTTTCCTAGTTTTTTCTCCTCTTCATAATTACCTTACCCATTATGAGCATTTTATTTACCTTTTTCTCAGTCTCTACTGTTTAAAATATCCACTTTTATTTATCACGATACAAATAACACTGAAGTAAGGTTATGCATATAAAAATCAGACGCATATTTACATTTGGCAGAAATCAGTCTTACATTAAAACTCCTAGTTTACACGTACCAAGTTTTTAAATGCTTAAGAAACAGCTGCTAAAAGGAACTGTTCGATTAAGTCAAACTTACTGTAAAGGGATCTATAGATGAATGCCATCTATAGACAAATGAATGCAGCGATCTCTAGACCAGGATCGCTCATCTGAGCAGGACTGACAATTAGGGCTCCATCATTCTTTATTGGGGGAAGCTTCCCTGTGCACCGCTGGGGTTTGGGAACATCAATGGTGCTTCCCCCAAATTATGACAACCAGATGTGCCCCTAGACACTGTCAAATGTCCCCGATGGAGGGAAGGAGGTTCAAAATAACCCCATTTAAGATTCACTGCTCTACAGACAACTCTCTAAGACTGTAACATTTTAAAAATTATTCTAAACAAAAGAGTGGTATCACATTATAGTACTTTCCCCCATGGCCACTCAGTCTATCTGCAGCCCCCTTAGGAGACAGAGTTTATCTATTGAATGTAGTGAAATAATTATTCAGGGGGAGGTGTGAATGGGATTTGTCCCCTGGCACACGTGCGTACTGGTTACTCCCCGTGAAGCTCTGGAGAGCCCACCTTTTTATTCTGCAGAAGCTAAAAGGGGTAAACACCAAGGCAGTAGGGGGACCTGGGGTTCAGAAACTTAATTGAAAGGCTGGGTGTACCTGTGGGAGGCTCTGATATACCAGGCTCATCTGAAGTTGAAGGGCTTGAGGGAACATCATAAGTTGCTTTAAAAAAAAATAAATAAAACACACAATGTTAATTTTGATTGATTCTGAAAGATTTCACGGCATTTCCGATGCTGCCGGAAGGACAGTTTCCCTCAGGTACCAGTCAGTTCGGGCTTTAGGCTGCCAGCCCTGTCACTACTGTGTAGGCAAACACCACCACGCCACTAGCTTTGGGTTTTTCTGCCCTGAGCTGCAGGATCTTGTGTAGCAAGCCCCGGTGCTGGCATTCAGGGTGCTGTGAACACAGTGCTATGTATTTGTAGTGAAGCGATGCCAGCTCTAGTTCCAAGTGCTTCAGCGAGCATAAACACAAATAGGCAGCTGGCAGCTTGGGGAGAGATTTCTAAAGAAGGAAATAGCAGTGAGTAAAATTTACCTTCTTAATGTCTTGCAAGCAGAAAGTGCATTCTCTTACTTAACCTTATTAATATCTCTGAGAAATAGGGGAGGTAGGCCTTGCCTTTACCTCACAGGTCATGGGGTGTTATGTGTATTTTCTAGATAATGAAGCCGAGGTTTACAGCAGTGGAGAAACTTGCCGGCCTACACACACTGGAACTGTCAAGTCAGTGTGGTCGCCACCCAGGCAGCTGGGCCAGGAGCAGCAGGGCTGAGACCAGGACACTCTTCGGCACCATTCCTCCTGTCCCTTCATTTAGAGGGCGCTTTCTTTCTACTCCTCTATGGAGCTATGAGCTCTTCTACAATCTAGGTTCATTCAAAGATAACATATGCGTTCTACGTGAAATGCACAAAGTGGATAAATTTAAACATACAGATTGCATTTATTTTAATGCAGGAATATCCGCATAAGCATTTAACCTGGAAGCAAAAACAGCATTGAACCTTTTAACGTACACTGGACTGCGACTCTGGAAAAGAGAGGGAGAGCACAGGAGCTGTTGGGAGGCAGACACTGCGTCCCTTGCCGCTCAGAGCACCTGTGCAGAAACAAAAAGGAGGCAGTGCGCAGAGACATCTACTCCTGGGGTTTCTTGTGATTCACGGACAATTTAATGACAAAAACCACAGCTAACTGAAGCTTCCAGAAAGGTGAGCTTAGGAGGTCTGACACGTCTGCAAGGAGAGCACAGCTGGTTGTACCACATATTGAGGAGCAGAAATACATGTCAGTTTGTGAGGGTGATTCTTAATTTACACTCTTTAAATACAATATTTGTGTTAACATGGGCACATATTTTGAGAATGCATCTGTAATGCAAAGCTTCAAAGTAATTGAAGTTAGCCTAGCTACAACTTTCAAGTTTGAGGTAGGAATGATGAATCTGGTAAAGCCCAAAGTTGCTCTCAGTCTCTGATACTGGGCTCGCTTTATGCCAGGTTTGCGTCATGGGTCTAGCAACGTCAGCTCTATCTCCTACTAAAGAAATTCGGAAAACTTTATCAACTTGTATTTAAGACTCTCATCCTAGTTAAGAAAGCAGGAATAACTTGACTTTTTTGTGATGCTATTGCTTTTAAAAATGCCATGACTGTCTTTACGCTATCCTAATTTCCAAACCGCCCTTCCATCTAGCAGTATTGAACCAATTTTCCTAGAGTCTATATTTTCATTCCAAGAGATAACATTTCTTCACCCTTTTAAAATTTATTTTCTACAGTTATAATTCCCTTTCACTCTGGAGGGGCGGGCCAGGGTGTAACCTCCCTCAGATTACTTCCTGGGGGAAGAAGACCTTCCTCCGGCAGTTACAGTTCATGTATGGAAGTTTCTAATTGTCAGGAGCTCTCACTTCCAAACATGTTCCCAAACGTACTTAAAACATATCTGTCACCAGATTTAGTCCTGATAGTTCTATTCCTGAGAACTGAGTGATAAAGAGAAGGAAAAAAGAGTGCTAAGATCACATAAATGCCACTCACTCAGCTGGACATTGTTCGGACAGCTTTGAGAAGCATGCTGCCTCTCCTCATTTGTGAGTTAAGAAAATCCTTGACTTTGAAGTTACAGTTGTCAGTGCACATGGTGGTATTGAAATGGTACTGAAACAGTCTCAAAAAAGCAACAGCTTTTGATTTCCTTACAAAACACAGTATATGCACATCTATTCAAGAATAAAGTTCATGAAATGGTTAGTTCTGCCTCCTAAAACACTACTTCCACTCACACACTGGGTAAATAGCCAAGAGTTATGAGTCAATTTACAGAACATGGGACCAAATGCAACAGGTGAAATAGATAGTTCAATTCAAAGGTGATAAAAAGTATTATTAAGTTACTTTAGAAAACAAAAATGATTTAAAGTCACAACAAAATTTTACCTTCAGATTTTTCAGAGAAAAATAATGAAAGAACCACTTGTTTTATAACTTCCTAAAATCATATTTGTTAATTATGTTTTGTTAGTTGCCTGTTTTACTTTGAAAACTAATTAAGTGCAAATCCCACAGTGAAAATACCCTGATATTGCCCTAGAAGTATGTGATGGCATGCAAAACATTTCAAATAATTGAAAATTTATAATTGTATTCAAATTCCTTAAATATCAATAACGATGCAAAAGATTTTCCTTTTCCAACATGTATTCTCAGATGAACCATCTCTATAAGGCAGAGACTGTCATGTTTAGCGTGCACTCAATGTTTTGTTTACTCTACAGCATGGTACGTGGCAGATTCTCAGCAGAATTTGCAAAAAGTCCATTCCAATAAGCATACTAACAGACTCTGACAGGTGGACAGTTTTAGCTCTTTGAAAGGATAAATGACTTGTTTGGGGAATGAATATGTCCTTCAATTATTTTATAACACCCGAATGTGTGCAAACAAATCTTTCTCTCTGCTACACAAATACTTGCTGTAGGTGTCTACTGCTGTGGAAATAGGATTCCAAAAATATGAAGAAGTAATGTAAAAACATACTAAATAAGAGAGAAAAACGCACCACCAAATGTATAATCCTCAGCAGTATTTAAATACATGAAAAATGTTGTCTTCAATTAGTGGGAAAACAAAACTCCTTTCTGTTTGGCCCTGAAGTTTGAGAGAGCAGTGCTCGCAAGAAAATGTTTATGAAGTAAAATCAAAGCTGATGCTATAAATCTCTTAAAAGGACCCGAGAATCTGTAAAGCAGCTGCTATGCCCGAATGCGGTTTCCCTGCTCTCAAAGCTTCACACCAGTTCTCATTCCTACTGTTTTTCCTCTGTAGGGATTCATCTAGTTGGGTGGCCAGATCCGGGCTAATCGACACCTCCCAGGCTAGGCAGTGAGGTCCAAATATGGACCCTCTTTTCAACTGCTCTGAGCAAATCACCTAAGGCCCAAACTTTCTAAGATACTCCCCGCTTGCTGATCACTTCAGCTTTTAAATCTTTAATTTATACATCTACAATACTTGTTGCAAGTTACTAAAAGTTTTACAAAGCACTGAAAGAATGTAGTACTGAAAATAATTTGGGCTGACATCATAAAGCAGCTCCCAAAGTGGATTTTAATGAAAAGACGGAGACTGACTATCCACCAGTTTAATGCTTTGTCAAGGGAAATCTCTGAAAGGTAGCAATGTATGCTGCAGGGCAAATAATTTTACTGAGGAAGAGGTAGTTTTCGTAATAAGCCTTGGTAAGCTGGAATAACAATTCAGTGTGTCTGGATACTTTGGGGGCAAAATAGGCAAAAGAGTTTCCTAAGGATGAAAACAAACACACTGAGTCATTCTGGATTTGTGAACATTTTCTTCATTTGAAGTGGGAAGTAAGTAATAGTCTTTTGAGGAGATGACTGAGAAAATTAAGCAAGCTTCACAAAGATGGCATTACCAAGGCAGAGACAAGAAGCTCATTTCCATCTGAGCTAGCTGCCTACGTCACAGAAGGTCTTCGGAAGTCACAGATGCCATAATCTACGGGATGATAAATACCCTACGTGTATGCTGCTTGACCCACCCTGGTGCCCACGGAAAACACAAGCTGACTGTGGCATCATCCTACACACTGAGCCTGCGCGGGTCCTCACCTGCTTTACGGAGTGATTTGGGTTGCCGCTCTAGCTCGACAGAGAGACTCTCTGATACTACTTAACACGTCATCATTAGTTACTAGGACGTCAGGCTATTCCCAGGGATTACAGAACCTCTGTGATACAGCACATGTCTTTTCTAGTCTTCTTAAAAATTTTCACACAAGAGAAATGAAGACCTATGGATGGTTTGCTATGCTCATACATATTTGTGAATACAGTAAATTTTCTCCCTCCTCCTTCTATTAAATAATTTAATAAAGTAGCTATTGTTCTTATTGTCCTGTTGATTGTGTGTAGCAGTTCAGGACACTTTAGATGGGCAGGAGGAAGATGCAGCCAATGAAAGAGTCAGTGGTACCAAGGAAATGTTACTGGGGCATCCTTCGTATGCCATGCATTACATGAAATGATTTATACATAATTTCTAATATATAACCTAATGAAAATTTCTTATGTTATTCCCTTTTATAGATGGATAAACAAGTTCTGGTAACTGGTTATTAACTCAGCTCTGTCTTACTCCACAGTTTACCAATTCACAATCAAATTCATGATGAGAGGAACTTTCAAGGACTAGTCAGCTTTTTAAAGATCATTTGATGTTTCTTATCTACCTGGAAGGCATGCAGCCCCAATAAGGACACTGAATTCTCTCTACTGTGACAGCTGTTCTCCAAACTCCAAAGCAAGATATATGGCATTATTTCACTTTTAACTTGGAGTATATTGTTGTAGAGAAGATTAGGAAAGAAAGAAATGAGTTTAACTTTTGTTCCTCCACCCATTCAGATGTAAGTTCCTCATGTATCTCATTAAAAGAAAATAACTGTCAGAAAATAACTTTGGAAGGATCATATGATGATGTATTCATAACTCTTTGAGTCTCTCAGAAGAAAACTGCTATGCAAATATAAATTATATTATTTCATCCTGGAAATGAGCCAATATATGAACAATTCACCTGGGGATGGAAGGTAGTAAGAGCTTTCCTAGAACTCCTATAGCAACACAGAGATGGCAGTGAGCTGCCGACTTTCCAACAGAATCACTTTTATTGCATTATCAGCAAGATAGACGTTTTCCTGAATAATTGTCACAACCACACAAATGTTACTAAGATCTGGTGAACATTCTTTTAAATTAAAATTTATGAATAATTTTACATTCTGGTATGTAGGAATATAGCATATCTTTATGATTTCCTTTATATTCTTTATGGAAAACTAGATTTGCCAAGGAAATCAGAAGGAATCAACCCTACTTAAACACATGTTGTAGAAGCTTCTGTGAAATGCAATTCTCAGTAATGATATTGCAAAACACAGTACTAACGAAAGAGTACAGCAAGCACACTGAAAGCAGGGAAGAATACACTGATGATTACATATCTCAGATTTCCTGGGGTGTTCCAAACTTCCAATACCTGTTGCTCTATTGCCAAAACCTATTGAAATGACCTGGGGATTTCAATAATCAGAATGCAAGTTAGAACTCTCAAGTAATCTTTCATATAAAAAGTGAGTACAGAAATCTTTTGGAGAACGCTTATTCTGATTTTTTTGATACATAATGGGTCATGGCAAACACATCCTGAAGATGTCAAAGAAAAATAAATTTTACAGTGGTACGCCATGTACAACGGTTGATCCAGACAAGAGCAGCCTCCGGGGTCCAGGCAGGAGCCTGGCACTCACAGGCTGGCTGTGCCATCTCCTGTTGGATCTCAAACATCAGGTGCGCACTGTTACATCAGAACTAGGTACTTCTTATTTTGTTACTGCTGTCACGTCACTAAGAAGATCTCTAGAAAAATCAATGTGCCAATTCCTAGTTTATTTTAGCCAGACCTCAAAGACTATATTTATCTTTAAAACAAAGGCAAAACCATTTTATTTATGCACTGGGAAAAATAAGACTCAGCCAAGTATTAACAATGTACTATAGGTTTTTCATCTGCCACAAAGTGTACCGATCATCAGGTAAGGAAGCTAGAAAAACAAAAACAAGAAAAGTTAATATTCTTATAATTTTTTAAAATAAAAGGAATACAATTACCAGTGTGAGGTTTCACAACGCCGGAATCTCCCAGTGTTTTAGCTGCAGGTGCCATCCATGACTTTTCACTTGTTACTGTATGGGGAAAAGCAGAATTTGCTGAATATCTGAGAGGAGAAAAGGACAGAAGTAGCTTCCTGGTATGGCATACGTGGCTACCAACAGCCCGAAGTAAAAAGCTCATATGGATTCTATCGAAAGGAATCAAAGACAGAGGAAATCAGCACACACCGGCACGGAGCATCTGGCTAGAGACAAGAACCAGCGTGTGCCGTGCTTTCAGCAGTTTAAGGACAGAAGACACGTCAACCGGATTATGTGGAGTTCATAGACTACTGATCTCTTACTCAATTTATAAAATATCCAATCAAATAAGGCTTGTCCTTCTTTTTTAAAACTAAACAACTTGTTTGCCTGAGTTAACTGAGCTCATCAGTTCATTGAAGTTTTCAGAGATAGGACCTAGCAAACGTGTCCTACAGAACTGAGCAAAGTACTCACACACTGGGAATGAAGCTCAGGGTCCCACGCCTGCTAGGCCAGGTACTGCTGCTGCAGTACATCCCCATCCCTCCACCTATATTAGCACCAAATATAAGGTATCTTGATTACCCGAAGTAACCCCAAATTTCTCGAAAGGGAAGGATGTCTTTGCTTCAGGAAACTCTAGAAGCCCTTTTGGAGCTGTAATCAAAGAGCGAGAAAGAGAAAGTTATAACCTGAGGTGCAAGAAACAGAAAAAAATGACTTAAAGAATATTGAGTTTCCAAACACAATAAACACAAGAGGGCAATTATTGCATATCCGTAATGGATCTTAGTAGCATTTGTTTTGTGTGTCAGTGCAGGTTAATAAAATAAATTTTCTTTTTCAACTTTAAGATAAAGCCACTAAGCTTGAGGGATTTGTACTTTTCTTTCTATCCTTATCAAACTAGTTTTTCAATTTTTTCTCTCAAGTATATTTTATTTAAATTCAAACTAAGCATCAAATATATCTGAAGTAGCAAATATTCACCTACTAGCTTTTTAAAGCAGTTTGTTAACTACATGGATTTGTATATAAACATTCCCCATTCTTTTGATATTGTACCCACAAAGAAATCTAAAAATTCTAAAGAGGAGTTCCCAGAAATATCTGTCAAGAAAGACAATAGAAACATTTAGGGAAAATATCAATTTGTTCAGTGATATACTGATTGTAAATGAAAAAATATGACCACCAAAAGCAAAACCCACAAGGAGATATTTCACAGGGAAGGCTTCTGGGATTCTAGCAAAGATTGTTCCAACACATTTAAGGGCTTGGACATTGGGAAGTTCATTGCTCCGTAAACCATACCCCCTTTTTCTGGTGAGAAGATGGATTTCAATGAATTGCCCCAATACCTTCAAAAAGCATACATAAACTTTCCAAAGTAATAATAAAGCTGCGGTGTTGAATAATTTTTACCTGGAGTGCTCCTTGGCAATTCAAACTTAGGTAATAGAATAGTTTGCAATGTTTCTTGCGTCCTTTGGCTGAGAACTGCAATAAAAAAGAGTGCAGTTAGAAACACCTTGCCTGAGGATTTAATGTTTTGGCATAGCCATGACCACACATAGCATGCTTCCAAACAGATTCATGTACAAGGAGCAGTTGGTGCTTTTCATGGAAATAACTGATTTTCCCTGGAAAAGTTACATAGCTGTTAAAACTTAAAAGTGTATTTTCAGAAGATCAACATCATAAGCTCAGAGCAAAATACATGCTGCTCCTTTTCTTTAGGGGAAGAGACCAGACAACAAAAGCAAGTTAGAGTCTCTTGGGTGAAACAGCAGGTAACATAAGTGACATGAAATTCTTACTAGAAAGTATGGTTTGAGGGGAGATTCTTTCCACATTGAGTATGCATAAGACTTCCAAAAGCCAATTTAAGCAGAAAGCTCAGACAGTCCAGACTTGAATGTTCCTCCTGCCCGTCTAAGATTTGGAAGTTGAAAGGTTGGTATTTGTCCATTCAATCCAAGAAACTTATTAAAAAGGGCATGCAGTTAGTATCTAGTATCCACGTCTATAGTAGTAGTAACTACAGACCTAGGGATGTTGCTAACCCTTCAGTGTAGTTGGTCCAAGAAATGGAAAGGTTATTATTGCCAGAAAGGAGGGAGAAAAGAGAGGTAAGGAGAATAGGGAGGAAGCAGCAGAGAGGGAGAGGAGAGAGAGAGAGGAAGGAAAGGAAAAAGGGAAGGGAGAAGGGGAACAAGGGAGGGTAAAGTCCTGAGGTCACATGACTGCTGTTCTGTCTTGATTTTTAAGAAAGCGAAAGTTCTTAGAATTACCCAGTGCTGTTTGAGAAATGTCTGGTGTACTAGACATCGTGGGTTTAGTGGTTCTTGGAACTGTTTCAGGAGTCACTGAAAGGTAAAAAGAGATAGCTTTACAATTAAGATAAGACGATGAAACAACTAATGATCACAAGATATCCTGTGCCGGCCTCAGGGATTAGTAACTGATATGTACATAGGAACTTTCTTCTCAAGTTCCCGTGTTAACAACGCCCCAGCCTGCCCCAGAGGCCTGGGCTGACTTTCCTCCTCTGTATATCTTCTCTGGTTTTGTGCCACTTTCTGTGTGGTCCGCAGAAAGCACACGGAGCTGACATCCATTAAAGTACTTTTAAATGTATCTTTCTTTGCTTTATCTCCAGGGCTTAGTGTAATGCCTAGGACAAACACACATATGACAATAGGTCATTAAACAAATGACTGAACAGGAAATAAAAGAACAGACCAGGGCTGAAAGGTTTACTGAGAGCTGTAACATTATCAGATTTATCTCTCAAACTTCACCGGAGCTGGGTTAAAATTACGATCAGTGTTCTTAGCCCCAAGTTTGTTCCAACCGCTAAGTGAAAGGCAATTAAAACCTCAGGTACGTGATTTTGGAGAAATACGAACTGCAGTGACTGAAATCTGGAATAAATTGTGTGCTGGAAAATCCTAGAATTTTGCAGGGTAAAGGTATGAAATAAACACAATACTGAATAATAAGTCGCGGTGATTGCCTAAGAATTTCTGAAGTGGAAAACTCTGAGGAGGGTTTGGCAAAGAATTAAAAAAATCTGTAGACTCTCGTCAGATACGGTGCCAGGAGGAGAAAGCGGAACTTGGAGACACGGGTGGAAGTTTTGGACTCGGAGGCAACTGCTGGGGCTGCCTGTACCTTCCTGGTACTGACAAATCACGCTGAGATCAGAAAGTGACCTGGGGATTTTATCCCAAGGGAGTGCTTTGGTAGTTCGAGTAGCTTCTGCTCCGCACCGTGCAGGTGAGGATGAAGGTCCGTTTCTTTTCCTTAGCCAGTACCACGCTCCTCTGCTTGGTCAGAAGCACTGTGCTTCAATCTGCTTCTCAGAGTTATTTTATTGCCCCACCAATCTTATACTCTGTGGACCAGTCACAAGTCCAAAGATTTAGTAGCAAGAAAATATCACTAATATCTCAGGTTTTAGCAGTCTTATAGATCGGAGGATTCAGTGTAGACTGGAGTCACTTTGCTAAATGTGAATTGTGACAAATTCTTGCCAGATGTTCGTTTTATCGAGCGCTGGACAAGGTGGTATGGCTCTGGCAAGACACCTGCGCTTCAGAGATTCCTATCTCCCCGGGGACTAGATTGGGAAGTTTCACTGAGAGAAGAAATGCTGGAAACACTGATAAACTACGGAGAAAATGCTTACTGCATTTATTCTTTAAAGTACTTTTACTGAAGCATTATATATTCTCTACACTATGCCGATTAATCTCCCAGAGACCTTCCTTTCTAAATTATTCCAGGGTATTCTCATAGTTAGGAAAGTACTGATTTGTGAAGGGTTTAAGGCATTTCATCAAACTGAGCAGACGTGAAGAAGCATTGAAAAGTGGTATCAAGCCTTCAAATAAAAGGAATATCCCATACCAAAACCCTAGTGTTACATTTTAGTGTAAAACTACTCTAGTGTCAACGTAACAACTTTCATTTGGAATGAAAGATAGGGCTTTCATATTACATATCAGTTATATGATCTAATAGTTCAGTTTTTGTTTGTTCTTTTCCCAAACATTAAAAACTTAGAATCTTCCATTGCCTTGTGCTTACGATCGAAAGGAATTTCCTACTGGCTCTTCACTGAAAAATAAAGTTCGTAGATCATCCACTGTTTGGAAACCTGCGTTGCTTCTTTTCTCAGTGTTCACACAAGGATCTCATTACCTGTTATGTGCTGTGCTGTGATTTTGTCAACTTCTAGTGTTTTAGATTCCACAGGTAATGCCAAGGTTTCATTTTTAGCTAAAAAGTAAGAGAACAGACAATTTACCTTCCAGTGTCCAGTATATATATTATACGGTGCATAATCAAGTAATAATTTTTAAAATGTAACCTACATATATATGCATAGGTCCCTTTTTAGCAGCCAGACAAGTTTGCTTTTCATTTTTACCAGGGCTAGTAGGAGCACAAAAGAGACTTCAAATTTCTTTCTCATTCATCCTAGCTAATTCTTTAAAATCTAAATTGGTATTGGAATGAAGAAAAACATTACAACATAATACTTGGATAAACTTTGTCATTCAGGTTCATGAATAGTTTCTGGAAGGCAGTTTGTTCTTTTGAATTTTGTATTCAAGCACTCCTAATCTTCTAAAAAAATTAATGAATAGGAAATTTTCATTACAATACATGGTAAAAATATAACAAGTTATAACACTTAAATCTTTGAAAAATTCAAGTCCTACACAAATACAAATAAAAAATGACATCCAGCAAAATTAGTAGCAAAAAAGTAATGATAATAAATTTTATTTGAGTGGCATGTTAACATAGATTTTCTGCTTTGGCCTTTGTGGGATTTCAGTGCAAACAATGGATTTTATTCTCATTGACGTTGCCTCCTTATGCAACTATTTGGGAAACTTCTAAATTTAGGTGTTCTTTTTCAAAGAAATTAAATATCTAAGCTAGAATTTCCCAATGGTTAAGACTTTCCCTAATTTAAAAAAGTTGGGGTTAACTCTATTCCATTTCTTAGCACACTGATTTAATGATCTACTTCTAACATTTTGCAACAGTCTAATGGCATGAAAGACTTCCTGCGTCTTTGAGATACCCTGCTCATGCCACCTAGAGCCGATTAAATCATCAGATGGGGCTTTTCCCTCAAGTCCTGAGCTATACAGCGCTTGTATTGCTCAACTTTTATGCCACTGACACTCGGGGAAGGGAGTGTCCTGTTTAATGTAGGATGTTTAACAGCTTGTCTGGCCTTTACCACTGGATTCCAGTAGCTGTCATGGCTGTGACAGGAAATGTCTTCACACATTTTCATTTATTTCCTGAGGATAAAATCACCCCTTCTTAAGAACTACTAATCTAATCTGTTTTCTCATTGCTTTTAAGCATGCAAATTTTGTACCCTTCTTCTATTTATATCATTCTTTTCAGTTAATAGGCTACAAAATATTTACTTCTAACACACTGAAAGACAATTAGAAAATCATATTTCTAATTTTCAGTGTATACAATGGCAGTAATTCCTACAGAGAGCTTACTGTTCTCAGGCACGATTTAAAATACCTGAAGAAAAAAAAATACCTTACGTTGTCCGAATACTAGTGAACTTGTTATCTATTATATTCCAAGAAAGAACTCTTCCTTTAACTACAAAGAAGCCAGTATAATTTCATAACATCTATTCTTTTATTTTAAAGAAAATAGTACAAAAAAAGAGAACAATAGCAAAATACAAACAACACAAAGCAAGGACATTAAAAGTGATACAGGGTTTCAAACCAAGTGATAGGGATTAACAGTGGTTGTTATATTACATAGTGTTATCATCTTCAACGAAGTTGCTCAGATTACCAGATGTAAGAATAGAAGATTGATCAAATCATTAAAGGGGATAAGAAAATAATAATTTAAAAGAACATTAGAGACAATACATAGTGTCACTAGGCAGGATTGTAGGAACTCACCAATGGATATTACACTGCAAATTGTTGTCTTCACATAAGTTGCTCAGATTACCAGATATAAACATGCAAAATTAGTCAAAAATATTTTTAAAAAACTCCAACTTTTGATCATTAACTGTTCCGCTCAACAAACCATCAGACACCAGCAGTACGGTTATGCCACCAATCCATATATATATATATGAAAAGTACTTTCTTTTTCTTCTTTCCGTCATCCCAGCTGTTCCTTCCTCTGAGCAATTTCTTTCCCTTTGTTCTTATCTATTGTACATTTTAGGTTTCATTACTCTTTCATGTTCTTACACCAGGGAGACAATGTGATGTTTACACATGGACCCACACATGTAAAAATCTACTCTTAAAATTTCTAAATTGTATGAACTTTTTTCTGATGTCTTTGGTAGCACAGTTGTTATTTAGAACCATTTTAGTTATTAACATGTGAAGTAACATTCAGATTAGAAGTTTTTCACAAACTCTGGCCTTGATATATAT